TGTTGTTTGTTCGTTTTTCTTTTTCCATTAATTTTTTTTAAATTCTTTTTCCTCTCCTTTCACCTTTTTCCCCCAAAAAACCACAAAGTAAAGACCACCGATCATTTCTTTCCCATTTTTCTTATATAAATTTTAAAACCCCCTTCCTTCTGAACATTTTTTTAAAATTGAACGCGAAAGGGAAAGCTTTAAAAATTAGAAAAAAGGGAGGGGAATTCACGTTGCCCCTCAAAATGTTGGAAATTTGGCGCGCGAAATTTTTGTGGTTTTCTAGAAGGGGATTAAAGAAATAAAGAAAATCAAAATTAAAAATAAATTTGAGATGACAACAATTTTTAAAAAGGAACACTTAAAAAATATAAATAATAAATAAATAAAAAGAGGGAAAGGAAGAACAACAACAACAACAACAACATTGTTGTAAAAAAATAAAAAAAATTGAAGAAAATAATAAATAATATTAAAATAAATATTTTAAAAATGTGCAAAAATATTTTTTTAATAATAAAAAAAAGGAATTCACGTTCCAAAAAATTTAAAAAAAAATTTTTGTGAAAAAAATTTTACAAAAATTTTTTTTCGAAATTACAAAAATTTTTTTTTAATATTTTTTAATTAAAAAAATTAAAATATTTTTGATTTTTTGACTTCTCCCTTCAATATAACCATTATACATTATTTCTAAATTTATTTTTAATAAAATAAATGCCGAGATTGAGCGCTAAAGATTAAAAGAAATTGATGATTTATGAAAAGGAAAAAAATATTTCTTTTTGTCATCTAAAAAGTTGACTTGTTGAATGAAAAAAAACAATGCCGCGCATTCTCGACCTTGAAGTTAGAGATAAATTATTTTTTAAGATTACAAACTTATTTTTTTGCTTGAAACAATTTTTATCTCTTTGATGAACTTAGTTGATGTTATTAAAACTTTGCCGCCTGTTTATAAAAACATGTTGTTTCCAACTTTACAACTTGTTTTTGTTTGATTTTTACCAACTTGTTTTTATTAAAACTTAATTTCCCAACTTGTTCCTTTCAGCTTTTTATAAAACTTGGAATAAAATTAAACTTGTTTCAATGTTGAAAAATACATAAAAAACAAGTTTAATAAAAACAAGTTTCATAAAAAGTTAAGTGTAGTAAGAGGAAAGGTTGTTTTAATAAAAACAAGTTGGTAAAAAAATAAAAACAAGTTGGCAAACAAGTTGGTAAGTTGAAACAAGTTTTTATAAAACTTGTTTTTACAAACTTGTTTTTACAAACTTGTTTTTATGTTTTTTTCAATTTTTAGTAAACTATTTTCCTCAAACAAAGATTATATTATAAATATATACAAACATTTCCCGTGTTTGTCTAAACATGCATACTTGTAATTTAAACAAACATTACTTGTTTAACAAACATGTTTTTATTTTCATGTTGTTTTACTTTTGCTAATGTTTTGATGTTTTTATTGTTTTATTTTTATTCTTTAAACAATTAATTGTTGTTGTGTTTATACAAACAAAGAAATGTTTTGTTCATTAAAATGTTTTGCTTATTAAAAACAAAACAATTAAATAAATGTTTCTACCCAAAATATCACCTAATAAATTATCAACAATAATTTTTCACTTTTATTTTTCTATTTTCTTCCCAATTTATTTTTTAATATTTTTATTTTTAAATAAAAATTAATCTTTTCTACATCATTAAGCTGCCAAAACCGCAAAAATTTTCCATCAATCACCATTATATTTTTTTAAAAATTATTTTTCCTTAACCACAATTTATTAGGAACACTCAAGGTCCTCGCTATTACAACATAGAAAAAAGCCTTCAACAAATTGGCACTTGCCCAAATCTCGTCTCTCTCTAAATGGCTGACCACACCAAGTAATAAAACCCTTCCCTTTTTTTTAAAATATTTTTTTTATTTTTTTTCTTATCAATTTTCTCAATCTTTAATTTATTTATTAAATACCACCCATTATTGCCCTATTAATTTATTTAAATATTTAATTCTCGAATAGTATATTTTTATTATCAATTTGTTTGCCTTCTTGATAGTCTCTCCCTTCTCAATTTTCTGATTTTATATCTTGTACTGTGTTTGATTATATTTATTTTATGGTATACAGTGAGGTGCATATGTTTATGCCGCTTGTATAAAACATCATAAAATTTTCTAGGATAAATCAATGTAGACATTCTTGGTCTTAAAAAATAGTTTAAACGATAAATCAGTTGACATCTTTCGGCATTTTCTTCAAGTTTGACTTTTCGACCCCTTTTAGACTGGTCGAACGAACAGCCCATTTGCTGGATCTTTGGAAAAATTTTCTAAAATCTTGCTGATTTTATATATGATTCTCCGTAAAATTCCGAACAAAATGCAAAAAACCGCATTCGAAATGCTTCGGCCCGAACCGAGATATGATTTTTTGAAAATCGAAAAAATAGCTATTTTTCCGAGTTTTTGGTGTTTTCAGCTGTTTTTTTCGATTTTCAAAAAATCATATCTCGGTTCGGGCCGAAGCATTTCGAATGCGGTTTTTTGCATTTTGTTCGGAATTTTACGGAGAATCATATATAAAATCAGCAAGATTTTAGAAAATTTTTCCAAAGATCCAGCAAATGGGCTGTTCGTTCGACCAGTCTAAAAGGGGTCGAAAAGTCGAACTTGAAGAAAATGCCGAAAGATGTCAACTGATTTATCGTTTAAACTATTTTTTAAGACCAAGAATGTCTACATTGATTTATCCTAGAAAATTTTATGATGTTTTATACAAGCGGCATAAACATATGCACCTCACTGTATTTGGCCTCGATAAAATGATGAAAAAATTAATTTTAGATAAAGCCTCAACAGTAGGAATAATTAAAATTTAATTTATTAGTATTATTAGGCGAGGTAATTAATTAATTACAATCAGAAGTCGATCGGAAATTTCGAAGGTGCCAAAAATTGGAACTGTCGGAAATCGGAAATGGCTCAAAAGTCGGAAATCGGAAATTAGCTCAAATTGTCGGAAATCGGAAATGGCTCAAAAGTCGGAAATCGGAATTTCGATCGACCTCCGATTACAGTGAAAGAATCGAAAAGTTATATTGGAAATTGAAACAATAGAAAAAATCTTTTAAATAATTACAATGGCTTTTAAAAACCGATTCCATACCTCCAAAATTTATTGGGAAGCCTTAATTTATTCCCGGCCCGTTTTTGAGGACAGAAGATCGGTGACAGTTTGCTCAGAACAACAATTAACCTCCCTTAATAAAAATACAATTTGTTCATTTTTCTATTTTTTTTACATCTATTTTATTAATCTGACAGATCTTTTAAAATTTACATATTTTCCAACTAATGCCACCCACTAATATTGAGAAAAAAATATTTTTCTAATAACCCCTTAGTGTTTTTATTAGGCTTGTTTTGATTGATGGTCATTTGGGAATGCTTTAGAGAATGCTCTCCCCCCCCCCCTCAATTTTTATAGCTTTTCCTCCCTTCTACACTGTGAAAAAAGCTTTTATTCACTCTTCGATTTCCACCTTTTTTGACTGTTTTTGTGGCCACAGATGTTAACTATAGACCAATAAAAGCTTATTCTGTCCATTAGGCTTTTTATAAGCTATTATAAGGGTCTGTGATGGAGAATAATAGAGATGGGAAAAAAGGGGTTGCTGATTAGGTAGATGATGGAAATTATAAAGGGAAAATGACAGAAAAAAATTATTAAAATTTTTTTAAAAATATTGAAGTAATAAAAATTCTAAAAATATTATTTATACAGTCGAGGGTCGATTATAAATACTGCCCTGAGATAGAAGAAAATTGTGCCTTATCTTAAATTTGGGTGAGGAGGCTTTGCCTAAAAATTAGGGTTACACCCCGAAAGCTTGGGGCGGATGTGTCGGGGAACGGGGAGAAGTGTGAAAAAATCGTTCGGGAACGGGGTCGGGGAACGGGGTCGGGGTGCAACACTACTAAAAATGAGCGAGGATGCTTAGACAGCTCCCCCACCTAATGGCCTACCAACTTTTGAAAAATGACCTTAAATTGAGGAGTGCCTAATATTGGGGGTATCTAGGATAGAGGTAACTCAAATCTATTTATTATTCCATTATTCTATTAAATCCAATAGTTAATTAGTATGGTAAGCTGTAAAAAACCCCCTTTTAATCAAGTGATGCATATTAATTGAACAGTTGGCACTTGAGCCTATTCAGCTTTTTTTAGAGAGAAGGGTAATTAATTAACAGTTCAGTGCATTCTAGTTAATTTATAGTTATTAATAATTTAATTAGAGTTATTCTTAGTGCTAAGGCTTGAACTAATTTTCCTTTTATTATTAGGGGAAGGAGTCTGGGCCAGTTTTTAAGATAAATTTTGTAAAAAATATTTCGGAGCCTTAATTAGAACTGGAATATCCCAAAAAAATAACCCAAACTCAGAAAAGTCCAGGAACTCCCCCCCCCCCCCCCAATAAAATCCAGAGACTGTGCCCCACTCAATCCTTCTATTCTCCTCTATTTGTCATAATTTTTTGAATAATTCTTTTGTTAATTTATTAGTTTTATAATATAAAGGATAAAGGCCCCAAAGGCCCCTCAATCCCCTTTCATTATTCTCGATTACCACCATCCCCCTTCCTTTTTTCCAATTTTTTTATTACTCTTGCCCCACTCCCCCAATTCTTCCAACAATTCAAATATACCCACGCCGACGCTGACCTTTTGACCGGTTTTTTGCTACTTTCTCTCAATTTTCCCCTTTCAATCCCGTTGGATGTAATTGCATACTTGTACACCGCGCATGCAATACTCTCCTTGTATGTTCTCATGGAAATTTATTTAAAAAGGGACATTTTCTTGAATTTATTTAATTTTATAATTGTGCCATAATAATTTTATTTTGATTTAAAGGAATTTTTTTAATTCTTCAAAAATTAATTTAAAATATTTTTAATCAAAATAGGGTTGTCGGTTTAACCAAATTCTTTGGTTAACCGAAACTGAAGATTTTCCAACGATTGCGGTTATATAGGCATTGAGGGGGATGGGGGTTATAAGGGGATCTGGGATATGTTGAAATTGATATAAGGCGATAAAAGGGCTTTTGAATATTAAGGGAGATTTGAAGGGATTAAGGGAGGATTTGGAGGATAAAGGGGATTATAATAGGTATGTATTATGGATTTTCTATTTATTTTCCTAAGAATTTCTAATTTCCATAAATTAATTTTTTAATATTTAGAGTTACAAATAAGGCTCTCGGTTTCACCAAATTTTTCGATTAACCGAACCCGAGGAGTTGTTGAAGATTAGGGATTACAGGAGGATTACTTGGTATTTAGGGGTGTATAAGTGATTTAGGATATACAAGGATTGATATTGGACGATAAAAGTGCTTTTGAATGCTAATAGGGATTTGAGAGGATTAATGTAGAATTTGGAGGATAAAAAGGGATTGATAATATGTATTATGGATTTTCTATTTATTTTTCTAGGAATTTTTTTAATTTCAAAAATTAATTTTTAAATATTTTTATAGTCACAAACAAAAAAGATTTTTTCAAAAAAATATTTTCTTCTTCAATTAAAATGCAATTAAAAATCCTTTCCCCTTCTATATACCACCAATTAGTCCCAAATTCAACTAGACCAATTTGGCATCAATGGCATATTAATAATGAAGACAAAAATAATAAAGAAAATTTGGAAGAAAATAATGAGAATTTTAATATTAATAAACGTTCTTCGACTGCTAGAAGACGTTTATTTTTTGAAGAAGGAGGAGGGGGAGGGGAAGAAAATAAAGAAATAAATAAAGTAAATTTAAATTTTAATTAAAAAATTAAATAAAATTTCCCTCAAAATTTTCAGCAATTTGTCCAAAATTGGTTAAATGAATTGTCTGAACATTATAAACAAAAATGGGGATTTGATTTTGATGAATGTAAACCTTTGGAAAAAAGTCGTTTTGAATTTGAACGGGTACCTGCCGATCAAGTACCGGGATTTTATAGAACAACAAAAACATTAAAATATAAAAATAACGAGGGGAAAGAATGTTTTAGAAGCAAAAACAAAGAATTAAATAATAATTGTTGTTCTGAAAATAATTCTGGTGAATTAACAACAACTTGTTTAGGTAAATAAGAATAAGTCTGATTATTATAAGTCGTATAAGTATTACAATGGGTGTATAAATATAAACTTTTCCGGAAAAATATTTATAGTCATATTTTCCGGAAAATTAAGACGATAAATTTTTCCGGAATTAATAAGTTCTATATAATCTTCCTTATAATCTTTCCGGAATATTTCTGAAAATGTTTTATATTTTCCGGAAACTGTCTAACTTCTATAATCATTTTATTTTTCCGGAAAGCTAATATAAACTTTTCCGGAATTTATATATTAATTAGAATAAACTTTTCCGGAAAGTTGTAATATTACAAATATTACCCCAACTTTTCCGGAAAACTTTAAAATATATATTCTTTTCCGGAAAATATATTTATATTTTCCGGAAACTGTCTAACTTTTTTTATTTTATTCTTTCCGGAAGGCTAATATAAACTTTTCCGGAAAGTTTTAATACATACTACAAAATATATTCTCTTTCCGGAAAACTTTAAAATATATTCTCTTTTCCGGAAAATATATTTACTTTAATATTTTTATAGCCAACTCGCCAATTCGTTCATCTCTCCGGAAACCTCCATTTCATCTCAATTCTGTCCGAACACCTACTAGATGCCGACTTTCTCTTAATATTTCCAATAACAACAATTCTTGTTCTTCTAGTGAAAAACAAACAAAAATAACTGGTAAATATTTTAATTAATTTTTAAAATTCTACAAAAAATTTTTTTCAGATTTTGTGAGTGTTCGCAAATCCTTTTCTCCTCCAGATTCTCTCAAATTTGGAAAAATGGGAGAAGAAAATGACAAACAAAATGGGAAATTATTGGAATCTCCCAAAAAACGACGTTTAAATTCAAAAACAGAAAAAGGCAAAAAATTTGTCAAAATTGCTCTGAATGAGGGTATTGCGACTCGTCGAAGCTTGCGACTTCGACACTTATATGCTCAAAATAATTTTATATAATTTTTTTTATTTTTCTTTAACTTATTTTTAATTATTTCTAATTTATTTTTACTGTATCTTTGTTTTCTTATAAAAATTAAATTTTCATTTTTTGTCCGCATTTTTGTCCACAAAAATAATTTTGCGGACAATTTTTGTCCGCAAGTTTTGTCCGCAACTTATTTGCGGACCTTTTTTAGAGTCAATTTTTGTCCGCATTTTTGTCCGCCAAAATAATTTTGCGGACATTTTTAAAATCAATCTTGTATATTCTCCAACCTTTTAACTAATCCAAAAATGCATTTCTTTTCCTTTCAATTATTCATCAAAAAAGCGGAAATTACTAAAAAAGAAAGGAGAGAATAATGAATTACAAAAAAGCGGCATTTTACAAAAAAGAAAAAAGAAAATTAATTTAATGAATTAAATAAAAGGAAGGAAACGAAAATTTTATTTAATTATTTAAAGGCATTTAATAGCCTTTTTAAATAAATTTTCATTTTTTTAATCGGAAGAAGATTAAAAAAAGGGAAGGAAAAAATTAAGAAAATTAACTAAATATTTGTTATATTTATTCTCTAGAATCATGTGTGTATAATATAGGTAATCTCTTTAAAAATCAGAGTAATTGTAAAAATAAAGCGAGAAAAGCTTCAATACAGACCAGAGGTGGGTCGCAACAGTCAGAGGTGTCGGAAATCGGAAGGGCCGGAAATCGGAACTGACTCAAAAGTCGGAACTCGGAAATCGGAAATCAAATTTTTTAGGAAATCGACCCACCTCTGATACAGACTAACACATGGATAAGGACATGGATACAGATAATATTCTGATGCCTGTGGATGTCCGGCGGATATATCCGGATCGGGGAGGCCCTTCCAAATCAACAAAAGGGGCCATACTTCCTAAAAAGGGGGCAATATATAAAATGTGGCAAAAAGGGACGAGAAGGTCAAAAAGGGGGCAAATGCCTCGCAATTGAGGCAAAAGGGCCACCCAAATCCAGATACCAAAATCCATGTCTATGTGCAAGTCTGCTTCAATATATTTTTTATTATACCCCGAGATCAACCACTCTAATAAATTGCTACCTAAATTCAAAAAAAATTCCAGGCTCTAATATACTTTTTATAAAATCGAGTCAAGGTTGATCTTCAAGGTATGCCCCTTATTTAAATTAAAATACAAAAAGAAACTAGAAAATAATTTTTTAAAAATTTTATTTTCAATTTTTCAACTCCAAATGTCTAACTCCTACAGTACACAATCCAGGTCCTCCTCCATTATTCTCTCCATTATTTTCTGTGGATCTGTTATACTTTAGCTCTGAGGCTGTCATTAAAACGACCGGTTTATTTGTTGTTTGTACCTTAATTAATTTGAAAATTTTTTGACATTTTGAAATTCGACATTTTGAAAAAAAAATTTTTTTTGAAATTTTTATAAAAATTTTTTTTCAAAATTTTGACTGATTTTGTCATAAAATTTTTTTTATTACAATATTAGGCATTTCTGCTTGGCAAGTAGAAAAAGCCAGTCGATGATTATTTTCAACATTGTCCGTTGGTAACATTCCCATAAGCTCGTTCTGCCCATCGTTGCGCATAGAAATTTGAATAGCTCCGTTACTGTTACTGGTAATCATTTTTATTTTTTTATAACTGAAAAATAGAGTATTTAATTAATTAAAAATAAATATTAAATTAGAAATATTTAATTTTAACGAGGAAATTCTAGGTGGAGAAGCTTCAAGACGCGTACCACGAAAGTTCGCAAGCTTATAGAAAAGCCTAAAGAGTGCCTAAACTCACCAAATTTTGTACATATATCTCTAATAGTGTTATATACAATGTCTGAAAATTTCAGAATTTCTGGTTTTTTATTTCAGAAGTTCTGGTCAAAATATCAGAATTAGTTTAAAAAGTGTCGCCTTTAGATACATTATTACCTACTACTAGGGAAATTATGAACCAAAAATTCTGAAATTTTTAAAGAAGGTAGATAACACTATCAAATATATCTGAGCAAAATTTTGAGGCTCTAGGTGCTCGCTAGGTTAGTTTATATAATCCCGCCAGCTAACGAACCACGCGTCATAGTAGAACATAAATGAACATAACCATTAAAATTTTTCTTAAACTTAAAAAGGAAATTAGAAAGGAAATGACATTTTTAAAGACAAATTTTGCTTATTATTCAAAATAATTTTCCAAAAATTTCTTAAAATTTTAAAAATAAAATTAGGCGAAAATTAAATTATAAATTACTAAATAAAAATGTGCAGACAAATACAGAATTAATGAACCGTAAATTTTGTTTAACAAAAAATTTTTTTACACTTTTATGGAGTTTATTTGCTTGATTATAGACAAAAGGAATTTTTAAAACTTTTTAAAAACTTTTTTTAAACAAATGAGGTAAACTTTTTAGGGGAAGTGTGACGTTTGGAGAAGCAGTGAGGAGCAGAATGACGCTGCGCGTAAATTCATAACTTAGCCATACGATAACGTATAAACGTGAAATTTTGTACAAATTATCTTAATAGTGTTATCTAACGTCTTTAAAAATTTCAGAATTTTTGGTCATTTATTTAAAAAGTTATGGAAGAAAAAGTGACCAAAATACAAGTTTTTCCTCAATAATTCTGATATTTTCGATCAGAACTTCTGAAATACTCAACCAAAAATTCTGAAATTTTCAGATCTGTTAGCTAACACTTTTAGAGCTTTTCAACAAAAAATCACGTCTCTAGGTCCTAGTATCTTCATTTTATTAGCGTTCGCGCAAGCGCAAACTTGCTCGAAACACCCTTAGAGAGTTAGTGAAGGAAAAAATATTTTTTTAATTTTGGAACGACACAGAATTTTTAAAAAATTATTTTTTAACAAATAAACATCTTAACACATTATTAAACCAAAAAAATAAAAAAAGGAAATAAAGAAAAGCAAAAATCTGCGGGAAAGGAACTACAAACTCTTTACTCTCAAGAACTTTGAAATTATAAACAAAGGGTTTTTTACTTTAAAAAATTTTTTTTCTGTTAGTATTGCACTTTAAATAATTTTTAAAAATATTTTTTAAACACTAAACAAAAGAAATTTTCAATTTTATGGCGAGAGAACAGGAAGTAGAAATAAATTAGAAAAAAAGTTTTTTTATTAATTGTTTGCCGGTCAGACTATTTATTTGTTTTGTTTGCAATTCTCGAGTGTTCTTTTTTATTCTTAAAAATTGTTTTTTCGTCATAAAAATTATTTGGAAAATTATACAATGAATTAGGGACTATAAAAAATTTTATAAAAAAATTCGAAAAGAAATTTAACCAAGTTTGACCATTATGAGCCTGTGGCCACAAAAACATTAAGCCTTAATAAAACCTTAATAATTTCATTATAAAATCAATTTTTCTAGGAAATTTTTGCTGCTATTCGAAAAAAATTAAATTTGCAACAAAAAATAATTTTTAAATATAAATTTAGAAAAATTAAAAAAAAAAGTTGAGGACTAAAAGACTAACAAAAATTCACCTTCAGTTAGTTTTTTGACCATAACTCTAGGTCTATACAAAATAAATTTTTGGTTTTGGGCTTATTTTGTAGCTGATTTCCTTCTCTATCGAATGATACCAAAATTATAAAAATCGGATAATTTTTACAAAAGTTATGTGGAAAGGCGCACACAAGAACCGTGCCTTGAGGGAATGTAAAGGCTCTCGCATTTTCCTTTTTTAATTTTGTGAAAAAATTTTTTAGAAATTTTATTTCTGCATAATTCCTAATCCTTTTTTCAATTTTAATTAAAAGCAAAAATAATTTTAATAGAATATTTTAAAAATAAATATGGGGACTCAAAACGTAATAAATAGTAAACAATTTTCTAAATTTCCCTAGAGGCACAATAAAAATGAAAAAAAACAAAAAAACAAAAACAAAATTAAAAACAAAAACTTCAAGTTGAAAACAATTTAGAATAAAAAGAAAAAGTTTAGAAAAAACAAAAAAGTATTAGAAATACTGAGCTACCCAAATCTACTCAATAAACAAGGGTTACAAGCCCATACCGAGGGAGACACGAAAGAGAGATGAAGGATCGAGCAATCCGAGGCTGTCTAGCTCGAAAAAGACAAGTAACACGACTTAAAACGAACCAAATCGAAAAACCCCCTAGCTCGAAAACCAAGCCCTGCTGACAACTAAGGATGGCAGTTCCTGGAAAATTTCCGGATACCCGGAACCGGAACCAATATCCTAACCGAAAATTTCCGGATATCCGGGGTTTTTCTGTTCCGGATACTCAAAACCGCTAATCTTACTGATAACAACCCGTTGAGGGTGTTTATAAACCAGGGCAACTTATTCAGCTCAACAAATAAATCTCCTTTTTAATGCTTTATAGGGCTTTATTTACTCCTCTAAATATTTGGAAATACTCAACATGAATGTTTAGCATTTTGTTTTTATTTCTAAAATTATTGCCTCAGGGGAAATTTTTTTTCTCAATTTTTGTAAAACCCGGAAATTTTTTTGACTTAAAAAATAAAAATTAAAACAGAAAAAAATAAATTTTAGGAAAAAATGCAATTTCCCCAAAAAATAATAAGGAAGTAAAAAATAAAAAAATTTTAGTTTAGGGAATTGAAGCAAAGAGGGAGATTTTTTATTAATTTATTAATTCTTTTTTAAATTAAAAAAATTGTAACAATTCCAGGGAAAATTAAGGAAATGCATTAAATTTAAACAAAAAACGTCTTTGGAATTTTAGTAATATAGAATAAAAATTTTTTTACTATTTTTAGATTTTTTTCTGGCATTTCTTTTTGGCCCCATTTTTATTTTTCTTTTATTCCCTCTCGGCTTAAATAAAAGAGAAAACAATTCCAATTAAACTAGACATACACAAATTTAAATAAAAAAAAAGATAAAGGAAAAAAATAAAATTATTTGAGACTTATTAAAAGAAATTACTATATGTAGAATGAAAAAATACCAAAAATTTTTATTTTAAAATAGAAAAAAATTTTTGCGGACAAAAATTGCGGACAAAAAAATTTTTGCGGACAAAAAATTTTTGCGGACAAAAATTGCGGACAAAAATTTGCGGAAAAAATTCTTAAGAACTGACACCTTTATGTTTTTTTAAAATTTCAAATTCCGGATACCTTACAGTAAAGTTGACGGCATCTCAACGAGGTGAATTAGAACCTTACCTAGATTCAGAATTTGATAATTTTAAATAAAATTACGCCACGGACTAACCTTCTCCTATATGTTCCCCTCTATTAAAAAAAATTTTTTTCTATCAAACAATAGCCGTATTAAAATAAAAGAAAGGGAGGTTGAAAGGGAAAGACAATAGAAAAAAAATATTTTTTGAAGAATGTGCCACGTGAGGGAAGGGAATAATTTTTAAGCTTACACAGGGGAATATCCTAAAGCCACACATAAAAGGCTGTTAAGGTTAAAAAATAAAAAGGCAAAAATAAAGAATAACTGGGGAAAAAATTAAAATAGCCTCAAAAAAAATTTTCAAAATTTTTTTAAAATTTAAATTTAAAGTTTAGGTAAATGTCCGCATTTTATGTCCGCATTTTTTGTCCGCAAATATTTCTTTTTTTTAATATTTTAAAGAGAAAATTTTTTTGATTTTTTAAATGTAGGGTGTAATTTCAAGTCTTAAAGGTCTTAAAAATCTTGAGGAAATTTTTAAAAAATTATATCAACTCAAAATGCGGATTCTGCAAAATATTTGCGGACAAATACTATCTTCTTTCAAAATTCTCCAAAAAATAAACTTTTTATTTTGTTGGATGTTTTTTTTTATATATAAATAAATAAATATATTTTGGGAAAAACAAAACATTCCATCATTTTCTTCAAAAAAAAAGTACATTTTTTGGATAAATTTGTGTGAATAATGGGTGTTTGTAGATAAAAATATTTGGAATAAAATGACGACAAGGAGAATATTGAAAAAATTGGGTAAAAAGGAAAATCAGGCAAAATTCTCAAAAAATTTTTTTATAATCCTCAGATTAGAGTTTAATAAATTCTTATGTTTTTCGGAATTTAAGGTTTATTTAAACGTTAATTTTTATAAATAATCCGCACACATTTGCAGACAAAACTAAAAATTAAATAAAATTAAAATGAATGGCATTAAGTATCCAATACTTGGTTTTCCTGCTCTATTGAAACTATCATAGACATGGGAATTACGACCGGATCGAAACTAGATTACGAACAGAAATCTCTGTTGCCTGGGGCTATATTCTTGGAAAATCTAATATAGTAAAATTGTCGAATTTGGGAGGCCTAGTATAGTCTGATTCAGCTCGTTGAGCCGCATTCGACAATTTTGAACAAGGTTATAGCTTGGCGGTATATCGCTCCCAATCCGAGATCACCATAAAAACTGTCCGCATCTTTCAAATTAAAAACAAATTAAAAATAAAAAAATCACACAAACTTGTTTTATTTTTTAATTTAAAAATTTTCTAGTCAAAAAAATTTTTTAATTTTTTAAATCAAATTTTCAAAATTTTTCTGTTGATCTTTAGGGCATAAAATAAAAAGTACAAAAACAGAACTTATAGAAGGTAGATGAGAAGGCATCCCTCCCTCTCCTCCCTACAATTAAATATTGACCTACCTCGGTAAATCAAAAAAAGATACATATGTACAAAAATGACCGACGACCACACACTAAACCCTCCTTCCTTTCCTTATTCTCATTCAAAACGTTCAGATACTTATCGACTCCTCAACTATTAAAAATATATTCACTTAATTCTTTGGTACTATTTACCTAAAATGGGCATTTTTTTCAGAATAAATCAGAATTTCTTGTATTTTTAAATTTTTATTCTGGTCTCTATTCTGATTTAAATTCTGATTAAATTCTGCGTTTTATTCTGACCTTAAATTTGATTTAATTCTGTAATTTATTCTGATTTCAACTCTTATTTTAGTTCCGATCTCATTTCTGTTTTAATTCTGATTTAGACTGCAATTTTAATTCTGATCCTATCAAAACAAAAGAAATTCTGATTTTATTTTCTGGTCAGATAATATTAAACTTGAATAAACTCAAAACCAGAAAATAAACTTGAAACCAGAATTAACGAAAATACAAATTCTGATTTTTAAATAATTATAGGTATTTTTCCTTTACAAAACCAGAATTATATGTTCAATATAAATTCTGATTTATCTCATTTAAACCAGAATTAAATTAAAACATATTCTGAAATTAAATAAACTTGAAAATAATTCTGATTTTATTTACATCAGAATTAAATTACAACAAGTTCTGAAATTAAATAAACTTGAAAATTAAATAAACTTGGAATAATTCTGATTTAATTTAATTATTTCAGAATTTAATTAAAACATGTTGCTAACACCCTTTACTTTATGTTTTGCTATTATTTTTATTTCTGCTACAACTTTATGCAACGGAGAAACTTTAATAGAAGCAGAAACGGAGAAGCCGACTTCTTTGTCTAATAATTCTGAAAAGTCGGAAAATTTTGTTAAATCGAGTGTTGCTTGTCCTGTTAGTTTTTTGAAGATTTTTTATTAGAAAATTCAAAAAAATCTTAAAGGAAATCACCCAAACGCATATGCCGGAATGGAAAATTAAATTGGAAGAAGCCCGGGCTGAAGCTAAAAAGCGAAGTGAGGAACGTAAAGAAAGGGTTAAGAGATTCCAGGAAGAATATAAACGTTGGATGAAGTTACCTTTAGCTGATAGAAGGGTTGAAATGAAAAAATGGTTTGCGGAGCGTAGAAAGGAGGTGAGAACGAATTTTTTGACATAACTAAAGAAAGAATGAATATTTTTAAATAAATTTTGGTGTCATTCGATAGAGAATTGAATTTGCTATAAAATGATATAAAAATCAGAATTTTACACAAACTAGCAAAAAAGTTATGGTCAAAATACTCCTAAAAATAGGCAAAAATGTTGGTTTTTTGGCTGTAACATTTTTTAGGATTTATCCAAAATTCTGAATTTACCCTCATTTTATAGCAAATTTAATTCTCTATCGAATGGTATATTCCTCATCTAAAATGGTTTAATATTTACTGAGTTATAAGCTATAGACCAACGTTGGTCACTGAGTCTAGTTAATGCCTAGTTTTCGGATTTTCCGGAAAGAAATTAATTTTCCGGAAAGAAATTAATTTTAAAAAATAGGAAAAAAGAAATTTGGGCACCAATAAATCTTTCTCTTTTTGTTTTTTCAGTGTCCAAATTTTTGGTGCCCAAATTTCCGGGAGACAGACACCAAGAACGGAAGCAATGCAGATGCTTTGTATTGGGAAGTACATTTATTCTGACAAAAAAAATTTTAAAATTTAAAATTCCCCCTCAAAAATAATTTTAGAGACAAGAACGAGCAAAAATTCGTCGAGAAAAAATTTTGGCACAAATTGAGGCTATTAGAAATAAAAATAAATTGAAGGCACTTCCAAAGAATGCAACACAGTCTACAACAATAGAGCCATCAACATTAGAGTCGACAACAGTTTCTCCGACAACAGAAGCCTCAACCTCCCCAGCTACGGAAGAAATAATAAATTCAACTGAGACAACGGAGATTAAAGTAAAAAAAGAAAATTGAAAAAATTTTAATTTTACAATCGGAGTATTTCTGTGACTTAACTCGGCGCTGGTCTAGTTTATGCTACCAATGGACTTTTATGCGTCCAATCAAAAGAAAATTCGAGGAATAGGGTAAGGAATGGTCCCAGACCTTGCTGTCGGAGATCGCGAACATGAATAAGAATTTTGGAACCATACACTTTGCAATACCAAGAAAATCCAATCTTCTTTTGATTGGACGCATAAAAGTTCATTGGACGCATAAACTAAACCAGCCCCTTCTTTAAACCTTTTTCTTATCCCACTTCTGAGTTAAGTCAGAAATTTAGGAAGATAAATAATGTCCTCGGGAAGGAATAACTGAGAGCTTTGGGTATCTGGAAAAGCATAAAAATGACCTAATCTATTAATTCCTTCTCAAACTCTTCCCACCCTAAAATTTCTTTACGGAGGGTAAAAATATATTTGAGAAACATTTCTTAAAATTTTTAGGTAGCCGAAAACGCTACAAAAGCATCAGAAGAACAACAACCAACATCTACCGTAGCCTCTTCTATTAACGCTTTAGAAGGTACAGAACAATCTGTCAAGGTTGAGGAAGAGACAAAAGAGGCCTCAAAAACAGAAGAAACAAACAACAATGTTTCTGTTATTTCTGAAACAGAAAAACCAGAAATCGAAACAAATAAAAATACAGCAGAAAATAAGGAAGCTATTGTGTATAATAATGCTACGGAACAGCCAAAAATAGATATTAATCAAGAGAAGCCAAAAAACGAGGTGATTTATTTAAACAGTCCGGCCTCACTTTGAGATTGTCCTTAGAGTTGCCAAAATGGCCCGACTCGGACCGAAAGATTTCTGAAACAGAAAAACCAGAAATTGAAACGGTAAAATTCAATTTCGTTCCCCCCCTCTTTTCTATCTTCCTCAAAGTATTACAAAATGGTCAGTCAATCTTAAGTTATAGAACTCGTAGATCTGTGTCGAATGACACCAAAATCAAAAAAATCGGACTTGATCGGACCGAAATACAGACCCCTAAAAATTGAACAACCACAGGGGCGAAAAACCAAAAGGACGAAAAAGTATACAAATGATAGCTATTCGAAAGAGCTCGTCGAGCAGAGTCGAATGACACTAAAATCGACGTGATCCGACTTGATTTGACAAAAATATGACATAAATCATCGACTCCGGTAGGTCTAAACAATGTTGTAACTTTGTCAAATATTGTTCGATTACGTTGATTTTGATGTCATTCGACTCAGCTCGAAGAGCACTTTAGAATGAGCTATCATTTGGATAAAATTTTTTTAGTCAAAAAAATCCCCCCTATGGTTGTTCAATTTTTAGGGGTCTGTATTTCGGTCAAATCAAGTCCGATTTTTTCGATTTTGGTGTCATTCGACACAGATCTACGAGTTATATAACTTAAGATTGACTGACCATTTTGTAATACTTTGAGGAAGATAGAAAAGAGGGGGGGAACGAAATTGAATTTTACCATTGAAACAATTAATATATTTGGTCTAAGATAGTTGGCCCGAAAAAGACTCGTACAAGCCCGGCTCGATAAAACAAGCCCGAAAAATGCTTCGACCGACGGCCCGACTCGAAAACGGCAACCCTACTTGTTCTTAATGTAACTTCTATTTGTAAGTGAGGTCCGAGTGTAAGTGAGGCCACAAGGGGCCACAATAGTTGTGAGGCCGATTGGACCATTAAAATCCTCTAATGATCTACTAAATCCATTATTTTCGTGGTTTTAGCCATGGCTATTAGAATCTGGGATTTTCGAAACTTAATCTCTTTTTCATAGGGGAACTCTTCTGATTTCTATTTAAAATTAATTTAAAATTCAGAAACCAAAAATAGAAGAAATTAAATCTTCTGATAAGTCAGGAAATCAGAATATTGCAAAAGAAAAAGAAGAAAAAGCAGAAAATTTGCTTGTAAAAGCAAAGGAATTAAATCAGCCTATGGAATCTAAAACGCCTACAGAACCAAATAAAATTCAAAATGAAGAGAAGGAAGAAGTTAAAATTAAGGCTTGAATATTGAAAAATATTTTTGGAATGTTATTAAATTAAATTTTGAATTTTTTTCATTTTTAAATTCTCAATGTTTTAATTCTCTCCAATGCGGACTCGGTTTACCTCAAGACTCCAAAGTCCCCAATGACTTTAGATTACAGAATTTCTTTATATACCATTCGATAGAGAATTGAATTTGCTACAATATGGTATAAAACCGAAAATTTTATATAAACTAGCAACAAAGTTGAGGTCAAAAAACTAGCTAAAATTGACAATTTTCCTCAATAACCGCAAGTTTTCCGACTACAACTTTTTAAAGTTTTCGACTAGAATTTTTGTTTTTAACCAAATTTCGTAGAGAATTCAATTCTCTATCGAATGACATAAAATTTGTTTTGATAGGATTATTAGTTCAAGAGTTACAAAAAGAAAACTGACGCGAGTCCGCACCTATATACTTAACCGCTCACTAATTAAAAAATAAAAATTTTTTCGAATAAAAAAATAATTTAAGTAATCTTTTTATGTTTTCAAGAATATAAAAAAAATATTTTAAAAAATATCTAGCGAAATATAAAAATAAAAATATATAAAAAGGCAGCATTTAAAAACCCGTCAAAAAATTTCAAAGAAAATACTGTAAAATCTCTCATTTATCTTACAATTAACCGTTCGTTTCATTCTCGACTTAATTATTTGTTTTTTGTTCGTTATTATTGAAAACTTCAGGGTGTATCTTTAAAATAGAATTTAGAAAAAAATTTAAGACAAAAAATTTTTTCCCAATAAACACATCCAAGGAAAGGAAGTCCCAAAAATAAAATCTCCCCAAACCTCTCAGAAAAGATACCTTTGCATGGGAACCGGAAGGAAGGAGATCCTCCAATTGACTAGACGGGGGTTTTAAGATCTTGTAAGCATTGCCCCGTTTTTATTTATAATAGCCTCTGTAATTGGGCCCAGGAAAACCACAGTAAGGTCATAAAATGCTGGTGCCCGAACTCTGGGTACAGTAAAAGCCCAGGTCTTGATCCAGACTCAGCTCGATCTCTAACTCTTAGACACGCATTTCGATTTAAAATCCCACTCTATTTTCAACCACAAAAAAAATCCACACAGACTTACCCCCCTTTGAATACTTTCAATTTGTTCATTACTAGCCCTTCCACATTCACATATAGGGGTTGTCTGTACCAAATATTGATAAAATAATTCTTTTTGTTCATCTCTCAAACGTTCCGGGACTTTTGTTCTTTTTAAATTTCCATCCCAACCCAAATCTACTAAACCCCCTTTTTGGGCTATTGTTCTTTGACATCTTCTAGCGAAGGATATGGATGTTTCTCCTTCCAAACGATGCATTGGAGGTAAATACCAAACATCACAAATTAGGGCCCAAGAAGTCATCATACCAAGTAAATAGGATAAATAGCCTTGACGGTGACTGAAAAAATGTTTCAAAATGTCAACTTAGAAAAATTTCAAATTTCAAAATCGCCATTTCACGCGGTATACCTGTCCCGGCACGATTGAGTCCCCCTTTGTATAGACCTCAACTGAGTCCCCACGATTTAATAAGTTTAAAATAGTTTAAGAGGGATATCCCTGGATTTGGAAGGCTTAAAGTGAATATCAGGGACCTGTATGTGACATCAAGAGATCGAGTCGGAAATCGGTGGATATGAGTAGATCTTAAGCGATTAAGGGGGATAGCGGTGGTTTAGGGTAGATATCGAGAGTTTTAGAGCTTTTCAGGTTTCAAAATGTCGAAAAGAAAAATTTTCAAAATCTCAACTACCTACCTATTCCAGAAAGGATCCCCTAGACGGCTGTCATATTTCAAAGCTATAGGATGAACCACAGAAGACACTTCAAAAGACCCTTTTTTGAATAACATAACAGAAGTGTTGTTAATACATGTCCCCTCAGGGAATATTAAAATAGGCATTTTTGATGGGTCTTTTACATGTTCTTGTAACCTAAAAATGGCGGGAAAAGTCAGAAACTTGTAGTGACCAAATGTCCATTTTTGGCTAAATGGACATTTTGTCCATTTTTGGTTAAATAGACCAAATGTCCATTTTTGGCTAAATGGACCAAATGTCCATTTTTGGCTATATGGACATTTTGCCTTTTTTGGCAAAATGAAAGATTTTTTAAACTTTTTACTTTTTAGCAACAGCATGCCTATCTTTACTCTCAGCCCTTTCAAACCAAATATGATGAGCTCCTCTATCCAAGGCTTTTTCGATTAACCCAAGGAAACCATCATGTCTTTGTCCCACCATTGCATAACAATTATCGGTTGAGAGAATCTAAAAAATGTTAATTTTAGAGCTCGCCTGACCCTAAAGTGCCCTTCGAAACCCACCATAACATCAATAGGAGAAGTATGATTTGCAACAGAAATTCCATTTTTAGGCTTATTTTCTTCCCCATGGAAAGTAATAATTGTAGAAAATGCACGCATACACATTCTCATACACATTAACATTGATAGTTGATAGAAACATGAACGGAGGCTTAAAAATAAATTTTTAAAAATTTTTTGTCCGCAAAAAATTTTTGTCCGCAAATTTTATCCGCAAGAAATTTTTGTCCGCAAATTTTGTCCGCAAAAAATTTTTTTGTCCGCAAATTTTTTTCTAAATTTTAACAAAAATATTATTTATCCACCTTTCATTAGGAATATAGCCAACAAGTGCTGGAAGTGTTCCCATTAGAAAACTGGCAGAAATAAAAATTGATAAGCGAAAAGGAAAAAGCAAGCCATAACGAATAAATGCTCCAATAGCCCAGATACAATAGGAATACCACCTTTATAATATTAGAAAAAATTATTCATTATTCTAATAGACGCCCATCTCTAATAAACGTCCCTCCCTGGACTCAATCCATCCCTCAGACAAAAGTCATTTGGACTTTCACAACTATGGGCGTCTATTAGAATAAATAAAAAATATTTTTATGAAATTATTCTAATAGACGCCTATCTCCAATAAACATACAGTTAAATACCCCTCCAAAAATTTGAAGGGTCATTTGAGTTGGAAGGTTCAATGCGAAGGAAGCCCTTCACAGGTAACCTCGATGGGCGTCTATTAGAATAAATTAAAATATTTTTATATTTTTTATCAATCAACAATCTCTAACCGAACACTCAATCCACCCCTACTCCTCGACAAAAAATTCCAAGTTGGTAACTGTGCTGCTTCAAACCGTTGAGTTACATCATCTTCAATGATTGCTTCAATTCCGGAAGTAATAAAAGCTAGAGTGTCCGCTGCTAATACTTTAATCGTTGCATATTCAGCATCGTTTATTTCATTGCCTTCCTTTAAAAATTTTTTAAAAAAAAATTTTGTCAGACTACTTGAAAGTGAAGAAACAGTAGAGTATCTCTCTTCTCTCTTGTTCCTAAATGGAGGTACAGCACAAAACGGCGCGCAGCCACAACTTGCTGGAAATGTCTGGCCCTTGTCAATTTTGGTAACAATCTCCCTAACTCAAGAGGAATCGTTTGATACTAAATCCGGTAGGATAAAAAAATCTTGGAGCAAGTTATGGCCGTGCGCGCCGTTTTGGGCGCGCGCCGGCGTGTCCCTCTAAATGGTCAGTATTAAAAAAGGTCAAAATGCTCCTTGAAATTATTTTGACCATTATGCTCCCTGACCTTTTTGAAAAATTTTAACAAATGACAATTTTAGGCTGCGGAAACGGGAGTAGGTATTACCTGCCCCTAAACTACGGTATCAACTAAGTGAGAGATTTTCCTCCCAAAATTTAACTCACTTCCGCCAACAACTTCAACCCTTTAGCATGACTAGCAACTCTTTTAGCAACTTTTTGAGCTAAAGGATGTACAGTAGAATTCCCCACATGTTCTACCAATTTATTTTCAATATTTCTAGACCACTTCCTTTTAATTATTCCATAAAATTTATCAGAATCTTGGGGGGTAGTGGCGGGAGTTGATTCTTTTGAGGAGGATTCTTGGGAAGAATTTTGTTCCAAATTTTTTTCTGGAGTTGTTTCTATATTAAATGTTGTTGGATTTGTTGTTTCTTTTTCTAATTTGGCCATTTGCTGAAGAAAAAATTTTAAAAAATTTTTTAAATATTTTTCAGAAAAATAGAACGTTTGGGCGCGAAAGTCACTCGGCGCGATGACTTATAAAATGGCTAAAAATGAACCTAGGGACATGAAATTTTGCAAAAAACTTCAAAATAAAGTTAATTATCTTCAATAAAAATTTCAGAATTTTTGTCCTGATACTTCAGAAGTTCTGGTCAGAATAACCCATTTACTTGCAACACTCTTCCATTGTTGCAATCTTTTGACTATATCTTTGAAAATACTTGACCAAAAATTTTCAAATTTTTGGAGAGTGTAGATAACACTATTAAGAATATCTATGCAAAATTTCAAGTCTCTAAGTCATCGTTTAATATTTATTTTATAAGCGCGCGCCAAAGGAAACTCGGCGCCTAAATGTACAGCTAAAGAATTAATTTAAAATTCTGATTTTTTTAATTCTGGAAAATTTTCAGAAATTCTGATTTTAACAAGATAAAATTTTTCAACATCAGAGAGGTCCGATTTAATCAAAAAAATTTTTTTTAAGTAAAAAAAATCCACCTCAAACAACCAAAGCAACAAATAAACATAAGCCTTTCTGACACCTGTAGTTATGCCCAGAAAAGAAATGCAAGTAATAAATAAAATTAGAAAAAAGAAAGTTTTTAATATTAATAAAAATAAAGAGAGAAGAAGCATTTTTGAGGTCTAAAATTAAAAAAAAATTTTTTTTTGACAAAATTAAAAAAAAGCAAGTAAATAATGGAAGATGTTTGCCCCCTTTATTGATTGCCTTTAACATAAAAGTCTCGAGAAAAAAATTTTTTTCTGAAAGAAAAGAGAAAATTAAAAAGGGAAAATGGGGAAGAAATTTTCGGTTTATATTTTTTATTGTTTTTTTATTTTAGAAAAAAATAAAAAAATATTTTTGTAAGATAAAATACAAGTTAAATTTGAAAAATAAAATATTTTTTTAATTTTATTTTTTAAATAAATAATGAATAAATTTAAGCAAAAATGAAAAAAAATATTTTTGAAAAAATCAGAAACTATCAATGCTTGTGGTATCTTGCCGCAACAATATTTCTGCGTTTTTTCTTAAAAACCTAATGATATTAAAGTCCATTTTGGAATGATTTTTAATATACAGTCGAGAACTTCGTTATGAGTTACACCCTTCAGAAAAATCGTACTTTATACCGAGATGTCTCTTAAATAGAGAGGTGTATTAGCTTAGGCAACCTTCCCCTACCCCCATTCTAATAACCAGCCAAATTTTAGATAGATGTGTGTCTTATAATGGGAGCATCTTATAATGAGAGTACCCAATATTGGGGGTATCTTATAATGAGGTATACGTAGAATCGAAGGTATTGGCTTAGGCAGCCTCCCACGACACGCACTCCAATACCCATCCAAATTTTAAAAAGGTATCTTAAATAGAGATGTCTCTTATAATAGGAGTACCCAATATTGGGGTTATACAATATTGGGGGTATCTTATAATGAGGTATACGTAGAATCGAAGGTATTCGCTCAGGCAGCTATCCCCCTCTCCGCCCCGTAAGCAACCAAATTTAAAAGGACGTATCTTAAATAAAGGTGTTTATTAAATAGAGGTGTATCCCATATTGGGGGTAACTTATAACAAGGTTTTCGACTGTCTAAAAATAATATTTTTTCTAAATTTAATTTAAATTTGTTTAATTTCAGTCTTCCCGTCTTTAGTAATTAATTCAAGTAAAGCCCCAGCTTTAGGCAAATCTCCACATTTTTCAGGTTCAAAAATCCAACCAAACAATTTTTCGGCAATAAAAGACAAAGGTGTCCACCTTTGAAAATTAAAAAAAAATTTTTTTTTGAAAAAATTTTTTTTGAAACGTTGAATGGTCAGCTTTAGGCATCCATTTTCTATTCATTGGGGTGTCTAAAGTTACAGGCAAAAAAGCAAAGGGAACAGCATTTTCTGGTAGACCGGAAGTTTTGTAGTCTGCCAAGCTTTTGACTAATTGGTGGACAGCGGCTTTAAATTTAAAGAAAAATTTTTTCTTAATTAAAAGGATTATTCTAATAAGTTTAGAAAATTGAGAAAACACTCCAAAAAAATGATTTCAAAATTTTATTTTCAAGTATGGTTGCCAAAATGGAAGTTATTGCTAGGAGCTTTGCTTAACATGTACACATGTGATTTACCACTGACTATTTCTACCGAACAACTATTCCCTCCTTCTTCCATACCAGAGTTGGGTCGGAACAGTCCGAGGTATCGGAAATCGGAACTGGCTCAAAAGTCGGAACTTGGAAATCGGAAATCAAAATTTTTTTCGGAAATCGCAAGGAAAAAACGCTCCAACACACGTCTGTTCCATACACAAATTACTCAAATATACATAACATTAAAGGTCTATTAAATTAAATTATTTATATACTCACCTTTAGCCATTCCATAGCCGATCATTCCAGGAGTTCCTTCAACCGCCTAAAATTCAAATTTTAAAACAAAATTAATTTCAAGAATCACCGCAGCAGCTCCAGTAAATTGCAGCAATCCCGAAGGTTTAAGAAACTTTGCTCCCATTTTAGCAGATATCGAGCTAGTCCAAACAGATTGCTTCCAAACCTTTTTTAAATATACAGTGCCGGAAAAAAAGATAGGACCAGACGCCCACATTTTCCTTTCCGCAAATTTTCTTCAGAATTTTAGACTTTTAAGAGAAAAAATTTAATATAAAATATTGATTAATCTATCCTCTTTCAAATGAGTACAAATATTACCTTTTTGATTATCAATTAATTTTACAAAACATCTCAAACAACAATTTTCTACTTAGTATCGATGGAAATGTTCATAGAAATTTTTATAGAATTTTTGACCGCACAAAAGTCGATATTTCTAGCCTGGTCCTATCTTTTTTTCCACCCCAAAATTGAGTAGTATTTGCTTAAAATTTTTTTAATAAAATTCTGTCGATAAAGTATACTGATATTTATACTCATTTTAAAGAGCACTTAATGGCCTAAAATTTTTGTGTTGAAACTTATTTTCTAAATGCCATTAAAAAAGAGATAAGCGAAAAAAACTAATTTAACAGCCTCTGGTCCTATCTTTTTTTCCGGCACTGTAAAATAAAAGAATTTTCCTTCAATTTTTTACCAAATCCGCATTTTTAATAAAATCTTTGTTGGAAGCATTCCCTCCAGCCCAACCTCCTGCTACACACAAAATAGCATCAAGCTTGTCTCCATTAAGTACGGATTCAACACTGAAAAGGGGAAGAGAGAGGAAATTTTTTAAGTTAGGCAGAGGCAATATTTAATTTTTAAGGTTGGACTCGTCTCGTAATTCTCCGTCGAGCATCATAGAGGGATGTATATTGAAATTGCTTTTAAAAAGCGAAGCTGGCATAGTAGCAATACTCCCACCTAACAGAGATGGAGGTATGAAAAAATTATTCAAAAGGCCCAATTCGAGTACCTTCCATTTGTCCGGTCGAAAATCTCTATTTTTCGTTCAAATACCCATCGGAATGGATATTTGAATATTCACCTCCCTCCACATCTCTCGTTCAAGTCCGCCACCCCCTCCTCCCCTCAACAAAAAACCCTGTCAAAAAAAACAAAATAATCCCCCACCCATTCAAAACATTCTTTTCCTGTTCCACCCAAGATTGGAGTGGGTCCACAAGCACATTTGAATTAGCTGCTTCACTTTCACTCATATCCACATTCAATACCCACTTGAAAAAATTAAATTTTTTTTTTAATTTTTTAAAAGAATCCTCACAATATTTTTTGATCGAAAAAAGTCAACCAATTCTTTCCCAAGTGCCCCACGGCCTCCATAAATTAATACTTTATTTGACAGCGCCATAAATTAATGTAATATTAAATTGAAAAATGCAAAAAAAAATCTGAAAACAAAATTATAAAATATGTACACCCTTTGGATAAAAGATTTTATAAAGAAGTTTATTTTAAATAGGGAGTATTGTTTTTAACTTCACACTAGGGATGGCAAACGAAGAGAAAAAAGTCTGGTCGGGTTTTGGATCGAAAAGTTTTCAAAAAAAAATTTTGGAGTCTGATTAAAGAAAAGTCCGGGTTTTCAGGTAACCTAAGCCCATTCATGATCCTCATCAAGTAATCACTTAAACCTACAAAATTAGAATATTGTGTGTATGAGTGTTGTTCCCCAACGGGGGGAGGGAAGGGGGACGAAGAATTCTCAAAAAAAGTCTCAAATTCCCCGACTTTCCGGGACGGAGTACAGACCTAGTGTGTATCCAATATAGGGTTGTTCCTCATACCCGAAAGTCGGGGTTTAGAAAATACTCCGCCCTCCCACCCCCCTCCTCGTGGCGCTGCCTTTCAGAAAATTGTTCCCCGTGGCCCTCCCTCTCCCCAGTCGGGGAACAACCCTAGTATCCTATAATGTGATATGATGAATTCAATTTTATTTTGCGGGCTACTACCACCTTAAAGAAAAAAGATTGATTTACTTTTAAAGGAAAAAAAGTAAATAGGGGACCCTTTAGAGAGAAAAGTAGCACACAAAAATAAGGAGTAAATAAATATTTTTGGAAATTCTTTCAATGAAATATATATACTTTTGTGTATATATGTAAATAATTGATAAACAACAAAATGCATGAAGAAAAATTCCTCAAAAAATAAATTTATATATAAAAAAGGATTTTTTAACAACCTTTGACCAAACAAAAATTTAAAAAAAAATTTTTTTTACCCTTAAAAATTTTTTTCTTTTTTTTCACAATTTCAAAAACACAAAAATATATATTTATGTATAGTAAAGTTCATTTTACTTTATGCTCATAAAAGTCCGCGTTTTGTCCACAAGTTATATACTATTTATTTAAAACCCTTAAGAAATTGAAAATCTTCGGGCTATGAGATACCGAGAAACAAGTATAGTCTGTCGGGCCCGAAAAGTCCGATACAGAGTAAAAAAAATATAAAAAAATAGTTCGACTTGCAGACAGAAATTTTGCGGACACAGGTTCGAACCAGGAATAGACTGGATTGAGAAAAGTTAGATCGAGTCTCCAAAATTTTCTTAAGATCGCGTGTTGGGGACTGAAAAAAGGTCGGGTAACCCAACCAACCCACCCCTGATTCAAACTCTTCAAATCCTCAATTGAAAAAATATTCTGATTTGCGGACAAAAATTTTGCGAATTTTTGAAAGCATAAAATAAAAGAACCCAAATATAATAAAAAAATTGTTACGAAATTTTTTGGCGTGTTTTTTTAATCATTTTCTTCCTCCAATTTTTTATCTTTTTTGTTCATATTTGTTGTTTGCCCACCTCCCCCTCCTCTTAAATTGCCTCCTCCTCCACCTCCCCTTCCTTCTCCATAATGATGGTTTGATTGTTGACCTCCACCACTTCCTCCTCCAATAGATGTTGAATGGCAATAGGAACGTTGATCTTTTAGACAATCATCTTCAAAAAAAATTATTTTTTAGAGTCTGAAAGTGTTTTAAGCAGAAATGACTTTAAAAACGCCTTCCAAGAAGGCTCATGAATTTTTCTAAATTTTCATTTATGAACAGGACAAATATTTCCAGTCAGGAAAGAGCAGACTACAAAGATTTAAAGACCCTAAACGGGTAAGAGGTTATGACCTCGTCTTCCACTTCCTTTTCCAATGGATAGGGAGGAAACCATTAAATTTCATAAAAAAAATACTAAAGAAAAAATGCGGACGAAATTTTGCGGACATAAGGTTTAATGGTCTTAACAGAGGTTAGACATCGAGAGACTAGTATAATGTGAGATTCGCCAATTCTTGGTGTTTAACTTGGTAGTAACGGACCTGGCTCCAACCTAGCAGTCAATTCCAAATATTTGGACAGATAAAGCGGGCTTGAGATAAGAGAACGTCTGCCTGCTCTCTTCTGCCTTATCTGACTGTTACACAAAAGAAAATTTCCGTCTTGTGTCCTTAATCCCAAAAATCCATCCTAATCCGCCTATGTCCATCGGGATCCCTCTTGATCCCAAAAAACCTTCTTTATCCGCCGAAATGTTTGGAATTGACCACAAGGGTGTTGTTCCCCTTACAAATTTAACAAAAATAAATTTTTAAATAATTCACAAACCGTGTCTTTTATATTCCAAAATTGCATTGGACGGTAAATTCAAAACCCTCCGAAGTGTTTCTCTTATTCTATTAGTAACTGGAGCAGAATCAGAGGAACGATTCCAAAGTGAAATTATACTTTAAAAAATTTTTTTTAGAAAATTTTAAAAATTTAAAAAATACTCTTCTTGATTTCGAACACTGCAAACAGCACCAACAACTTCACCGCCAACCAAAAATTGTTCACCTAAAAAATTTTTTTTTGATAAATTTAAAAGGGAGGAATGATTTTCTTGATTAAATAAATGAAAAATGTTTTTGGGGAGTTAGAAATTCTGAAAAAATTTTTGTTTAAAAATTTTAGAAAAAAATGCGGATAAAATTTGCGGACATTTTTTTCCATCTGAAAAAATTTTTTTCCTGCGAAAAAAATTAGCAAAAAATTTTTTTTTAATTTTTCGTTGAAATCGGTCCGCAAAAAATTTTTTATTAAACAATTTAATGTTCCTGTCTAGAAAAATAATTAAATAATTTTATATCCTATAGAATCAAAGCATGCCGTAAGAGCAAAGGCCTAAATACCAAGCCACCAAAAATCGGCGAAATAGAAATCTTGGAAAAACTTCAAAATGTTTAGCACTTCTGTGTTTTGGTATTAAGCAAAGGCGTATCAAGAAGGTCGGTTTCGGGAGGAGGGCTAACATTGGGTGTGCACCAAAATTTTGGCGTTCACCTTGGCGTTCCGAACGCAAATTTTTTTATACATAAATTTTAATCTTCTCACATCAGCGCCGCAGGCGAAAATTTTTTGAATTTTGGCAGGCCATAGGCCAAAAAAATGCACATTTTTTGCGCCGCAGGCAAAAATTTTTAAAATTTAGAAGGCCGAAGGCCAAAAAATTCACTTTTTTTAACCCAAACCCTTCCCCAAATTTTTTCCTTTTCCCCATTTCGGGGGGGGGGGCTCTAGCCCCCCTGGATACGCCTTGGTATTAAGGAACCAAATAACCAAATATAGAATTAGTAAAAAAGGAGGGGTCTTAAGAAAAAAAGTGCGGAAATAATTTGCGAACAACATTTTTAGCGGACAAAAAATTTTTTCCGGACATTTCTTTTGCAAACTTTCTTAAGCAAATAAATCCAAAAATGGTTCTTTTAATTTATAAAAAATTAAAAAAATCACCTATCATTGCCAGCAACAAATTCTCCCAAATTCTAGATGAGAGTCCCTTCTTCAGCCTTAAAAATTAACAAAAATAATTTTTTAAAAATTTCTAAAAAACCGTAAAATCCATTTTCCTCCATTTCTGTTTGCTGGGTCTTCCCAAACTTTAAAAAATAATTTTTTTTCTAATTTAAATAAAAAACCTGGTTTTATTCCTTCCTTAAACAAGTGAAAATCAACTTTTTCTGTGAGATCTAAAAAATAATATAATTAAAAATATTCAAAAAGAAAAACCTGAAGGCCTTTTGATGAATCGATAAATTAACCAGAACTAGAAAAATGGGGAATAAATTAAAGGTGTTGGTTAAAACGAAAAATAAGCCGGGCCGGGACAGGACTTTCCAGACACATAGACCTGGGCCCGTATCATGAGAGCAAGTTGTTAAAATGGTATCATAAGAAGTTGGTCATTTAACCCCTACCGAGAGGTTTTTTCGTATCATAAGAGCGTCTGGTATTTTTCTTCTTGCTTACCACAAACTCGCTTCTTATGATACCAATTTTACCGTCCGGTAAGGGTTAAATAACCACGAACCACGTTCTTATGATACGGGCCCTGAAGCTAGGTATTTTGATGAAGTCAGAGTTTTCGGGGGGTCCTTTCCTTGAAAAAATTCCCGGTGGTCTCTGTTTTTAATCTTGAAAACCCCAGAACAGGAACACAATTATTCCCTATATAAAATAAAAATCCCAGAGACATAACTGGAAAAAAAATAATAAAATTAAAAACCTGTTCAACCGAACTAATGCGCGCCACAGGCTGAACAAAACTAAAAGAAAAATTTTTTAAAATAACTCAAAAAATTCCCAAACATTGCATAATCTTCTGGATCAAATTTTCCTTGAGGTCGCATAAAATAAGAAAAAATATAACTGTGCTCTAAAGCATGTTCATCGGAATGGAGTGGATTGCTGGGCTAGAAAAAATTTAAAAATTAATTAGAAAAAAATTTTCCAAGCTTACAACAAATAATTGAAGAATCTGAGGTTTTTGATCAAAATCGGCATCCTTTTCACTATTATTTTTGTTGTTGGATTCAACAGACATTTCTCTTGTTTGAAGTAAAATAAATACAAATTAAATAAATATTTAAGCTAGAAAAATAAAAAAAATTTTTTTTAATTAAGGAAATGTGAAAAAATGAGAGCATTTACAGGGACACGCCCAAGTAAACGCGCGGCCATAACGTCGCAATTAGAGGTCGGCGCGGAAGAGATCCTGACGAGATTTTCCGGGATCCCTTAATCCCGAATTTTTTTGATTTTCGGGATCCGGGATATTCCGAGATTTATCCCTTGGAATACCATCCCGGTATCGGTTAAGAAAAAATCCCGACTCGATATCCCGGAAGTGCGATTTTGCCGACCTCTAGTCGCAAGGCCATAAATTGCTGAAAATTTCTGGCCCTTAACAATTTTGACAACAAACTCTAGCTCGATGAGAGGAATTGTTTAATACTAAATTTGGTAAGATTCGGAAATCCTGAAGCAAGTTACAATGAATGAAAGCATAGAAGTACCGCATTGGGTGCAATTGCAAGGCACATTTACCCAGTACGCTTTTTTGGAGAAATGCTACGGAAAGGAGAGGAAAAATAAAATGTGGGAGATAACCAGAATACTCATTTTTTAGCAGAAATTTAAAATTCTACACAAATATTTTTGAAAAATAATCTTTTAAAATAATTTATAAAATAAAAATCACACATTTATTTAAAAAAATAAAAAAATAATATTTTTTACTATAGAAGAATTTTGTTTTATTTTCTTTTGATCTTACTCATCATTTGTCGTAGTTATTACTCTGATTCATTGCTTTAGTAAGGTTAGTTTCTAAATCAGCAAGTGCTCTTGGCGAAATTTGATTGTATGTATCTTGATTCAGCGCACGCATCAAAACAATCATATTTTGAAGTGCAATGATTTGTTATTTAGAATAAATGCTTATTTAGAAATTCTTAAAATCCTTTGTTTGTTTAGGGTTGTGTTGCGATCAAAAAGTTGTTCACATCGGTAATTAGCGTCTGTAAATCGCCCTGATTTATTTGATTAAAATTATTGTGGTTGATGCTTCCAAGTAATTGAATCATCCTCTTCAATATTATAATGATTGTGGAAGCACGGTTTCGCAACTGAAAAAATATTTGATTTGAGACAAAAAAACACAAATAACTGCTAACAAAAAAATAAAATGAAAAACTAACATTCTCAAGTTTAGCGCCGGGTCCAATTGCATTTTTCTGTCCCAACAGCGCATTAAACTCATTTCCCAAGCTGTTACGACAACCGTTTGAAGGGCTAAAATAGGAAATGAAAATAAAGGCAATAAAGGTAATTTACCTTCCCACAAACTCATAACAATATCAATATCATTAATACCTTCCATGCGTAATTTATTTGGCTGAAATGATGCAACTATTGCATCTATTCGATTCTTAGCCAATAATAATATTATGGAACCAAAATTAAAAAAATATTTTTCATAAAATCTAAAAAGTATACTTAGACTTGATGAACAACCATTTGTTTTAATAAAGGTAAGTATATTAAAAGCATATTTATTTCAAAAGTCAGCTTTAAAAGCAAGCTCTCCTTCAAATTCCCAATCATTTTTAAAATTACTTGTAAACCACTGTGCCGCCATGAATGTAATAACTTCAGTTCTTAAAGCATTTAGATCCTTGTTTTTAATTCCTTGATATTCAGCTTCGTTAATTTTTTTCATCGTTGAAATCAGGCCTTCCAGAATAAGAATCAAAGCAGAGGCTCTATTTCGAAGCTAAAAATAAAAAAATATTAATTTTAAACAATGTATTAAAAAGTATTTCAAAGATTTTGCCTACAACTCTAAAAAGACTAAAAACAGAAAAACTTAATATAAAAAATGAAACTCAATAAAACGCACCATAGGTACATTATTTCCAGGCCCAATCCTGTTCTTCCTTTCATTGTATGTATTGAATCGCTGGCCAAGAGCCTGCACACCAACGGGAGCTATTGCTTAAAGGAAAATCTAGTTTAATTATGTATAAATTAAATCGCTTACCATTCCAAAATGAAGAAAGCAGGTGATTGGCGACTTCCAAGCTCAGCTTATCCGGACTAAAGTTTGTATGTATGTTATCAATTCAGTTTGACACAGCTTGGATCATCTTATCAAACTAAAATTTAATAAGGTAGGAAAATGAGAAAAAAAGAATACTTCATTACGGGCTGGATTAGCCCCCCCCCCCCCCCCCCCCCCCAAATTATTCAAAAAAATTTTAAATTTTGCTCGAAAACTTACAGATTTGATATCGGAGGCACTAATAACAATCTGACTTTTTCGAAAAAAATCTTTATTAAACATGGTGGTTCCAGGAATTTTAGAGCAAATTGTAGCGATTGCTTAAATAAAAACAATGTTATAAAAATTATTTTAAAAATAATAAATAAAAATTTTCCATTAATTGTAAAATATTTTATCAACTTAGCTGAGAAAATTTTATTTTATTTAAAGTTTCATCCTATAAAAATTTCCTTTAGGACTTTGAACAAAGTCGCTAGGACGACTTTTTACAATAAATTTCTCTGCTAATCAAAGCTAATTTTATTTTCTGTTAAAAACACAACAAGTGTAAATTAAAAAAACTTTAATTTTTCTCAGAAAATTTTTTTTTGATTGAGAGAGAAAATTATAAAACTTTAAACTACCTTTTTTCACTTACCCTTTTGTCTCTCGATGTTATGTCCCGTTTGTCAATTTGTGGCACAGCTCGGCGCACGGCCATAACGGCGCAAAGCCATAACTTCCTTCAAGATTTCCGAATCCTACCAAATTTAGTATTAAACGATTCCTCTCATCGAGCTAAAGAGAATTGTACCAAAATTGATAGGGGCCAGAAATTTTCCAGCAAGTTATGGTTCTGCGCCGTTATTGCCGCGCGCCTAAATGGGCGTGTCCCGTCAATTTCTTTTCTTTTGTAAATTTTTTTTCTCTTGTAAAATGATTAATAAATTAATTTAAATTTTCAGGCACTTTTAAAAATTATTATTTTTTTATTTTTTAAATGAGCTCTGTCGCAAAAAATCATCGAGGACCGGGCCTTAAAGGATGGCGACTTTTAGTTAGAAATTTAAAATTTGAGGTTTTTTTTGGAATTTTTTTTCTTTTAATTTTCAAAAAATTTTTTAGACAAAAGAAGAGGACATTAGAAAATTGGCTGGAAAATTTGGAGAAATACTCGAAATTAATTTGCCTAAAAGCAAGGACAAACGCTTTCCAAATTCTTGTGCTGGATTTTGTTTTATTCAATTTAAACGAAGAATGGATGCTGAAACGGCTAAAAAAGAATTAAATTTTAAAAAGTTCAATGGTAGAAAGATTGCTTTGGATTGGACAATGAATAAGGATGATTGGGAGAATAGTCAACATGAAGGTATTTGTTAATGATTGAGATTTCTGAAAAGCTTGGGCTTTTTCCTGTGTCCCGGGTTTGATTAATTAACCTGAGCCGGATCCTGGGCCTGTAGTCTAGGAAATACCCAGGCCCAGGAAAAACCTAGGAAGGTCAAAAAATGCCTGGACCTGGACTTTGGGTACAGGAAAAACCCAGGCTTTGGTCAAGGCTCTGCTCGATCTTCTAGTTTTCATTAAGTTAAATTGTATCATTTTTTCCCTCTTTCCCCTTGATTAATTCGGTAAATAGATCTCTGGTTGGTTCTATTAGTGGTCTTTTTTAACTTTAATTCCTGGGCCTGGTAAAATTCAAATTCATATCCCTCTCTTAGGAAATGTTAGATTAGTCTGATAGACGTAATAAAGTGAAGTTGGGGAAAGAAACGAAGTCTAACTATTTTTAATACTTTAAGCAAGAAAAAAGGGAGGTAGGAATTTCGATTTTATCTTCTTACTCCTTGTATTTTCCATCATTGTAGGATTCAATCATTAATGTTTAGGTCTTTTCTAAAATAGCAAAATTTTCTAGAAAATTCAAAAGACGCAAAAGAAATTAAAGACGAGCCTGTTGATGTTGAAATGAATTCTGGAACAGACGAGGAAATGTCAACTAATGGAACAACAAAAAAAGGTTTCGTTTTTTCTCTTTTTCTTAAAATTATTTTTAGATTTAAAATCAGAGACGGACGACGATGATTACGACACTTGTCATTCCGAAGAGTCTGAAGATGAAGAAGATGACAATATTGAGGGTGATGACTTTGAGGATGAAGAAGATGGAGAAAATGACTTGGAAGATGAAGATGATGAAATTTCTAATGAGCTAGAGCTAAAAGAGTCGAAATTTGTTAAAACTGATAAAAATGGGAAAAAGCAAAATTTTAAGGTTTTTTCTAAACAAAATTTTTTTTAAATTAAAAATAAAATTTTAGAAAGATGAAAATCGAAAGAATAATAATAATCCTCGACAGGGTGATGTGGCGCTGAGTGAAGGAAGGGTAGTTTTTCTTAGGTAACGACTTTTTGATTTTTTTGTAGATTTTTGGGGTTAATAATCTTGTTTGTGTGTAGCATTTTTTTTCACGCTGAGGGTCGGGAAAGGTCAATCCTAATTTATGAGTATTTTGCTTTTGTAAATCTAGCCAACGTTGGCTGACTAACTAACAAAAAAATTTTTTCGGAGTTTTCTTTGCCTTCAACATTTCAAAATTTATTTTTTATTTTTTAATAATGATTTGTTTATGATACTTTATGCTATGATTTGCTATATTTATTTCGAGTTCTGGTCCGAATGTAAGAAAAAAACCCAAATACCGGGCCCTGCAAATTGAAAAGTTCAACTCCAATATGCTATGATTATTTTTCTTCCTATAGTTGGGCACTTATTATTTTACTATATCTGGCTTTATAATGAAACTAATGGGTGTGTTATTAAAAAACGAGAAGTGGAGAATATCAGTAAATAATGTCGCACACAGATAGGACGCCTTAAAATTTATCTTAAAAAATTTCTTTTAGAAATTTGCCTTTATCTTCGACTGATGAAGGACTTAAAGAATGGCTTATTGCAAACAAAATTGCCCCTTTCTCTTTGGCTATATTATGTCGTTCAAAACAAACAAAATATCCAACGGGTGCTGCATTTGTGCATTTAATAGAAAAATCTACAACCGATTTGTTTTTGGAAAAATTGGAAAGTGTTAGTTTTTTTTTCATCAATTATTTTTTTATGGAAATAATTTAGTGATTACTTCATAAGTCCTTATTGTTAGAATTGATTTCTATTTTTGCCTATTTTAGTTAAATATGTCTTTTTGTGCCAACTTTAGTCTGCAATTTTTGTCCGCAAAATGTTTTTATTTTTCTTTCTTTTAGAGTTTGTATGTTATTGTGGTAAGCTTGAGCTGGGTCTAGGACAAAAATAAGCTTTTTTTTATGATTTGGATTTTCCCAAATTCCGGGCCTGGGAACTCAGGTCATTGAGTAACAATAAAAATTTTTTGTGATTTGATTATATAATAAAATTAGGACTTTTCACTTGAACTAAAATAAGGTTATTTTTACATAAGTAATCACCCAGCTATACTGATCGTTGTTGGGGCCCGAGAGTACTTGAATTAACTGGCTGGGTCTATCTTTTGGGCATAATTTTGATAGATATTTTATTTTCAATTAAATATTTTTCTAATTTCCAGCCTCAAGGGATGCTTTTTGATGGCCGTCGTTTAATCGGATATCGAGCAGTTGACAGAAAATCGGCAGATTCATTTAAACGTCCACAAGAAGAAGATAAAAATCCAAAAGACAAAAGAAATCTTTATTTGTTGAGAGCTTCGTTAATTAGAAAAGGAACACCTCAAGAGAAGGGAATGTCTGAAGATGATGCTAAATTGCGCGAACGTTTGTGTCAATTTGCAAAGAAAAAGTTGCAAAATATGATTACTTTTGTGTCGCCAACAAGACTAGTGGTATGAGTTTTAAATACATATATATTCTATTCTCTTTCCGGAAAATTTTATATTACTTTTAATTCTCTATTTTATATGCAACTTTCCGGAAAACATATAATTGTTAATTCCTTCCGGAAAGTTTTAAGTATTTTTACTATTTCTATTACTTTAAGTATTTCTTTATTTATCGCATATACATTTTCCGGAAACACTATTTTTAATTTCCTTTCCGGAAAGTTTTAAGTATTTCTATGTATTCTATTTCTATTACCTTAAGCTTTTCTTTTATCGTATATTCATTTTCCGGAAACTTTGTTATTTTTAACTTCCTTTCCGGAATGATCTAAGTGTTTCTTTTTCCGGAATTTTTTTATTTTGTATATACATTTTTCCGGATAATTAATACTTAAATTAGGTGTATCTAGATTCTTTCCGGAAAACTGGTATAATTGTTTAATTCTTTCCGGAAAGTTGTATTTATTTTTTATGCATTTTCCGGATCTAATTAAATATAATTTTGTATATTCCTTTCAGGAAAACTCTAATTAGAATAGAATATTTTTAATATAATACTAACATTTTTTAAATTAAAATATATTTTTCAGATTCACAATATTCCATTTAAATTTACTGATGAACAATTACGCCATCTTTGTCGTGCAGCAGCAGGTGTTTGTGACAATTCAATAATGGAATGTAGAATTATGCGTCAAGTTAAAGGAGAAAATAATAAAGGGAAAGTTATTCTTGGAAAATCGAATGGTTATGGATTTGTGGCTTTTAAGGAACATTCTGCAGCTTTACAATGTTTAAAACAAATGAATAATAATCCTCACATGTTTACTAATGAAAGGGTAAAAAATTTTGTTTTATAACGTATTTTCCGGAAGGTTATATTAAATCTTTTCCGGAAAGTTGAAAATTCTGATTTAAATAATATTATTTTTTCCGAAAGTTATTGTTTAATAATTCTGATTATCTGTATTAGTTTTTCCGGAAAAATTATAGTTCTATTCCTTCCGGAAACTATGGGTTATTATTGTATTTTCCGGAATTTTCCGGAATTTTTCTGATGTATACACATTTTCCGGAAGGCTTTAATTTAGATTTATATATTCTTTCCGGAATGTTATTTTTAATAATTCTAATGTTTATTATTGTTTTTCCGGAAGAGCAAATAGAACTATAATATAATTATACTTTTCCGGAAACTTATATTTATACTTATATTTTCCGGAATTTTTCTGTTATTATATTTTTCCGGAAGGCTATATAATTTAAATTTAATTTTTCTTTCCGGAATCTTCAAATTTATTTTTATTTTTATTTTTTTTAATTTAAGCGTCCAATTGTAGAATTCTCTATTGAAAACTTGAATGCTTTAAGATTAAAAGAGCGTCGTAAACAAATGAGTAGAGGAGAAATAGTTGCAGCATCAAATAATAACATCAATAAACAAAATAAAAAGAAGGATATTAATAAATCTGAAGAAAATTTTAAAACAGGAAATGATCCTTTAGCTTTAGAAAAAACTAAGAAAGAATTTATGAAAGGAGGACAAAAATTTTTGCCAAAAAAATTGGGAGAAAAAAAGAGGCATAAAGATATGCAACAACAAAATAAACGAAGAAAGAGATCAGATAAAGATGATAATCAAAAATGTAAGCGAAATAAAAGGTCAAGTAAATAAATTGGGGGGAAAAGAAAAATTTTATTTTTGAAGAATTTTTTAAAATGGAAAAAAGATTATATTTAAAATTGAACATTTTGCGCATTTTTTTGTCGGTTTATTTTTATTCAAGAAATTTTTGTTGTCTTACAAAAGAAAATTAATTTTCACAACACTTAAAACAATTGAAAATAATTTATTTTGGATAAAAAATATTATCAAAAAATATTTTTATTTGAACAAAAAAATGAAAAAAAAATCTTTTTTGGTACTCCCATAATTTTCAAAAAAATTTTTTATTAAAATTAATATTACACATAAGAGATCTAGCCGACACGATTTCTGAAAATCGGGAATTCCTGATTCCGAAAATTGGGAATTATTTTTATGTCGGCTAGATCCCTGTTACACATATAAATTTTATTAGCTTTTTAATGAATTTTCTACTAAGATTTTCTTCCCACAAAAAAAATTTTTCCCTTTTAAAAAATAAAAAAAAAAGATTTTTTTATGTTTGAATTTCAAAGTCTACTTATTAAATTGCAAAAGAAATTTTAATACAAATAAAATTTCATTTTTTTAAATTTCTAATTTAAGTTAGACACATCAGGATCGGCAAAATAGCATTCCTTAATTTTTAAAAATTATTTAAAATATTTTTTAAATTAAAATTACCCTTTCAATTCCCATATTAAATTGATCTCCACGACCTCCATTAAACAAAGACGTTACAACACGGAACCAACCCATTTCTCCCTAAATTAGAGGATTTTTTTAAATTTTAAAATCCCTCTAGAATTGCTCACCCACGCCTCTCCCCAACTATTTCGTACAATCCAATATTCAGTTTTTGTTTCTTCATCCCAATCCCATCCTGTTACTGAAACAATATGGTTTGGCTGAAAAATAGGAGAAAATACATATTAATTTAATTTTTTCTAAAAATCTAGAAATAAGGGGTTTCGAGACAAAATTTATTTAATGCCCAGATTGCTAGGTGAAGAACCCCACCAGAAAACAGAGAATTTTTGATTCTGGTTTTTTTCCAGCCTGCCAGGCAATGGAGAATGGAAAGCAGCGGCCTGCCAGGCAATGGAGAATGGAAAGCAGCGGCCTGCCAGGCAATGGAAAGCAGCTGCCAGGCAATGGAGAATGGAAAGCAGCGGCCTGCCAGGCAATGGAGAATGGAAAGCAGCGGCCTGTCAGGCAATGGAAAGCAGCTGCAGGCAATGGAGAATGGAAAGCAGCGGCCTGCCAGGCAATGGAAAGCAGCTGCCAGGCAATGGAGAATGGAAAGCAGCGGCCTGCAAGGCAATAGAGAATGGAAAGCAGCGGCCTGCCAGGCAATAGAGAATGGAAAGCAGCGGCCAGGCAATGGAGAATGGAAAGCAGCGGCCTGCCAGGCAATGGAAAGCAGCTGCCAGGCAATGGAGAATGGAAAGCAGCGGCCTGCAAGGCAATAGAGAATGGAAAGCAGCGGCCTGCCAGGCAATAGAGAATGGAAAGCAGCGGCCTGCCAGGCAATGGAGAATGGAAAGCAGCGGCCTGCCAGGCAATGGAAAGCAGCTGCCAGGCAATGGAGAATGGAAAGCAGCGGCCTGCAAGGCAATAGAGAATGGAAAGCAGCGGCCTGCCAGGCAATAGAGAATGGAAAGCAGCGGCCTGCCAGGCAATAGAGAATGGAAAGCAGCGGCCTGCCAGGCAATGGAAAGCAGCTGCCAGGCAATGGAAAGCAGCGGCCTGCCAGGCAATAGAGAATGGAAAGCAGCGGCCTGCCAGGCAATAGAGAATGGAAAGCAGCGGCCTGCCAGGCAATGGAAAGCAGCGGCCTGCCAGGCAATAGAGAATGGAAAGCAGCGGCCTGCCAGGCAATAGAGAATGGAAAGCAGCGGCCTGCCAGGCAATAGAGAATGGAAAGCAGCGGCCTGCCAGGCAATGGAGAATGGAAAGCAGCGGCCTGCCAGGCAATAGAGAATGGAAAGCAGCGGCCTGCCAGGCAATAGAGAATGGAAAGCAGCGGCCTGCCAGGCAATGGAAAGCAGCGGCCTGCCAGGCAATAGAGAATGGAAAGCAGCGGCCTGCCAGGCAATAGAGAATGGAAAGCAGCGGCCTGCCAGGCAATAGAGAATGGAAAGCAGCGGCCTGCCAGGCAATAGAGAATGGAAAGCAGCGGCCTGCCAGGCAATAGAGAATGGAAAGCAGCGGCCTGCCAGGCAATAGAGAATGGAAAGCAGCGGCCTGCCAGGCAATAGAGAATGGAAAGCAGCGGCCTGCCAGGCAATAGAGAATGGAAAGCAGCGGCCTGCCAGGCAATAGAGAATGGAAAGCAGCGGCCTGCCAGGCAATAGAGAATGGAAAGCAGCGGCCTGCCAGGCAATAGAGAATGGAAAGCAGCGGCCTGCCAGGCAATGGAGAATGGAAAGCAGCGGCCTGCCAGGCAATAGAGAATGGAAAGCAGCGGCCTGCCAGGCAATAGAGAATGGAAAGCAGCGGCCTGCCAGGCAATGGAAAGCAGCGGCCTGCCAGGCAATAGAGAATGGAAAGCAGCGGCCTGCCAGGCAATAGAGAATGGAAAGCAGCGGCCTGCCAGGCAATAGAGAATGGAAAGCAGCGGCCTGCCAGGCAATAGAGAATGGAAAGCAGCGGCCTGCCAGGCAATGGAAAGCAGCGGCCTGCCAGGCAATAGAGAATGGAAAGCAGCGGCCTGCCAGGCAATGGAGAATGGAAAGCAGCGGCCTGCCAGGCAATGGAGAATGGAAAGCAGCGGCCTGCCAGGCAATGGAAAGCAGCTTGCCAGGAATGGGGAAATCCTCTTCGGAAATTAACGTGCTTGTCTCTATTGTCTGGCTGAAAAACCAGTGATCCTGCCATCTCGATTCCCGAAAATCGGGAATCGAGTTTTTTGGGTCGAGATCCGATTTCCCGAAATAAGTAATCGTTTTAAATGCTATACAGCTGGATCTACCTTCTTCCTTGTGATATCTAGGTCCTGACTTCAAAATTTAAATGTTTTATGGTTCCAAATTATTTTCAAATTATAGACTTTTTAAACCACATTCCTAATCATTACAAAAAGTGTCCTTACAGGATATTCCCCATGTTCTCTATAAATTCCAGAAGTATAGTTCAAATCGAATTGAGGAGTACACCCCATTGTACACGAAATAGGTCCTCGATTGTGTATTTCAGACATCATTTGAAGCCTTCCAGTAAGCTTCCCAAAGTCCTTAATATAATAGCGGGTGTAGTTTTGAATAGAAAAACATTTGTCAGGCCAGCAGCTGCCACAACGAGTGAATGGTGTACATTCGGAAAAAAATGATTGAATTTTTTGAGAGAAATTTTTTTTTGAAAAATGTTTTGAAAATTTTTCTGAGACTTTCTTAAGTTCAGTTACCATATTTACTCGATTAATTCCCCCGGGGAATTATTTTTTCAGCCCATCCGTGGCATGGGGATGGCCCCCTACCTTATCCACATTAACGTCGATCAAGGGAGGGGAATTATTCGAGTTTTGAAATTTTAACGTTTAGTAGGGTATTTGGGGGAGGAGGATTATTTCAACTCATCCGTAGCAGGGGGAATTCGAGAGAGGGGAATTAATCGAGGGAGGGGAATTATTCGAGTAAATACGTTAGTAGAAATAACAACCAAAAATATCCCCCTATATCACCCCTTTTCGATCAAGTCCAACAACATCCGTTTAATGTAACAAAAAGGAAGTCCTCCCCCTACCGATCTATCACATTAACGCCCGTTTTTTCCATTTTAATTTTATTCCCGTCTTTTCAAGTATTCCCCATATTATCTTCCTATATATTGAGCAGTTAATTTCGTACTGATCCCTCTTTTTTATCAATTATTTTTAACTTTTACTTTCATTGACTGCCTTGAAATTATTGCATCCTTCCTCGACAAGTCCAACAGTTTTTGCATGTTCTAATATACATATGTATATTAAAAAAATTTTTAAATTAAACATACCAAAAACATCCTCTGCCGTACCTCCATTACACCCTCTCCCTCTCCCATTACAGGCAATTATTTCCTATTTAAATAAATTTAAAGATATTATTCTCAAGATTTAGTCTCTACCTGTGGGGAAAGACTAGTCATCGGCCACCGATTTTTTCTAGCAATATTAAAACGGTCGTTGAGAGAGCCTATAAAAGGAGAAGAAGCCTTAAGGATTTTTTTCCGGAAATGAGGAGGAAATAAAAGTAAGGAAAAAATTCCGGAAAGAAATTCCGAAGAAATTCCGGACAGCAATTCCGGAAAGAAATAATAAATTCAATAGAAATTTAACTTTCCGGAAATATTTATTTATAATTTATCAAGAATTAAACTTTCCGGAAAAATAAACAGTAAAATTAATATTTTCCGGAAAATTAAAGACTTCTACAACTTGTTTTAAAAATTAATAGAAGTTTCCGGAAAAGTTTTAATTTAAGAATAAACTTGCCCAAAGATCCAAACACCCAACAACCACCACAATAAACAGGAATGTGTTGATTGCGTGTAGGCGAACAAAAGTTAATTCCATCAACATTCCTCCAGTCCCATTTACGGGGAATGGAAAGTTCAAATCCTGGGAACTCGTAACTTCTTGGATATGTTCTATGCTGAACAGGTTTATTTCGACGTAGAAGGCAGGGGCCTTGAATATGGCGTGGACGTTCTTGGATGTTTTGAAGGGGAGAGTGTCTAATTGGAAGAGACTTTTTTGGATGTTTTTTCTTCTAAAAATATTTTTTTAACTTAAATTCTGCTCGAATAAAATACCTTTGCTTCTTGTTCCTTCACCATCTTTTCCCAGTCAGAAAACCAAGGGATTACTGGCTCTACATAATTATCGTTTTCAATCCCTTCGGATTCCATGGATAAACTAGAATCTCTTCTCTCTTTAAAAATATCGGCATTAGTTGATATTGAGCCTTCCTCTTCATTGCGAATATCCTCCTGATCCTTGTTGTTTTTCAATTTATTTTTAAGATGGATATAGAAAGGTGGTTTGGGCATTGGAATCGGTGGCAGAAAGACAGGAGGGGGAGGAAGAGTAGGAAGAGGAAGAAGAAGAGGGAGAGGAGGAGGAGGAGGATATCTCCCCTCATGGAGTACACGCTTCACCCATCGCTCCACAGTCTCATGATGCTCATTTGCTTGGCAATGATGCCATAGAAGAAAGCCAAGGCATAAAAGTAAAGGCAGGATTAATAGAGAAGAGAAAGAATTTCCGGATCGTTTTATATTCATATTTCTGAAGCTTAGCAAAGTTGTCTAAAATTAATAAACTTTTTAAAAAAATTTTTCGGACTGATTAATAAAAATTTCCGGAATGATAATTTTCAAGAAAATAACTCTAAAAAATATAAAACTTTTCCGGAAAGGATATACTACTATACCATAATCGAAAATCATTCTTTCCGGAAATATAAATAAACACTAATATAGAATTACAACTTTCCGGATTCTATTTTCCGGAAAGAAAATAACTTAAAAAATATATAACTTTTCCGGAAAGAATATATGTAACTACCTATAATACAATCTAAACTAAGCATCTTTTCCGGAAATATAAATAAACACCTACTGAGAATTACAACTTTCCGGATTGTATTTTCCGGATAGCCTTAATTCTATTCCTTTGTATTTTGCAAGAATAATTTTGTATTTTATTTAATAAAAGAACACAAAAATTGACTGATTTTTATATAATTTATTTATTTACCAATGTTTGGTTAATATTTTTATCAGATGCCGAATTCTTATCAGTAAACAACAAAATTTTGTAAAAATTAATTAAACTATTTTTTGAACGAATGAGACGATAAAAAACAACAAATATTGCTGATAATATTTTTCTAGTTTGAGCTTTCTAATTTTTATAATAAAGTACACTTATATTTTATACTAAATTTTAGACAAAAATAATGCAAAATAAGCATCAATGTCAGAAAATAAACAAGCCTTTAATAAAATATGTTTTACTGTATCTGCTCGAATAATACCCTCTCTGAAATAATAATTACTCCATCCAGAAAAGGGTTGAAAGAATAATTACCCCATTAAAAATGTATAATTTGCCTTTGTAAAATCATCTCGAATAATTGCCCTTTCTCCATTAATTATTCCCTCCAAATACTCGCCCGGGAAAATTATTAGAGCATATACGGTCTTCAAAACAGCATCAAACAACAATTAGACGGATTGTTTAAAAAAATCCAGTATTTCCTCAAGAATTAAAAAAAATATTTTTTTGGGTCTCAGACAGCCAAGGGAGTGTCTTCAAACAATTGTCCGATGAAACACGGAATCAATCATCATCGACCCAAACGTACATTTCGTACTTATCTAGCGAATATTTTTCTCTTTCCTTTTTATTGTCTCTCAATTTACTTAAAATTATTTTATGGGTTGCAAAAGTAAAAGAGAAAAGGACTAAAAATACTATGTGTTCCTTTAAATTTTAGGGATTTGTAAATATTTTACAATTGTAATTAATTTAATTATATTAAAACATGTATTTATGTACAAAATGAAATACAAACAATTGGAGTATAACAAAATAAAATTTGTTCAGCTAATTTTCCGGAACGAAAATTTTCCGGAAATAATAAGGAACGAATTACCAGAATATTATAATTACCATAATTTTTGCAACTTTCCGGAAGGTTATAATTCTGATTTATTCATGTTTTATTATTCATGACTTACAACTTGAAAGAAGAATATTAATAAACCAGAATTTAAATCAGAATTATAAAATAAACTTTCCGGAAAGTTGCAAATATTAATTCTGGTAATTTTTATATTCTTTCCGGAAAGTTGTAATTCTGATTTAAATTCTGATTTAATTTCTGATTTATTAATATTCTTCTACCAAGTTCTAGTGCAAATTGCCCTAGTGTTTATTTCTGGAAAATTAGCTGATACAAAAAATTTTTATTTTTCGAAAAAAAATTTTTTTTTCAAAAAATATTTCTCATAAAAATAATTTTAATATTTTTTTATTCTTTTTACTCAATTATAAGTAATTTATTTTTTACTCTCCCACTTGCTTATCTTCAATTTCCTCACCATCTACCTCCTCGACTCCTTTTCTTCCAATCGGTCTAATATCGGAATAATACAAGAGAAGAAAATTTTTAATTTTATCCTCATCAAATTCTTTATTTATTTCCCTCCGACATTCCTGACAGAGAAAATTAGGGGGAAATTGGTATTTTGGAAATTTGGGGTCTTCTGTCTCTTTACCATGAAGTCTGGAATTGACTAAATTGTGTGCCTTCCATAAATAAAGAAAAACGTCTTCCTCTCGATTTATCTATAAATTTAGAAAAATTTAAAGAAATTTTAAGAAAAAATTTTTTTAATTTACAGAAGTTTCGATTCTAGCAGTTTTTGTGGTCATTTTACGAAAATGAACTCTGCAATGGTCACAGGCAAAAAAAGATAGAACCCAATCGCGTATTGCTAATAAAAGACGTAAGGGATCAAAAGAATTGCCTGTTAAATAAAAATAAATTATTTTTTGAAGATATTATTTTTATCTTTACATATCTAAAGGGCATGCCGAAACTTGCGGACCGAAACTTGCGGACCCGACGAATTTCTCAAAACATAGTTCGTTTGAAAGAGCTCGACGAGCTGAGTCGAATGACATCAAAATCAGCGTGATTGTACAAGCTTGGACAAAGTTACGATTGAAAAACAAAAACCTAAACCTATTGTCCGCAAAAGTCGGTCCGCAAGTTTCGCACTACCATCTAAAGGTGTATATACCTAATATTATTATTTAAAAAAATAATGTATTCCTTTATTTTTTTCCGGAATTTTCTTTTCCGGAATTTGTATTTATTTTGTGATTAACTCTTTCCGGAAAATCCTTCCGTTTTATTTATTTTATAATTTTCCGGAAGGTGTATATTCTTAGTTATTATTTATTTTATAGTTCTAATATTTCCGGAAAGTTTTAGTTACTTATTTTTTTCTAGTTTTTTCCGGAAGGAATATTATAGGGGGAACAGGCTAAAAGAGGGATATTCAACACAATTTTAAAGCTTTTCTTAGACCTTTCCTATTTTACCCACCTTTTTGCCCATTTCTATATCCATTGACTGTTAATACATGAAATAGAGTCCAAAGCCCACAAGTATATCCGCGTAGCACTGGAGTGCTTCTAAAAAATATTTTTTAATTCAAAAAAAATTCCCCAAACCCTTTACAATGTTCCCATTCTTCAGAAATTGGAAAAGGATTTTTCTGATCACTCTGGAAAATATTTTCTAAATTTAAAAATTAATTTTGCCTCCGCTCTAAGAAATTCAGCCTTCCATGCTTCAATAGGTATAGCTTCTCCCAAACTTCTCTGTTCATTAATAAAATCGCGCAGATGACTGAAAAATTTTTGGGGGAAAGTTGAGGAATTTTTTAAAATAAATTCTTTATTCTCGGGTCAAATAAGGAAGTAAAATGATAGTTTCCGGAAGAATAGACTTTCCGGAAAGAATAAAGGATAAAGTATCGTATATGCTCAAATAATGTCCCTGGGTAGTTATTGTTTCACCTTTTCACCCCTCGATGGAGGTTAGATGTAGGTGGTATTTAGGGGGGGGGGGTTAGATGTAGAGGGCAATTATTTGAAAGGGCATTGAGCATATACGTTAATGCTAAATTTTTGAAAAATGTGTTTCCGGAAAAAAATAATTTTTAAATAAACAACCTAAAAACAACACGAGCTCGACTGCTAGCATTTAAAAACTGAAAAAATATTTTCAAATATTTTCAAATATTTTAGAATTTTCCAAAATTTTCTAAAATTTATTTTAACCTCAATATTATCTTTTTCATTAAATTCATTAATTTCTCTAGAATTTTGAGAACCATTAAATTCTGTCTCTCTAGGTTGAGGATGGATTGTACGATGAGGGAAATACTTTAAAAATTGTATTTTATTTTTAAATATCTACAAGAATACATTAGCTAATACATCCACAAATTCATATAAAGCTCTCAAATTTTGTCCAGTAATATTCTCTCCTCCAATCATTTGAACATCGTTAAAAAGTGCTGAAGAATATGTTTAGATTAATTAACTTTCGGAAGAAATGAAGTATAATTCGAAAATTTTTCCGGAAAATGTAATAGAATTAATAGGTTCCGGAAAATACCCATAATAATTCCAGAAGAAATAATGGAGTAATAAATTAAGTCTCCGGAAAATAAATTCCCAGAAAAATAATATCAGAATTGATACATAGTTTCCGGAAGAAATAAGGTATTCTATTAAACAAATTGTTTCCGGAAAGTATAATAATTTCAATAAGAAATAAATTTGAATTGATATTCCCCGGAAAAAATAGAAATTCCGGAAGAAATAAAGTAAAGCAATTGTTTCCGGAGAAATATAAAAGTTTCCGGAAAAAAAGAGAATAGAATGATAGCTTCCGGAAAATACTCATAATATTTCCGGAAGTAATGAAGTAATAATATAATAGTTTCCGGACAATAGACTTTCAAGAAAAAATAGAGAATTCCGGAAAGAATAAAAATTCCGGAATGACTGCAGAAATAATTCTATGTAGATTAATTGTTTCCGGAAAACTGATAAATTATGTTATATGTATTTCTATACACCAGTTTATCCAAAATTAGTTTACCAATAATTAATTAAAATTAAAATTAAATTTACCAATACGCGCACTCTTTAACAAATCCAATTCAGAAACATAATAGGCACGCTTACATCTTTAATAAAAAATTTTTTTTTCAAATTTTTAACAAATCCCCTCACATTTGAGGAAAATTGCTACAAAATTGTTCAATATTTTCACCTCCCGAAGCAAATTTTTTTCTAGAAAAGAACTTGTTCATAGACCTTTTACTTGTTTCCTTGCTATCATTTCGTAATAATTGTTCAAATTCGTTAAGTAGAAGACGTCTAAGTCTTCAAAATTAAATTAAAAAATTATTTTCCAAAAAAACAAACTCAGCAATATAGGCAGGAGAACGTTCTCCCCTCCTAAAAACCGCAAATGTTGGGAAATCTTTTATTTGTAGAGCATTTGCCAAAGCATTATTTACACACCTTCTAGCAACAACTTTGTCTGCATAACCGGAAAGGTCTAATAAAAGTTGCGCGCCAACTAGAGAGTTTGTATTTGATTCGAATAATACAATAAGGGTTGATATATGTGTATCTATTCCTTTCCATAAATTATTGTATGTTTCTACGCTTAAATTAAAAAAATTTTATTTATTGGGGACATAGAGATCGAGAAATAAAAAGAATACTAAAACTTTCCGGAAACTATATAAAAGTTTCCGGAAACTATAGTTATTCTGACTTTAATTCCGGAAAAAATACAAAATAGATAGATAATTTTACGGGAAAATAAGCCTTCCGGAAAAGTCACTAAAGATAATTCTAAGTTAACATCTTCCGAAAAACTTAAGAACTCACGAATAATATTTACGTATTTTCCGGAAAACCTTTTCCGGATGAATGAAAATAGAAATAATTACAATTTTCCGGATAACATACTTAATATTACTAACTTTCCGGAGAAAATAAAAGATTTCCGGAAAATAAAATATAACTGAACTATAATTAAGTTTCCGGAAAAAATATAGAGCATTTATAGCTTTCCGGAAAAAATAAATAAAATAAATATACCCACTCTTCTAGCCATTCAAATTTAGGCCAATCCTCATAACGATTTTCCTCATATTCAGTTAATAGAACTCGAGTTATTTCTTCAAATTAAATTAAGATTTAAATCTATTTATCTACTCACGATCTCTCATTTGAGCTAAACTTTGATAGGAACGCAATATTTGGCCTACAGAAGTACTCGAATTTAAATTAGCCTCTAAGCTGTTACGAGGAAAATACTTTAAAAAATAAATTTATTTTGGGAAAATAATTATTTTAAAAAACTTTTAAGAAAGGATAGTGGGTAATTGAGCTGTCTTTACACGTATCTAAATTTACTGGGTCAGCACAGTTTATCTGTAAATTAGTAAAAATTTTTAAAAAATTTTAGAAAATTACAGCAGCCAATTTAATCACTCCTTGCCATGCCAACAAGTCTTTGGCCAATGCTTTATAGAGACGGGAATACCTTTAAAAGTTCAGGGGATTATTCTCCTAATAATTTTTATTAAAGATTATTTTACTAAATATTAAGTTTCTCGAGTTTATTTTCAGGTTTCTAGTCTTAATTCAAGTTTTTAAGTTTAATCTTAAGTTTGCTTAAGTTTTCTATTTAAGTTTGCAAATTAAAAAAAGTTTATTTTTTATTAATTCAAGTTTGTAATAATCAAGCTTGTTTTCCAAGTTTATTTTTAAATTCAAGTTTCTAGTATAATTCAAGTTTTTAAGTTTGATCTTAAGTTTGTTTAAATTTTTCTATTAAGTTTACAAATTAGACAAAGTTTATTTTTATTAATTCAAGTTTTAAGTTTATTTTTAATTCAAGTTTATTTATTTTCAAGTTTGTAATAATTCAAGTTTCTAGTATAATCAAGTTTTAAGTTTATTCTTAATTCAAGTTTATTTATTTTCAAGTTTGTAATAATTCAAGTTTGTTTTCCAAGTTTATTTTTTTATATTCAAGTTTCAAAAAACTTACGCTCTACAATGCCCACACCAATCTGAATAAAACTCAACTATGATGCTTGTACAGCGCTCATTAATTTCGGATTGTACCTCTCCAGAAACAAAATTATTATTAGATTTAATTGACTCATTTAATGAATTATTATTTGCATTTTCCTCCAAAAATAAAGAATTCGAAACAATTTTGTTTGGGTCAAAACAAAATACAGTATCATTAAATGATTGGTCATCCAATTGTACCACAAAATCGTTGGCATCGTAAAGTGTAGGATTTGTGCCCTAAAGATGTAAAAAATAAAATTTAATAAAATAACTTTATCTTTGAAAGTTTTTATCTAGTTAGGCAATGTTTTGAAGTTTTTAAGTTAGTAATAATTCAAGTTTATTTTTTAAAGTTTATAAAAATCCAAGTTTATTTAACTTTTCAAGTTTGTGGTAATTCAAAGTTTTTAAGTTTGTAAAAAAATTTAAGTTTATTCCAAGCTTTAAGTTTGTACTAATTTATATTTTTTAAGTTTTTAAGTTTATATTTTTATTTTTTTCAAGTTTTTAAGTTTGCAGTAATTCTTGCTTATTTAACTTTTAAGTTTGTGATAATTCAAACTTTTAAGTTTACTATGTTAAGCTTATTTTTTAAGTCTTCACTTTGCCATAATTAAAGTTTATTTTTAAAGTTAGTACAAATTCAAGTTTATTTTTTCCGAGTTTTTAAGTTTGTAATTTCTTTGTATATAATCTTAAACTTGAACGGGGGACATGTCTACAATAAAATAAGTTACCTTGGGAACAGTTGTATAGTCAGCAAAAATAGCTAAAGTCTCTCGATTTTGAATAAAAATAATTAAAAATAGAAATAAAATGAATCTCCAACAAAAAATTAACGAAAAATGATAAAAAGGATAATAAAAGGTTGTTGAATATGAATTAAGAGAATAAAAGGATTTGTAATGATTAATAAACATTTTTTAAAAAATATTTTATTTTAAAATAAAAATAAAATAAAAACCTGCTTATTTGGAAAAGCAATAAATAAAAATATACAAATAAACATTTTCGCTTTAAGGCCGGTTATTTTTTTGGAAACAAAAAAAAACGATCAGACAGGGTTGGTGGTAATATTAAAAAGGTGTGAAGGGAATAAATGCGCAAAAATTGGGAAAAAAGGGAGAAAAAGGATTTGGGGAGTTCACAGAAGGAAATTTACCTTTTTCAAATTTATTTTTTGTTAAAGGTCCAGATTTTTGGAGGCCGATAGGGGAAGAAAAAGTAAATCGAATTATGCACACTAATAGCTAGTCTGTTCTGGGTCATGCAATAGCTACAAAGAACTTTTTTTTAATTTTTTTTTTATTTTGAGGAATTTAGATATTTATTTGTGGGTGGTTTTCCATGTATTTAGAGTTATAATTTGGGGTGGAGGAGCGATCCGAAAGATCGAGTCGGGCATTGAATTTTGGCCCGAAAAAAACTCGATGCCCGACTCGATAAAAATGAGGCCCGAAAAGAATGACTAGAAAAGAATGACCTAGCCCGTATATATTTAAATAATTTCCCAATATAGGTAAATTAATTACCCTATCTAGCGAGAGATTGAAACAATAATTAACTAGAGTAACTATTGAGTATATACAGTAAGCGGTAATATTTATTTCAGGATTCTATATTCTCAACTCATTTTATACTTTCTGACATAATTTAAATTATAAGCATTTATTCAAAATATTTCGAGATATAAAATTCAAAAAATTATTGTGGAAAAATTCTTATACTTTTAAAAAAAGCGGTTCGATATGGTTTGTTTGTTAATATACAGACAATTGCGTTAAATACAGGGGTAAGATGAAACCAATGAAGAATAATTAATCGAATAATGTTTGCCGTATTGTTGTTTGTGAAGGTAACTAATAAAAGTATTAAAACTGTTGCATGTTTTACGAATGGAACAACAGCCTAAATATCATTAAAACACGTTTTAGAAGTCATAATTTAAAACATACCAGAATTTATTTAAAACATACCAGAATTTATTTAAAACATACCAGAATTAATTCAAAACATACCAGAATTAATTCAAAACATACCAGAATTAATTCAAAACATACCAGAATAAATTTAAAACATACCAGAATTAATTCAAAACATACCAGAATTAATTCAAAACATACCAGAATTAATTCAAAACATACCAGAATAAATTTAAAACATACCAGAATTAATTTAAAACATACCAGAATTACTTTAAAACATACCAGAATTAAATCAAAACATACCAGAATTAATTTAAAACGTACCAGAATTAAATTAAAACATAACAGAATTAATTTAAAACATCCCAGAATTAATTTAAAACATACCAGAATTAATTTAAAACATATCAGAATTAATTTAAAACATACCAGAATTAATTCAAAACATACCAGAATTAATTTAAAACATACCAGAATTAATTTAAAACATACCAGAATTAATTCAAAACATACCAGAATTAATTTAAAACATACCAGAATTAATTCAAAACACACCAGAATTAATTCAAAACACAGAATTAATTCAAAACACACCAGAATTAATTCAAAACACAGAATTAATTCAAAACACACCAGAATTAATTTAAAACATACCAGAATTAATTCAAAACACACCAGAATTAATTCAAAACATACCAGAATTAATTCAAAACATACCAGAATTAATTCAAAACATACCAGAATTAATTCAAAACATACCAGAATTAATTCTAAACATAGCAGAATTAATTCTAAACATACCAGAATTAATTTAAAACATACCAGAATTAATTCAAAACATACCAGAATTAATTTAAAACATACCAGAATTAATTCAAAACACACCAGAATTAATTCAAAACACAGAATTAATTCAAAACACACCAGAATTAATTCAAAACACAGAATTAATTCAAAACACACCAGAATTAATTCAAAACACAGAATTAATTCAAAACACACCAGAATTAATTTAAAACATACCAGAATTAATTCAAAACACACCAGAATTAATTCAAAACATACCAGAATTAATTCAAAACATACCAGAATTAATTCAAAACATACCAGAATTAATTCAAAACATACCAGAATTAATTCTAAACATAGCAGAATTAATTCTAAACATACCAGAATTAATTTAAAACATACCAGAATTAATTCAAAACATACCAGAATTAATTTAAAACATACCAGAATTAATTCAAAACACACCAGAATTAATTCAAAACACAGAATTAATTCAAAACACACCAGAATTAATTCAAAACACAGAATTAATTCAAAACACACCAGAATTAATTCAAAACACAGAATTAATTCAAAACACACCAGAATTAATTTAAAACATACCAGAATTAATTCAAAACACACCAGAATTAATTCAAAACACAGAATTAATTCAAAACACACCAGAATTAATTCAAAACATACCAGCATTATTAATGTTTTTGTTAATTGTTTCAACAATCTCTTCATATTTTCATCAAGTCCAGTATGTGAATTAACGTATTTAACCATTTTAATCCCACAAATAATTATTATAAAACATGGAGTAATTTCAAAAAATGATTCTAGGAGAAGTGCCGGCATTCCCATCTTTTTATAAAAATTATTTTAAAAGTAAAAAATTGTTTAAAAATACATTAGCCATTTCACATTGAAAATATGGCAATATTTTATTAAATTCGGCAATTTGTTGAACACCTCCATTAGAATATGGCATAACGGAGAAAATAATATTCCATATCTCAATTACATTTATTATTAATGCAATCGAAAACATATAAAAATAGCGTCGAACACCAATTTTCATGTTTCTGTTAAAGAAATGTTTGTACATTGATTAAAAATCAGAACTTGAAATAAACATGTTTTAATTTTTTTGTTTTTATTTAAATAAATGTTGTGTTTTGGAAAACATGTTTTTCTGTTCATGTTTTAAACAAATTCTGATTTTTATTACTTGTTTTAAATAAATTCTGATTTTTATTACTTGTTTTAAACAAATTCTGATTTTTATTTGTTTTTACCTGTTTAAAATTAAATATCTATATATAAATTGAACACAAAGTCCATTATTATTCAAATTATAAATAAATATGAAAGAAATATACATGTAATAGAAAAATAAAGGGCTAAACGTTTCTTTCGTAAAATAAGTCAAAACTCCGCCAGTGATGGTAAAAATAGAATTTCCATCCTTGTCGCTTATATAAAACTTAAAATATTGTTTTTATTAAATTCTGGTTTTGTTTTTATTAAATTCTGGTTTTGTTTTTATTAAATTCTGGTTTTGTTTTTATTAAATTCTGGTTTGTTTTTATTAAATTCTGGTTTTGTTTTTATTAAATTCTGGTTTTGTTTTTATTAAATTCTGATTTTGTTTTTATTAAATTCTGGTTTTGTTTTTATTAAATTCTGGTTTTGTTTTTATTAAATTCTGGTTATGTTTACATTAAATTCTGGTTTTGTTTTTATTAAATTCTGGTTTTGTTTTTATTAAATTCTGGTTATGTTTTTATTAAATTCTGGTTTTGTTTTTATTAAATTCTGGGTTTGTTTTTATTAAATTCTGGTTATGTTTTTATTAAATTCTGGTTATGTTTTTATTAAATTCTGATTTTGTTTTTATTAAATTCTGGTTTTGTTTTTATTAAATTCTGGTTTTGTTTTTATTAAATTCTGGTTATGTTTACATTAAATTCTGGTTTTGTTTTTATTAAATTCTGGTTTTGTTTTTATTAAATTCTGGTTATGTTTTTATTAAATTCTGGTTTTGTTTTTATTAAATTCTGGGTTTGTTTTTATTAAATTCTGGTTATGTTTTTATTAAATTCTGGTTATGTTTTTATTAAATTCTGATTTTGTTTTTATTAAATTCTGGTTTTTTTCCGGAAAGTTGTATTTCTATTTTTCTTTACTTAGTTTGTTCAAATTTAATTCTGGTTTTTCTAAAAGTTTTACCACTCGTGCAAACATCGGAGCCGTTAATAAAAAAATATCCAAAACACAATTTTGTATCAGAATTCTGCTGTGTGTTTCCATTTCTTTTGGTGTTTTAAAAATAATTAAAATAATCAGAATAATGTTTAGAGGATAACCAAGTAATAAACTTGACCAAAAATCCCATATAACGAAAATATCAATTAAATTGGACATTTTTTATTTATTTTAATTTTTAAAAAGTTTTAAAAAAAATGAAGGTAAAATAAAGTAATTTTACAAAAATTAATTAAAAAAATATTTTTTATTAAAATGTTTCACACAAATAACTTTTAAAAATACAAAATAAATTCTAAGAAAATTTTTTTATTTTAATTAATATCGTGAGATATTATTACATTGACGACAGACTTGGTGTACTTGAGAAGTAAACACCTCCGATATTTGAAAATATTTACTTTAATATTTAAACTACAAAAAATATTGTAGAGAAAATTTTTTTAATTTTTATTAAAATTGTGAGATATTTTTGTCTACGTCGACTTAAAAACAATAGAGTTAGCAAGAACGCAAAATTAAAAATTTTATGGATAAATGAATGTATTGCCATTTTTCCATCAATTATCAGTATTTTGTTATGTAAAGAACTTTGCTGTTCAAAATTCTCATTAGAAATATTCTTAAATCAGAGATTAATAACTTAGCACCTGAACATAAACGTTCTGTTTCAGATGTAGTATCAGGAGCATTCTGGTAGTTCTCGACATAAAAAATTCTTACCCATGATATTTCCAATGACGTCAACCGAGGATATTTTGAATTATTAATAGGATCATTCAAAAAGATGAAGTTGTATTAAAAAATTTATATTTGTACTAAAAGACTGCCATTTTCAGTGTCGCAGGCGAAAAATTTGAGAAGGTAAAGAGCCAGATTTCTTTCAAAAATTAACCTCTGTAAAGCATATAGCTATTAATTTCCTAAGGCTGTGGAGTAGGCGGCGTGGTGTAATGGCTAACACATCAGTCCGGTCTACCGAAGAAACTGGTTCGTCCCAGCCCCGATTAACCTTTTGCACTAGCTAAAGGAGAGAAATAGCTATAGCCCAGCTGCTTTACTCTTCAAATTAACCTTTGATCCCGATTTTCAAAAATCGGATTATATTTTTAAATTTATTTTAGTATTCGAATAAACTCTTTTAATTAGTTATCAAGTATTGTTAAAGACAGTTATCCTCCTCAAAAAAATTAAAATTTTATTTATTCTCTTTTATTTTTATTATTAAATCTGAAAAAGGCACTAAATATATTCAACAAATATTTGATTAATAAAACACAAATAATTAAAACTCCAAAAATTAAAATTCCCAAAATTATCAAAATATCCAAATTGTAAAGTTGAAAAACATTTAAATTTCTTGCTTCGGACAGTAATTCTGGTAAATAACCTCCATTTTGTTCCAAAAAGCGAATATTTTTTATCAATTTTTCTCTGGCAGAGAAAGGCTAAAAATAAAATTTTTTAAAATTTTATAGGTGGTTTTTTATTCATTTCTATGAGGATAGGGACATTGACGCGCAACTTTGTAAAATAGCCAAATAATTAGTTAGGGCTACATAAATTTTTATAATTATTTCTAATGCTTGTATCTACTATCTCTAAAAATTTCAGAATTTTTCTTTGAATATTTCCAAAGTTATGGTCAAAGAACTACCAAAATAGCCATTTTTCAGTCTTTCGGATACTCATTCGACCATAACTTTGGTAATTTCAAACCAAAAATTCTGGAATTTTCAGAGAACATAAGTGACACTTTTATCAATAAATGTACAAAATTTTATAGCTCTAGCTTCTTTTTTGGCCGTTCTACAAAGCTTCAACCAAGCAACGTTTAGCTACTCTTTTTCCTTCTCCAATGCAATCAAAAATTATTTTCTCCCAGAATAAAATTCAGAATCATTTTTTCTGATTAAAAAATAAATTTAAAAAATTAAATTTGCCTTATTAGCCAATAGTTTACTCAATCTTTTAGCCTCTTCAGCATATTTAGGGTCATTCAAAATTGTTTGAATAACCTCCACAAATTCCTCCTTTCCATTTAACAAAAGCGCTTTATTAAAACTTTTCCCCCATCCATTCCTTTCGGGAACTAGGCTATTCCGTCTTTGTTCTGCAAAAAATCCAAAACTAATTATTGGAGTTGCAGATAATGCTGCTTCCATTAAACTGTTATAACCACCATGACTAATAAATAATTTGGTGTTTGGATGTTCTAAATTTTTTAAGTTTTAATTAAAATAAACTTGAATTATTTTAAGTTTGCTTAAGTTTTGTAATAAACTTGTTTTTAAAACAAACTTGTTTTAACTAAACTTGGTTTTAACTGAACATGTTTTAAATAAACTCGGTTTTAAATAAGCATGTTTTAATAAACTTGTTTTTAAATAAACATGTTTTTAATAAGCTTGTTTTTAAATAAACTTGTTTGAAATAAACATGTTTTTAGATAAGTTTGTTTTATAATAAACTTGTTTTTGCTTAAACTTGTTTTAATTAAATGTTTTTAATGTACTTGGTTTACACAAACAAACTTGTTTCAACAATAGACATGTTTTAAATAAACTTGTTCGTAAAACAAGCTTGTTTTGAATAAACATGGTTTAGTTAGACATGTTTTAATAAACTTGTTTTTAAATAAACTTGTTTTTAAAAAACTTGTTTTAATTAAACTTGGTTTTATCTAACCATATTTTAACTAAACTTGTTTTAAATAAACTTGTTCTTAAACAAACTTGTTTTTAACTAAACTTGTTTTTACTTATAATAAACATGTTTCTAATAAAGTTGTTTTAAACAAAAAATTTACCTAAAATCGCTCTCTGCGGTGCCCAACTCGTCAAAAAAACATTAGAATAATTTTTCGACATTTCTAAACTATGTTCATCACCTTCACTAATTTTAACAATAAAATGCCATTCTTTTAAACTTCCAAACGAAGCAAATAAATTTTTCATAAAATTATTAGGTAAAGTAAAAGTATTTAATAACGAGCCCAAAGAAAAATAAATTGTTCCCTTTCCTTTATTTATTTCAGTTAAGTAAGGCTCTTTTAATGTTGTTGTTGTTGTTATTTTATTAAAGCCTAAACCTCCAATATACACAACATTTGGATTTATTGGACGGGGAAAGTCTACAAATTCGTCTACATTAACAAATACTAATGGTGTTTCTTTGACTATATTTTGGATTGTTGGATAATTTGATCTTTGAAAAAAATTTTTTTTTATTAAAAAAATTTTTTTAATGCTCTCTAATAGACGCCCAGGCATTTTATTTTTTAACTATCCACTGAAGGGTGTCCTATAAAAAAGACATCTTTTTATTAGATAGGGGCTTCGTCCATCACCATCGAAAGTATGAGTTGAAACTTTTTAAATACTCTCTAATAGACGCCCAGGCATTTTATTTTTTGAATATCCACAATATTAAAAAGGTGGGTCGTATTAGAGAGGCGCCTTTTTATTAGAGAAGGGGCTTCTGCGCATCTTAAACTCTGAGTTATCCCAATGGGATTTAAACAATTTTAAAAACTAACCCAAATCTTCGCCTAAATAAATCATTCAATTCCTCAATTCCATAATAAAAAGCCCTTTCATGCACAAATGTAGCTACTAAATTACTAAATCTTTGGTTTATAGACATTTTGTCGCTCATAGGAACACCATAAATTGAAGGAACATAACTAGCTGGGAAAGGCATTCCAACAAGTGAAGAAACGTGTTCTTGGATTGGACAACTGTCTAGGCGAAAATTTTTGTTTTTAATTTTTTAAACTTTTTTTAAAATTTTTTTAAAATTTTAAAATTCGATTTTTGACGTTTTTAGTTAATTTAAAAATTTTTTAAAAATTTTTAAAATTTTTAAAACAAATTAAAAATTTTTTAGAAGCCTTTAGCCTTCATATAAAAACATTTTTTCATCAAAAGGATTCGAACCCCCATCCCTTCTGCCTATATTTCTAAGCATTTTCCAACTACACCAAGAAGCTATTACGGAAAAAATTAATTATTCCGTTAACATAAAAATTCACCGAAAATACAATTCACCGATTTTCCCAATTTTTAGCTAATTTTTATACAAAAATTTTTTTAATATTCTAATAAAAATCCAACCTAACTAAAAGTATATGGATTGGAATTCCAAACAAATAACTCAATGCTGACCCACAAAAATTAATTTGTTCTCCAATAAATAGATCAAATTTTTCATTTTTAAGTTGTTCTATTAATTCGGTTTGAGTGTCCAGAAAGTCTTTAAAAATTTAAATTTTATTGGGAAAATGGACTTTAAGTCCCCGAGCTTTGTATTTCAATTATATGGATTAAGAGAATTTTCCTTCCTTCCCTATATATCTCTTAATGTCTATAAAATCTCTCACTTATCCCCCGTGGATAGTTAAAGAACTTTTGTGTTAATGGGTGAATAGAAAATGTTATTGGAGTGGAACAGAAACACATTTAAGACCACCTCTCAGCCCCTTTCCTATTAAGCACTTTTCCTAAGTCCATTCCTTTCTAATAGTGAGGACATCCAGAGGATAGGGGTGTCTCTTAGATAATTATTAGAGAGGGGGGTCTCTATTGGAGAGCCCCTCGTATTTTTAAAAATAAATATATTTTCACGTTCGCAAACTTCATTGATAGTATTTTGAAAATACTCATCATTTTTATAGCCTGTAATAAGAGACCAAGCTGAAGCTTCTTTAAAGTAAATTTCTGTTAAACGTCCTTGTATACTTTCTTTAGCTTTGTTTAAATCAGTTTTGACAGAAATCTTTTTTAAATATTAAAAATAATTTATTTAAATATTTATTTTTACTTTTTTAACTCCTTTTGCTGAAGATCCATCAAATTCAGCTAAAGGCTCCATATATTCTACTTCAAGTATTGTCTGGTTATTTAAAATTTTATAATTAATTTTTAACAAAAGATATTTTTATAAAATTTTGTATGGACATTTTTACAAGTCTTAACTAGCTTTTCTGAAAATTTCAGAATTTCTGGTTCCGTATACCAAAAGTTATGGTCAAAAAACTACCAAAAATCAGCGTTTTTCACTATAATTCTGGTATTTTTGGCCAGAAATTTTTATAATTAATTTTTAACAAAAGATATTTTTATAAAATTTTGTATGGACATTCCTACAAGTCTTAACAAGATTTTCTGAAAATTTCAGAATTTCTGGTTCCGTATACCAAAAGTTATGGTCAAAAAACTACCAAAAATCGGTGTTTTTCACTATAATTCTGGTATTTTTGGCCAGAAATTTTTATAATTAATTTCTAACAAAAGATATTCTTATAAAATTTTGTATGGACATTCCTACAAGTCTTAACAAGATTTTCTGAAAATTTCAGAATTTCTGGTTCCGTATACCAAAAGTTATGGTCAAAAAACTACCAAAAATCGGTGTTTTTCACTATAATTCTGGTATTTTTGGACATAAATTCTGAAATAAAAAACCAGAAATTCTGAAATTTTTTTACAAGTTAGTATCTTGATTGAGGAGATTCCTACAAATTTTTGGATTTTAGGTTAATATTTAACTATCTTTTTATATTTTTTACCACATTATGTCCATCACTAGCTAATGCTTCCGCAACTTTTGCATTCAAGATAACATGACTACGAGTTAAAGTCTGACTATAAACCAGAATTTTATAAGCTTTTAAAACTTGACAAAGTTGGAATATTAAAAATAAAATAATTAAAAGAATATTTTTATTCATTAAAAAAATTTTTTTTTAATTTTTTTACTTAATATGAAAAATTTTATTTAAAATAATTTTCGATAAAATAGCTTCTTTTTTGATAAAAATTATTTTTCAACTGATAAAATGATAAAATAAAGAAAATTAATATTTTTTATTTAATTTTATAGTTCTTTGTTTATTCATTACATTATTTGTCTATAAAAACGTGTCACAAGACCAGGGTTCTTCCAACTCAAAGAACTAAATAATGAATTAATATTTTGTGAAGCTTTAGATATCAATAGATAGAGAATTGAATGGACTACAAAATACAAAAATAATTTTAATTTAAAGTGCAGATAGAAAAAAGTTGTGGGGCAAAATGTTGCTTTAAAGGGTTCCGAACACTAACGATCATTCTAGTAAAATCTAAAAAAAAACTTGTAAACACAATTTTAATTTTATTAAATTAACAATTAAATTATCTATAAAAATACAGAAAATTAAAATTTTAAAATTAATTTAAAAAATAATTTTAATTAAATAAAGTTGTATTGTAAGTTGGTGAGGGATTAAGATCTATTTAAATAGAAGGTGAAACAACGCCTACAATATCACAGTCAGTAGGGCAATTCTGTACGTGGTGTGCGAAAGCTCCTAGCAATCCTCGTAGGTGGTCGTGGGAGTGCTTTGCTCTTACCATTTTCCCTCAGATTAAGCATATTTTTTGCGTTTTGGCGTTAATTTCGTTAAAAAATGATAATAAATTCTCTTTACACATAATTCTGGTTTTTTTTCATTTAATTAAAAAATGATGTCATTAAAGCTTGTCATGTTTCAACTTTAAAAATTAAACAAACTTTCACCTGTAGTTAAATAAAAGTAAAAGAAAAATTAAAAATTCTACAGAATTTTTAAAATTGGTTTGAGTGGGCAGATAAAAGGTAAACAATCTGCTTCTAATAATTATATAGAATAAAAATTTTTTTGTTTATCTTAAAGAACTTTAAATAAATGGCAGGTGAAAATTTCAAAATTAATTAGACGACTTTTACTTTTAAACACTTAAAAATTTTTTTTTTAACTGAAAAAATTCTTAAAGCAAAAAGGTAATATTTCGCCTCATTTTAATTAATAAATTAAAATAAAAAAATGTCAACTTTAACCGATATTTTATTTAAATTTGATTTTTGGACAAGTTTATTACTTGGTTATCCTCTAAACATTATTCTGATTATTTTAATTATTTTTAAAACACCAAAAGAAATGGAAACACACAGCAGAATTCTGATACAAAATTGTGTTTTGGATATTTTAATATTAACATATGTAATGTTCGTACAAATGGTAAAACTTAAAGATAAACCAGAATTAAATTTGAACTTTCCGTAAGGGGTATAGAAACCAGAATTAATTAAAAACAAATAAATAAACATAATAAAAACATAATAATAAAAATCAGAATTAAATCTGAACATTAAGTTTTATATAATTGACGTCGATGGAAATTCGGTCCTTTTTTTTACTGACGGCATTTTTATTGAATTTATTAAAAATAATTTTGACAAAATTATTTGCAAAAGTTTTATACTTACTGGAAACTTTTTTTACATTACAATTTTGTATGGATTGTGTGCCCAATTTGTTTTTAGATATTTAATTTTGAACAGGTAAGACACCAACAATTTTAATCAGAATTAATTTAAAACAAAATCAGAATTAATTTAAAACACAAGTAAAAATCAGAATTAATTTAAAACACAAATAAAAATCAGAATTAATTTAAAACAAAATCAGAATTAATTTAAAACACAAATAAAAATCAGAATTAATTTAAAACAAAATCAGAATTAATTTAAAACACAAATAAAAATCAGAATTAATTTAAAACAAAATCAGAATTAATTTAAAACACAAATAAAAATCAGAATTAATTTAAAACAAAATCAGAATTAATTTAAAACACAAATAAAAATCAGAATTAATTTAAAACAAAATCAGAATTAATTTAAAACACAAATAAAAATCAGAATTAATTTAAAACAAAATCAGAATTAATTTAAAACACAAATAAAAATCAGAATTAATTTAAAACAAAATCAGAATTAATTTAAAACACAAATAAAAATCAGAATTAATTTAAAACAAAATCAGAATTAATTTAAAACAAAATCAGAATTAATTTAAAACAATATCAGAATTAATTTAAAACAAAATCAGAATTAATTTAAAACAATATCAGAATTAATTTAAAACACAAGTTTAAATAAGTTCTGATTTACAGAAACATGACAATTAATTACCGAACCTATTTATTTTATATGTTTTCGACTGTTTTTGTTGTTGGTTCGTTTTATAATCTGATTTGTTTTTTCTATGCTATGAATTATTTTGATGGGGGTATTAAACATTTTGACGAAGAATATTTAAACAAAACATTACCTTATGTCATTATGAAATCAGAGGTATTAAACTTTAAAAATTCAGAATTTTTTAAAAATACTTTTTTGAAGGTATATTTGCCGGCAGTAATAATGACTTTCGTTATAGTAATACTTCCATATTTAATAATTTTTATTTGTGGGTTTAAAATGGTTTATTATGTTAATTTACATACTGGATTAAGTCAAAATATGAAGAGATTACTTAAACAATTGACAAAAACTTTGATAATTTTGGTATATTTTTAATTTAATTATTAATTAATTTTAAATTTCAGATAATTATTCCATTTATTAATCAAATTTTTATTTTATTAGTTTTATTCTTTATAGCGTACAATAATAGAACAAATAGTTCAACAAAAGAAAATGATACACTAAATTTAATTTATATATTTCTTTCAATTTTCACTCATTTTATGCCTGTTTTTAACCCCATTGTTTGTATAATAACCAATAAGCCATACAAAGAAGCTGTGTTTAAAAGCTTAAAAATACACCCTCAATAATTTCTGTATTTTATGTAAAATAAATGTTTTTAATGTTTAATAAAACCAGAATTAATTTAAAACATTTGTTTTAAATTAATTCTGATTTGTAATAAAACCAGAATTAATTTAAAACATTTGTTTTAAATTAATTCTGATTTGTAATAAAACCAGAATTAATTTAAAACATTTAAGCAAACTTGTTTTAAATTAATTCTGATTTTAAATTTATTCGGAACAAAGTTTTAAAATATATTCTGATTTTATTTTTTTAAGCAATGTTTTAAAAATATTCTGATTTCTAATATGTACAAGTATTTTTTATTATAAAACTTTTTTAAACTAATTCTGATTTTTATACTATTATACAAATTATATAAAAATATAAACTAAAGAATGTTTAATCAATTTCCAACAGCCAATAAACATTTGGTTGAGAAATTCATGGCAATTTGGAGAAGAACCGTTAGCCCAGTCAAACGATCGCAAGGAAGAAATGAACCAATGCCGAGGAGTTCGATGGAAGTGTAAATCTTGTTGATAATATTGTTTATGCATTTCTCCTTCTTGTTGCTTTTAAAGTACATATCCTGGCCCTTTTACTTGTTTGTTATTGAAAATTATTTTTTTCTAAACGTCACAAGTCAGACATTGAATCTCACGATTTTAATAAAAATTAAAAAATTTTCTCAAAAATATTTTTTGTATTTAAATATTAAAGTAAATATTTTCAAATATCGGAGGTGTTTTTTGTCTCAAGTACACCAAGTCAGTTGTCAATCTAATAATATCTCACGAAATTAATTAAAATAAAAAAATTTTTCTCAAAAATATTTTTTTGTATTTTTAAAAATTATTTTCCTGACAATAATTTATTTTACTTTACTAGAAACTTAAAAAATACTTAATAAAAAATAAAAATGCCCAATTTACTTGATATTTTCATTATATGGGATTTTTGGGGAAGTTTATTACTTGGTTATCCCCTAAACATTATTCTGATTATTTTAATTATTTTTAAAACACCAAAAGAAATGGAAACACACAGCAGAATTCTGATACAAAATTGTGTTTTGGATATTTTATTCTTGACATTGCAGATGTGTATGCAAGTGGTAAAACTTTTAGAAAAACCAGAATCAGATTTGAAAAAAATTAAATAATGAAAAAAGAAATACAACTTTCCGGAATAAATAAAATAGAGGATATAATATACTATATTGGTAATTTTCCGGATATGTTATATTTTTCCGGAAACATAAATAGATAATAAAATAAACCAGAAACAAACAAAATTAATAAAACCAGAATTTAATAAAAACAATATTTTAAGTTTTATATAAGCGACAAGGATGGAAATACTATTTTTATTATCACGGACGGGATTTTGATTTATTTTATGAAAGAAACATTTAATCCATTATTATTTTATTATACAAATCTTTTTTACATATTTATTTTCAATTTAAATACAAACGGATTATGTGTTCAATTTATATATAGATATTTGGTTTTAAACAGGTAAAAACAGTAAAAATCAGAATTTGTTTAAAACAAATAATAAAAATCAGAATTTGTTTAAAACAAGTAATAAAAATCAGAATTTGTTTAAAACAAGTAATAAAAATCAGAATTTGTTTAAAACAAGTAATAAAAATCAGAATTTGTTTAAAACAAGTAATAAAAATCAGAATTTGTTTAAAACAAGTAATAAAAATCAGAATTTGTTTAAAACAAGTAATAAAAATCAGAATTTGTTTAAAACAAGTAATAAAAATCAGAATTTGTTTAAAACAAGTAATAAAAATCAGAATTCGTTTGAAACAAGTAATAAAAATCAGAATTTATTTAAAACAAGTAATAAAAATCAGAATTTGTTTAAAACAAGTAAAATAAAAATCAGAATTTGTTTAAAACAAGTAATAAAAATCAGAATTTATTTAAAACAAGTAATAAAAATCAGAATTTGTTTAAAACAAGTAATAAAAATCAGAATTTATTTAAAACAAGTAATAAAAATCAGAATTTGATTAAAACATCAACAGAATAACATGTTTTCCAAGCCACAAAATTTATTTAAATAAAAACAGAAAAATTTAAACATGTTTATTTCAAGTTCTGAATTTTGATACAAACTTTTTTAACAGAAACATGAAAATTGGTGTTCGTCGCTATCTTTATATGTTTTCGATTGCTTTAATAATAAATGTATTTTATATTTTGGATGATATTTTCGCAGTTATACCATATTCTAAAGGTGGTTTTCAACAATTTGTTGATGATAATTTTAATAAAATATTGCCATACATCCAATGTAAAACAATTGATGTAATTTTAAAAATTTCTTTTTATTAAATAATTTTTATAAAAAGATGGGAATGGCGTCAATTGTCCTACTATCATTTATTGAAATTACTCCATATTTTATAATAATTATTTGTGGAATTAAAATGGTTAAATACGTTAATTCACATACTGGATTTGATGAAAATATGAAAAGATTGTTGAAACAATTAACAAAAACATTGATAATTCTGGTATGTTTTGAATTAATTCTGGTGTGTTTTAAATTAATTCTGGTATGTTTTAAATTAATTCTGGTATGTTTTAAATTAATTCTGGTATGTTTTAAATTAATTCTGGTATGTTTTAAATTAATTCTGGTATGTTTTAAATTAATTCTGGTATGTTTTAAATTAATTCTGGTATGTTTTAAATTAATTCTGGTATGTTTTAAATTAATTCTGGTATGTTTTAAATTAATTCTGGTATGTTTTAAATTAATTCTGGTATGTTTTAAATTAATTCTGGTATGTTTTAAATTAATTCTGATTTTTTAAAACATTTTAATAATATTTAGGCTGTTGTTCCATTCGTAAAACATGCTGCATCTTTACTAATTATATTATTTATTGAAACAAACAACAATATGGCAAACATTATTAGATTAATTATTTATCATTGGTTTCATTTTACCCCTGTATTTAACGCAATTGTCTGTATATTAACAAACAAACCATATCGAACCGCTTTTTTTAAAAGTATAAGAATTGTTCCACAATAAATTTTGAAGTTTATATTTTTATGATTGCCTTGTTTAAAAAGGCAAATGAGTTTTGCCTTTTAAACAAACTTGAGTATGATATGTTAAAATTTAATAGAATCAAAACTTGTTCGAATTTAATTCTGATTTTTATTTTAATACGACTGAATGTTTAGAATAAATTCTGGTTACATGTTTAAAATTAATTCTGGTTTTTAAACTTTTCCAAGAAACATGTTTTAATTAAGACTTGTTTTAATTAAATTCTGGTTTCTAAACTTTTCTAAGAAACATGTTTTAATTAAAACTTGTTTGAAATTAATTCTGATTTTAAACTTGTTTTAATTTAATTCTGGTTTCTAATATCTTAACAATGTTTCTTCCTCTCAGTAAAATTTTTTTTATTATAATTATAGAAATTAATGTTGAAGGATTTAAAAAGAAGAGGATTTAAAATTAAAACGATAAAAACAACTGTTACTCATTTTGTCATTTTTATAAAAGATTTTTTAAACGTTTTTCGTTCTTTATTTTAATATTTTCATGAGACCCTGGTCGACTTTTTTCAAAAATTTTTTAAAATTAAATTTTAGAACAATTTTTTAAATTTATCGAACAGAGTCTAATAGTCTTTTTGATGCTTTTTAAAAATTAATTTCCTGTTAATTCTGACCCAATTATATTTTTAAAAATATTTTTTGTATATTTACATAAATATTTTTTGGACTTTTTTCTTTCCTCTAAAATATCGGTACTTTAAGTATAAATATTCTTTATTCTTTTTTTATTAGTGAAAATTTATTAGTTTATCCTTTTTACTTTTAAAATAAATAAATTCAAAATTTTATAAATAAACTTGCTTAAATTATTAAATTTCAAGTTTTGTAAGCTTAAAAACTTAAGTTTGTTTGTTTCAAGTTTTAAAAACAAGTTGATTTTCAAGTTTATTATTTAATCAAGTTTTATTAAAAATTAAACTTGTTTTGAGGTTCTAAACAAGTTTATTTTTAAGTTGTCAAAACATGTTGTTTTTAAAACTTGAAAAAAAGTTGATAGACAAAAACAAGTTTGTTTTTCAAGTTTAATTAATAAACTTGTTTTAATTAAAAATTAAACTTGTTTTCAAGTTATAAAAACAAGTTTAATTTTAAGTTCTAAAAACATGTTGCGTTTACAACTTGAAAAAAAAAGTTGATATGTAGACAAAAACAAGTTTATTTTCAAGTTTATTATTTAATCAAGTTTAATTAAAATTAAACTTGTTTTGAGGTTTTTAAACAAGTTGGTTTTCAAGTTTTGTGTATTTTTCTCTAATTTTATTCCCTCCCTTAATTTCATCATATTTTTAAAAAAACAAACTTTAAAAGAGAAAAAGGAAGAAGAAGCATAGCCACAACAATCTCAACACATTTACAAAAAATCTCTTTCCTAAAAAAATTTTTTTTAAAGCTTTGCACACATTTACTCATTTTTTAGTCAATAAAAACACAACTTATTTACTCTTATTTTAAAAAATATTTTTTTAATTAATCTTGGAGATTTTTGAAATTTTTAAAAAATCCCCTAAGAATCCCAGACTTAACTAGACCCTTAATTTTAATTTAAAGAACATTAATTTATTTTTTTTATTTTTTTCGTTGAGTGAAATAGGAGGAATGGCTCTTTTTGTCTCTTATTTATTTTTTTAAATTTTTTATTTGCTTTTCATTTATCCATTTTTCTATTTATTTATTATTAACTTGAAGAGAGTCAAATTGCAAAAATTAAAAAAAATTTCTTCATATTTACTAAGTGCTAATCCCCTACACTAGAAAATAACAAAAATTAATTTAAAAAATTATTTTCCAAATAATATTTATTTATTCCTATTTAATTTTAAAAACACAAAAAGCACATTTTCTGAAGCTAAAAATATTAATTTCCCCTCTAAATCGATTTTTTCTTTTCTCTTTTTAAGCCTTTCCCTCAACAATATTATTTAAGTTTGCACTCTTAAGTTTTCATGAAACTTTCTTTTAATTGGCAAAATTAAACTTATTTAGAGAAAGAAGTTAAGTTTGTAAACTTAAGTTTGTTTTTCAAGTCTAATTAATAGGCTTGTTTTAATTAAAAAATAAACTTGTTTCCAAGTTTTAAAAACAAGTTTATTTTTATGTTCTAAAAACATGTTGGTTTTAAAACTTGAAAAAAAAATTGGTAGACAAAAACAAGTTTATTTTCAAGTTTAATTAATTAACTTGTTTTATTTAAAAAATAAACTTGTTTCCAAGTTGTAAAAACATGTTTATTTTCAAGTTTATTTTTTCAAGTTTTACATTTCTCTTAACTTTAATGTTTAGAAACATGCTTGTTTATTTTCTATTAAGTTGGATAAGTTTAATTATTTTCGTCTGTTTTTAAAGCCATTAGAGTCTCGTATTTTTAATTAATTTTTTTATTTAAATTTTTATTTTTAAAATCTTTAAATTATTTATTTTCATCAAAATGCCATTCCCAAAAAAGAATACAAGTGTTCCTGTTCATTTGGATCAACATTCACCTATAGAAACAAGCTCTAATCAACAACAACAGCCTGAAAATAATATTAATTCCCCTTTAAATAATTCAAGTTTTTTAAATAATACACAAACAACGCCTAATAATCCACAACAATTAGGACCTATTCGGACTACCTATATTAATCAGGTGTGGTTATTTTTGAAGTTTATAATGAAAGGATATTCTGATATTTATTTTCTAAAAATTTCAGAATTTTTGGTAAATTATTTCAGAATTTATAGGCAAAAATATCAGAATTTTGGAGAAAAATACCGACTTTAGGGTAATTTTTCGGACATAACTTGTGAAATATAAAACCAAAAATTCTGAAATTTATAGGGTTGTTAGTTAAGACTGTTAACTATATCTGGGCAAAATTTCAGAGTGAATGGTCATCTTTCGGATTTTTTATCGAATTACGCCTAGACGTTATTTACACTTATGTTAGCCGCAACTTAATTTTATTATTTTTCCTAGGGAAATTTAAAAAAAATTTTTTAATTAAGAAAAAATTTTTTAATTAAACAAATCCTTTTTGAACTCTTAAAAATTATTTACTATTTTTTCCTTTCAATTTAGCAAGAATTTGATCAACTTTTTCAATTTATTCCACCAAAAAGGTTTAGTTGGCAATTGTTCACTCGAAAATTTTTTTCTGATTATTTTCAATGTTTTTGCTCATTTTCTGATTTATTCCATTTTTTTCTTTCTTTTCTTCCAATATTTGGATGGTTACCTTCTTACAATTTTAAAGAAAATTTGGCTGGGGATTTTATTGCTGGTATTACTGTTGGAGTTGTTCACGTTCCACAAGGTGAGGGGAGGGTCTAAAGTTAATTTATAAAATAGTGAATTGACCATATAAAATTATAAAATTTTGTAAATAAATCCCTCATATGTGTGTCTATGTCCTCTAAAAATTTCAGAATTTTCGATTTATTATTTCAGAAATTCTGGTCAAAAGTATCAGAATTATAGGGGAAAATGCCTGTTTTTAGTGGTTTATCAGTCTAATTTTTCTAATAATGAATGAAAAATTTTGAAATTTATTGAGGAGTTAGCTAAATCTATGAGGAATATTTGAGAAAAATTTCAGAATTAAAGATAACTGACTTAATGAAAATTTTAAGTCGCGCGCCCAAAATTTTTAGGCGCCCAAACGCTCTTAAATATTTTAATTAAATATTTTTTAATTTAATTTTTTATTAATTTTTAGCCATTGCTTATGCAATATTGGCAGGGTTAGAACCAGTTTATGGGCTTTACACTTCTTTCTTTTCTGTTTTGTTTTATGCTATTTTTGGTACTTCAAGACACGTTTCTATTGGTAAAAGGAATGTTCAGATTAAAAATAAATTCTGATAAAAAATTCTGATTTTTTCTGAAAAAATTCTGATAAATATTCTGATTATTTAAAAAAAATTTAGGATGACATTTGATCCCAAAATTTATTTTTTCAAAATTTTTCTTTGAGTTTTTAGGCCCCTTTGCTATATTAGCCTTAATGACTGGAATTTCCTGTAGAGATATTTATGCTCAATTTGATAAAGAATTTTTTGAAGCAGAAATAAAATTATTAGATGATGCTAGTCATAATAAAATTGGAGAAGAAAATAATTTTTTAACTTTGACAAATATGACAAAATTAATTCCGAGAGTTGAAGTTGGATATAGTGAATTAGTTCAGGTAGTAGAGTTTTTGAATTTAATGTGTTTTCTTGTTGTGTTGTGTTTTTATTTGTGTTTTTCTCCCTTGTTTTGTGTTTTATTCTGTTTTTGTTGTGTTCTGTTTTTGTGCTTTGTTTTTGTGTTTTTGTTGTTGTGTTTTTCTGTTTTATTATTTTATTCTGTTTTTCATGTTCGTCTTGTTAAATGTGTTTTTGTTGTTGTGTTTTTCTGATTTGTTTTGTGTTTTGTTTGTTTTGTTGTTTGTTTTGTTTTTGCTGTTCGTTTTGTTTTTGTATTTTTTCTTTTTTCCTTGTTCTGGTTTATGTTTCTTTTGTTTTGTTGTTCTGATTATTTTTTGTTGTGTTTTTCTGTTTTCTGGTTTTATTTCTTTTGGTTTTTTTGTTTGTTTGTTTGTTTGTTTCTTTGTTTGTTTGTTTGTATTTTATTTTGTGTTTTTGTTTTATATTTTTATTTGCTTTGTGTTTTCTTCCTTTCAAAATTATTTTTTTAATTTATCAAGACAATAACTTTAACTGCCGGTTTAATTCAATTTGCAATGGCTATACTTCGAGTAGAATTTCTAGCTTCATATTTATCAGATCAATTAGTTAATGGATTTTGTACAGGCGCTGCAGTCCATGTAGTTGGTGTTCAATTAGGCAAATTACTTCAATTAAATTTGGGGCAAGTTGGAGGGCCTGGATATTTGTATATTGTGAGGATTTTTGATTTTATATCACGAAATATTTTTCAAAAATTTTTCTCCACTTTCCTACAGATATTTCTCAATCTCATTCGAAAATTGCCACAAGTCAACTTAATTGTTCTATTCCTATCAATATTTGGTTTTGCATTTCTTTATTTGGGAAAAGACGTTTTTAGCCCTAAATTTGGATATCTAATACCTTTCGTTATTCCTTTTGAACTTTTGCTTGTAATACTAGCTACAGCTGTTTCTTCTTTTGCCAATTTACGAGACAATTTTAATGTGACAGTTTTGAATTTTGTTCCAACTGGGTAATTTTTTAAATAAATTAATTAATATTAAGTAAAAAAAATTTTTTTCCTAAAGTTTGCCAGAAGCTCGTCTCCCTCGTCTAGATTTATTACCCTATGTTTTTGGCGATGCTTTAGAAATTGCTTTTGTTTCAGTTGCTTTACATTTATCTATGTGTAAAGTTTTTAATAGAAGAATGGGTACAAAAACTGATAATAATGTGGTAGGTTTTTAATTAAAATTTATTTTAAGTTTGTAAACTTTGTTTTCTTGTGTTATTTAATTTTTACAAACTTAAATAAACTTGTTTTACAATATTTTACAATTATGTTTAAATGTTTTCTAAACTTAATTGTAAAACAAATAATTTACATTAAAACATGTTTTACAATTATGTCTAATAATAATAAACTTGTTTTACAACAACTAAATAAACTTTAATGGAAGTTGTTTTAAAACAAGTTTATTTAAAGAAAGTTTGTTTAAACACTTGTAAAACTTGCTTTAAATAAACTTGTTTTAAATAAACTTGTTTTTACAATTAATGTTCAATAATTAAACTTGTTTCTTAACAAGTTTATTTAAACTTGTTTTGTTTAAATGTAGTTAAGTTGGAAAAGTTTATTTAAATAATTGTAAAACTTATTTTAAATAAACTTGTTTTTTTACAATTGTAAAACAATTTAAACTTAATTGCGTATAAACTTCATTTTATAAAACATTTTATTTAAAATTAGGAATTATATGCTTTGGGACTCGTAGATTCACTTTCATCATTTTATACCGCCTATCCAGTAACAAGCGTTTTAGGGCGTTCTATGCTTAATGTTGAATGTGGAGCTAAAACACAAGTAATTAAAAAAATATTTTTTAAATTAAATTATTTTCAAGTTTTCTGGATTAATTACCGGCCTTCTTTTACTTGTAGTAATTCTTTGGTTAGGCCCAATACTTTCTTCTTTACCTGTTTGCATTTTGGCTGTAATAATTATTTTTTCAATGAAATGTGCTTTTGAAAAAATTCCTAGAGAATTTTTACATTTATGGAGGGTCTCTAAAATTGATTTTGTAAATTTTTATTTTTTTAATAAAAATATTGTGTATGATAGTGAATCTCAAAATTTTTTAAAATATTCAAAAAAAAATTTTTTTTTAAGTTAATTTGGATTGTAACAATATTTGCCACAATACTTCTCAATGTCATGCAGGGCCTAGCTTTAGCAGTTACCTTTGCTCTATTAACAACAATATTTAGAATTCAATGGCCTCGATGGCATTTACTTTCTAATTTAACTGGAACAGAAAATTATAGAGATTCTGGTAGATATAAAAGGTTTACACCTTTTGGACATGGAATTAAAATTTTTAGATTTGATGCTCCGTTGGTGAGCAATTTTTTGAAATTTAAAAAAAAAAAAATCAAAAATTTTGAAAAAAATTTTTTTTCAAAAATTAAAAAAAAATTTTCTACAATTAAATTCCCTCAAGTTTTTCAGCTTTTTACAAATGTTGACCATTTTGCCAAATCGGCAATAACAGCAATTCTTACAGAATCTCCTTCAATTCCCAGCAATAATAATAATATTACTATTAATGGTTCAAGCTGTGATAAAAATTTATTTAGAATTAATGGAATTCAAAAAAGTGATAAAATAAAGAAATTCGATTTGAATACACATTCCTTGGTAACTTAAAATATTATTTTAAAATAAATTAATTGGGACTTAAACGCAAATTATGAAATAGAGCTTTTTAAACGCATTAAAATATTCATGTGTTTAAAAAGCTACTATAAATAGAATTTGTAAACTTAAGTTTATTTTATATTCCAAGTTTATTTAATTTAATAATTTAAGTTTGCAAACTTAAGTTTTTGCATATTTAAAACTTAGTCTGATTATAAAAACAAGTTTATTTTTTCAAGTTTATTTCTATCAAGTTTATTTTTACAACTTGATTTTACAACTAAGTTTATTTACAAGTTTATTTAAAGCTGTTTATAGACTAAGTTTTAAATATGCAAAAACTTAAGTTTGCAAACTTAAATTATTAAATTAAATAAACTTGGAATATAAAATAAACTTAAGTTTACATATTCTATTTAGTAGCTTTTTTGTAAACTCAAGTTTATTTTTACTAAATCTTAAAAACTTGTAGGTTTACAAACTTGAAATTTTACAAACTTAAGTTTATTATATTTATTTTTTAAATTTAAACAGTTGGAAAGAAGAATAAAATCAAGTGGTGTTAAAAGCCTTATAGTTGACTGTACAGGATTTACTTTTGTAGATTATACAAGTATTAATGCTTTAGCTGATGTAAGAAAGAAAATTTTTTTTAATTTTTAAATTTTTTAAAAATAATTTAAAGTTATATCATCAACTTTGTGAATTAAATATTAATGTACTCTTTGCTGGTGCAAAGGCTCCAGTTCGCGATATGTTGGAATCTTGTAATTTTTTCAATTCTGTTCCAAAAGAGCAATTTTACCCAACAATACATGATGCTGTTTTGGCAGCTTCTAATAAAAAGTGGGAGACTTCTTGAAAAAAATTTTTATTCGAATTATAAGGCCTCTAGTATACCTTCCATTTAATTAAAAAATAGTCCGCTATATAGAGCGCCCATAAAATAGAGGGTAGCTTATAAAGAGAGACACCTCTATTTTGCGGACTTTCGCTTCTTAATTTTTCATAAAATTTTTTAAATTTTTTTTCAAAATTTAAAGAAAATGGCAAAAAAGACGAAGAGGTTTTCACTCAGAATTATCGCTGAAAAAAATATCTGGAGGAGGAGGGGGAGGAATTCAAGACGATACAAATTCTTTGTGTGTAGGAGCAAATGAACTTCATCAATGGTCATTTAAACAATCTACAGATACACACATAATTATTAAAGAAGAGGAGGAAGAGGAAGAATTGAAAGAAGAGGAAAGGGAAGAAAATAGATTTGTTGTTGAGTTTGGATTGGGAACTTTGGAAAATTTAAATAATAGTGAAGAAAATAAATAATAATTATTATTATTTTGTTTTATTTATTTGACTCTTTATATTTTTGATTTTTGTAAAAATTTAAAAATTAAATAAATTATTTTGTAAAAATAATTTATTTATATTTCTTGGGTTTGTTTGAAACTTAAAAATAGTGGAGTTGTAAACTTAAGTTTATTTTTATTTAAAACATGTTGCAAACTTACCTAAGTTTATTAGCAAGTTTATTTAGTCTTACTCCAAACTTGTTTATTGCTCTCAAGTTTATTTAAAACTTGTTGCAAAGTTCTAAAAACATATTTAAACAAAACAAGTTTTAAACTTGTTATTAAAAAAGTTTATTTAAAACGTTGCAAAGTTTTTGCAAACTTCTAAAAACTTGTTGTTTAAACAAAACAAGTTTTAAACTTGTTCTTAAAGAAGTTTATTTAAATAATTCAAGTTTATTAATTCAAGTTTATTTTTAAAGTTTTAATAATTCAAGTTTATTTTTAAAACTTGTTGCAAACTTAAGTTTATAATATAGCAAGTTTATTTAAATTTAATTCAAACTTGTTTTTCTCTTTCAAGTTTATTTAAAACATTAGGGTTGTAAACTTAAGTTTATATTTATTTTTTTCAAGTTTATTTAAAACATTGCTTGCAAACTTAAGTTTTATTATACGCCTCTCATTTCTATCCATCCCCCCCCCACCACCACAAATTATTTACCCCAAACAAAAATTTATTTTTTCAATTTATTTCATTTATTAATTTACGTAATATAGTACATTACTTGTTTATTTAAATATTATCTAAATAAAGTCAAAAAAAGTACAAATAAATCCCTCAAACAAAAAAAATAAATTTACGCCAATTAAATAAAAATATCTTTAAACAACTGCAAAAAAATATTTTTTAAATTTGTTTATTAAAAATTCAAAAAAAAAATTTTTTTTTGATGACGATAATAATATTATATAAGTTTATTATTTATAGTTTGCATGTAAAAATCGTTTTAACCAATTTAGTGAAGGATTTATTAAGGATTTTCTATAAAGAGAAGAAGATTTTGTGACAATTTTCTATTTATGGTTTCTTATTTTATTTTTTAATTTGCCGGCAATTTTTTTTAATTTCTTATTTTTCTATATTAATATATTAATAAATACATATTTACGTAAATATATATTTTTTATTTTAAATGTAATGATGTCCAATTAATTAAATTGGCTAATGATGAGAATGGATGTTTGGGCGCGGAAATATAGGGCGTGGGCGGATTTTAAAGCCTTATAAAATAGTCAATTTAAAAGCTAGAAAGCTGAAATTTTAAGGAAATATAGTCTAGAGTGTTAGCTATTAGCTCTAAAAATTTGAGAATTTTTGATTCAGTAATTAAAAACTTATGGAATTTTATGTCTGAGAATGTCGAATTTTCAGAGAAAATTATTATCTTTATTGCTCCTTTGTCCACAGCTTGGGAATTTTTAACTAAAAAAATTTTGAAATTTTTCTAGAAGTTAGTTAACCGTCTTGAAGTTAACTTTAAGTGATTTCAAAATTATAGGTTCTCATTTAATTAATTAAAAAATAAACTCGTGCCACGTCCCTGCGCCCTAACAACCCCTCCTCTAAGGCATCTTTTTAGAATTATAATTAATTCTTGTTATCATTAATACTTTACATTTATTTAAAAATTAATTAAATATTTATAATGAATAAAGCTTTTTGGTTTAATAAATATTAAAAGAAAGAATTTTGGTTTGGTTTATTAATAAAAAATTTTTCATTTTCCTGTGGTAGAAATTGAGATTCTCTTATAGTATAACAATTAACGCGTGCTTTTATTATTTAGTCAAGGAAACCCCAATTTTTCTGAGATTTTGCACAGATAGTTTTAAGACTGTTATCTAGCTTCTTTATAAATTTCAGAACATTTGATTTTATATTTCCAAAGTTATGCACAAAAAACAACCAAAAATCGGCTATTTTCTCATATATTCTGGTATTTTGTTCATAATTTCTGATATATATAACTGAAAATTCGGAAATTTTGCACAGATAATTTTAAGACTATCAACTAACATCTCTATAAATTTCAGAATTTTTGGTTTTATATTTCCAATGTTACGCCTAAGAAACAGCCAAAAATTGATAATTTACCCATAAATTCCGGTATTTCCGTCAAAAATTTCTCAAATAGTTAACCAAAAATTCTGAAACTTTTAAAACATGTAGATAACTCTATTGAGAATATTTCTGCAAAATTTGAAACCTCTAAGTACTTTTTAACTAATATAATAAAAGCTTACTTCTAGTGCTTCTCCTTAATTATAAGCTAATTTCTTTTTCTTACTTTAGGCTTTTAAAACTTTTAATTTTATTAAATCCTTCAATTTAAAAAGCTAAAATTTTGCAAAAATATATTTTAATATGTTTCTTAAATAATTCCAAACTTTTAGATTTTTTAAATTAAGCATAGGCTTTTTATAGCCGAAAATGTAGCATCAACTTTAATTTAAAATTAAATTATTCTGGTTAAATTAATTTTATTTTCTTGCCAATTTAATTCTTTTTTATTAAAAATTCCTCGATTTTATATGATCTATAGTCATTTTTGATAGGTTAACAATAAATTTTCAATTAAAAAAATTTTTTTGGCATTGTGCCAATTTTTTAAAATTTCCCAACTTTCCTCATTTATTTCTACAATTTTCATTAAATTTAAAATTAAATAATCATAATCATCCTCCCATTTTTTTAATTTTGTTTAAACACTCATTAGCGTCATCTTTTCCTCATTTACGCCTTTAGACATTTTTAAAAAAATATTTATAAAATAAATAAAAATGTATATTTGCGCTGCGAAATAAAAAAAAATCTTTTATTTTAATCTTAATTTGCACCAAATATTTATTTTAATTATTTTTTATTCTCATTTTTAAATGTCGTTTTCAATACTTAATTGCTTAGATTATTAGAAGAAGAAAAAAGAAGTAAAATTAATTTAGTTTTGGCGTAATTGAAGGATTTTTTCGTAATTTGTTTTATTAAAATATATGTAGGGGAAATTAATTAAAATTTAAGGGGAAATGAGGGAAAAGAATTAAATTGAGAGAGGAAAATGGGAGAGAGAGAGAAATAGATAAAAATCAGAATTTAATTAAAACATTAAAATTTAAAGTCAGAATTTAATTGAAACATTTGTTTTAATTAGATTCTGATTTTCATTTATTTCTCCCTCTCTTTTCAAAAATCAAAACAAATCAGAATTTAATTAAAACAAAACTAAAAACCAGAATTTTATAAAAACATACATTAAATCAGAATTTAATTGAAACATTTGTTTTAATTAAATTCTGATATTTGTTTCTCTCTCTTTTTCCGAAAACCAGAATTATGTAGTTAAAACACTTAAAACAAATCAGAATTTAATTTAAACAAAACTAAAAACCAGAATTTAAAACATACTTCAACTCAGAATTTAATTAATCTCTGATGTTTTTATTTGTTATCTATTTTTTAAAATGTTTTTGTCTGCTTCTCACAAATTATTCCCTCAAAACATTTTTAATTACAAAACTTGCCCCTATTTAATTAAATAAAACATTGCTCTAAAACATATTCACATTTAATTATTTATTGCCCCTAAATTAAACTTAATTTTCTTTAATTTAATTAACTCTTCCGCCCTCTATCGTTCCTATAAATATCCCCCTTTTTTCAGTCATTTCGTCTTATTTTGAACTTAATTGGATTGAAATATGAAATATTCTGGGAAGCCCAATCACTTAGGGCCTATTTTTCCTTTCCCAAGTTTTTTTCTTTTATATGTACAAAATGGTCAGTCAAATTTCGTTGATATTTACCTATGATACCGAGTTACTAAGAAGTAAAAAGGAGAGGTGGTTGACGTGTTATCGAGATTTGACTGTATTTTAGAATGAATTAAATAATTAATTAGGTTGTCTGAGGGAAGCAGACAACGAAAGAAAAAGACGAAAGAGAAGAAACCTTTACTTTAATGAATTATTTAGATAATTAGGCTTTTTGTATTAATTAATAAAAAAACTACACATATAACCCTCTTCACACTGCTTTTTTAATCCTCATCTCATCATCATTTAATTTTATTCTTCACCCCAATGTCTCTCTCCACATCACCGCTTCGGGCATTTTAATAGAGAGGGAAATAAAGAGGGAAATCCGTTTGCGTAAATGAGAGGGGGAATTATTATTTAATATATTTATTTATGTAAATTGGAGTGGAAAAAAATAAAAAAAATTAAAGAAAATTAGCTCTTCTTCATTTTTATTTTTTTATTCATTTTTATTCTTCCTTCTCCCCCCTTTTTATTAAAAAAACTCCCATTAAATAGCTCATTTCATTAAAAATCTCTTTTTTAACCAATTTATTCTCGTTATAAAATAATTAAAATATAATTTAAAGAATACTTAATAAAATGAATTCATCAGAATCTAATATTACCCCTCCGTTGGAAGCTATGGACCAGTTAGCAAAATTGCAGTTTACCTTTTCGTCGCTGCTTTGTAAGTGTTTCTATGAGAAATTAATTAATTAAAACATGTTAACAAAAAACATGTTAACAAATTAAAATCAGAATTTAGTTCAAACATTAAATTAATTAAAACAAATTAAACAGAAATTAATTAAAACCAGAATTTAATTAAAACAAACTTGATCAGAATTTAGACAAAACAAACATTATCAGAATATAATTTAAACATTAAATCAGAATTTGGTTTTAACAAATTAAATCAGAAATTAATTAAAACCAGAATTTAATTAAAACAAATTAAATCAGAATTTAATTTAAACAGCCCTTAAATCAGAATTTTATCAAAACAAATATTATCAAAATTAAATTAAAACATTAATTCAGAATTTAGTTAAAACAATTCCTTAATGAACTCAAACAGACTTTAAAAACCAGAATTTAATTAAAACAGCATTAAAAACCAAACCAGAATTTAATTAAAACCTGGGTTTATTCAAAACAAATTTAAATAAATATCAGAATTTTATTTGAACATTTTTCAGCTTCATATCAAGCTCAAATTCAAATGGACGAATCTGCAGCAAGTTTGGATGATTGCGAGACATCGCCACAATTTTCCCCGTCTTCTCCAAATAATTCAATTTCAATAAATCCAAAAAATTTTCCTTCTTGTCGAAGAAGTCGAACAACGTTTAATAATGAGCAGGTATTTTTTAAATTAAATTTAAATTAAAAATTGATATTAACTTTAAAGATTGCACAATTAGAAACTGTTTTTAAAAAGACCCAATATCCAGATGTTTGTTTACGAGAACGGCTTGCTTTGCAGACAGGATTAAGTGAGGCAAGAATACAGGTAGAATACTTTTTTCAATAATCCTATTAAAAAATCTGAATTCATATTTTATATTAAAATGATAAAAATCAGAATTTAAATAGAAACTTGAAGCAAAACTTTGTATATATTAATCAGAATTTAATAAAAACAAACAAAATCAGAATTAAATTAAAAAACAAACTTTAAATCAGAATTTAATAAAAACAAACAAAATCAGAATTAAATTAAAAAACAAACTTTAAATCAGAATTTAATAAAAACAAAATTAAAACCAGAATTTAATTGAAACATTTGTTTTAATTTAATTCTGATTTAAAACTCACATCCATGTTTCGTTTCAATTAAATTAAAATCAGAATTAAATTAAAACAAACTTGGATCAAAATTTAGTTAAAACAATTAAAACAAATCAGAATTTAATTAAAACAAGCTTTAAAATCAAAAACATTTTTCCAGGTTTGGTTTCAAAACAGACGTGCTAAACATCGAAAACACTCCAAAAGATGCCCAACAACCCTTAGCAATGATAATCAACAACAACAATTAATAGTAACATCGTCTGCTTCAAATTCAAATTTTCTTTGTCCACCAGAAATGGGTGTAGATTTGTTTCGACGTTGTTCTCTCTCCTCTTCTTGTTCTTCAACATCAGCTACAGAATCTAGCCCACAATTATCACCTTTATTATTAACACCTCAAAAGCAAAATAAGGCTAACAGATTTTTTATTGATAATCTTTTGGATAATAATCAACAACAACAAATAAATGGGGGAGAAGAGGAAGACTGGAATGATGATCTGGAACGAAAATAAAAATTTTTTAAATTTAATTGAATGAATAAAATAATATTAATTAATTAAAATTTGTTCAGTGTTATTATGAAAATTCTGATTTTAAACTTATTTTGTTTAAAAAAAGTTCTGATTTTTAAAAACAAGTTTATTTATATAAACAAGTTTATTTTAAAACAAGTTTAGTTTAAAAACATGTTTATTTAAAATTCTGATGTTTTTTAAATAATTGTTTTTTTCAAGTTTTAAAATCAGAATTTTATTAAAACAAAATTGTTTTTTAAAACTTGAAATCAGAATTTTGTTTTAATAAAAATCAGAATTTGTTTTAAAGTTTCTGAACAAGTTTAAAAAATCAGAATTTTGTTTCCTTTACAATATTCTGAATATTATGTATTTTTTGTTTATTTTTAATTCTGGTTTACCACAAAGCGAATAATTCTGGTTTTTTAAAAACATTGTTGAGACAGGTTTTAATATTCTGCTTTTTATAAAACATTACTAATTCTGATTTTTGTTAATTAAATTAAAATACCTACAAAATTTAATTTAATTTCAATTAAATATTTACTTAAAATTAATTCCTCTATTGATTATAAACAAAAATAAAAGCAGCCAATAAAAGTTTGTATTATTGACAGAATTGATCTCAATAAATAAAAGAGAATTTACTAAACTAAAAAATATAAATATTTTTTATTTGTCATAAAATTAAATATTTTTGCTTTTTTGATAAAATAATTTTTTTAATAATTATAATTTTAAAATGAATAAATAATTGGAATTATTAATTTTTATTTTTTTTAATTTTAAATTAATTTTTAATAATTTTAATTAATTAAAATTTAAATTAATTTGTTAGCTACCAAAAATAAATTAAAATTAAAAAATTTAATAAGGGATTATTATGAGGGGATTGTCTACAAGTAATATTCTAATTATTACCAACCAATTAGTGTTTAAATAAATAATTTTATTTTTAAATTAAAAAATATTATTGAAATTATTTAATAAAAATATTATTAAGTGCTTGGTATAATTTTCTGAAATTAATTCTGTTTTTCAAAAATAAAGAAAATCAGAATTATTATTTAAGAAATTCTGATTTTTAAAAACATGTTCAAATAAGATTCTGATGTTTTTAATGATTGATTCAAAGTTTTAAAATCAGAATTTTATTAAAACACAACTAATGTTTTTTTAAACTTTAAATCAGAATTATTATTTAATAAAAATCAGAATTTGTTTTAAAATTGCAAAACAAGTTTTAAAAAATCAGAATTGTGTTTCTCTTTTAAAATATGAATTTATTTTTCTGATTTGTGTTTTTCTGATAAAAAAAATCAGAATTTTTTGCTTTTTGTATTTTTACTTGTATTTTATTTAAAAATAATTTTAAATAAATCAGTATATTTTATTCTGATTATTTAAATATTTCAACTTTTTCCCTCACTTTTACATAAATTAAAGTCAATAATATTTTCTTACTTTTATCTTTTAAATTCTTTTATATTAGCTAAAAAATAATGCCAACATTTTACATTTTTATTTACTTTTACTGAAAATTCTGCTTTTCTTTTTCTCTTTTTTTACTGAAGAATTATTCTTGTTTTTTTCTCCCCAAAAATTTTGTTTTCAAAAAATATTTTCAAAATTTCCTAAAAATTAATTTTTAATTAATAATTTTATTTTTATTAAATTAATAAAAATAATTTTTAATTTAATTTACTAAAATCGATCATTTATAAAATAATTTATTTTTCACTCATGCATTCACAGATATAGACATAATGGACACCCTCTCATTTTTACACACTCTCTCTTCTTTCTTTTACAACAAGAATTATTCTAGTCTCTCATTTTCCCCTACTATTTCCCCTTTTCTCTAACTATTAACAAACTTTAAATAGACAATTCTTTCTCTATTTTTCTTTTTTAAATTTCTTTTCTTTTGCATTGTCCATCTTTCTCTCTAATAAATACAAGGAAAGGAAGGGGATTTTAAGAGAAAGAGTAAAATTATTTTATATTATTTTTATTATTGAACAACGCAAATATTTATTAAATTCTTTTCGATTAAGCCTATAATTTTTGGAGAAAAAAAATTAATTTTTTTTTAATTTTTTGTGGTGAATAATAATAAATTAAAAATGAAAATTATTTTAAAAATGAAAAAATTATTTTTAATTAATAAAAATTATTTTTAAAATAATTTTTAAAAATATTAAAATAAATTAAAATTTATTAGTAAACGGCAGCAGTAATACATATAAAAGCATTTACAGGGTGCGGCAAATTAAGCGCGCGTTTGTTTTTTGCCATAACTTTCTTCAATTTTAATGAAAATTGATAATTCTTTTTTTGTTTTATTCCCAACACGTTAGGAAACTTGCTGATACCAAACATTAAAAATTTGGTTCACTGTTGGCAAAGATAATCGAGTTCGATCGTCTGGAAAATTTAAAAACATTTTTTATGCCAAAGTTTAATTGATCATAACTTCGTTCAAAATCGTTCAATACCAATGATTTTGGTACTAAACGACTCATCTCGTTCAGGAGCATCGAAATAGCTTATAATCTCATTTTTGAAAATTTTACACAAAAATTTTATTTTTATAAAAATTATTTTAATTTATATTCAGAGGACCGTATCTCATTCGAGTTTTGTCGTAGCCCCATGATTTTTATGTCATTCGAATCAGAATGAAGAGCTGATTCGAATGATATAAACAAATCCAATATTAAAATCCCAGCCTTGAATCTAGGCCAATTTTTATCCAAAAAATTCTGCTCAAACTTTGAGGGAAGTTTACTCAGAGTAAACTTAAAATTAAAAAGCAATTTTGGTATCGGCAAGTTTCCTAAAGTGTTGGGAATAAAACAAAAAAAGAATTATCAATTTTCATTAAAATTGAAGAAAGTTATGGCAAAAAATAAACGCGCGCTTAATTTGCCGCACCCTGTATTATTTTAGTAAAGCTTATTTATTTATAAATTAATTTAATTATATTGTATTTTATCTTACACACATTATTATATTCTCTTGTACCAATTACAACTTTCCGGATTGTAAAATACATTTTTGTGTTTTCCGGAAAGTTTCATGTTTTATTATTCTGATTTTTTTAGTTGCTGTCAATTAATTTTAATATATTTTCCGGAAACTTTTGTATTTTCCGGATGCTTTCTGTTTTTATTCTTTTTGTGTTTTCCGGAAACTTTTTGAAATTTGTATTTGCATTATTTGTATTTTCCGGATATTTTCTGCTTCTATTAATTTTTGTGTTTTCCGGAAAGTTTAATATATTCTATTCCTCCTTCAGGTTCTATAATTCTGATTTCGTTTAGTTGCTGTAAATTCTGAAATTTGTATTTTCCGGAAACTATTTCTTATTTTTGTATTTTCTGTTTTTGTTTTGTATTTCTATTTTTGGTGTTCTGTTTTTTAATTTTCTGTCTCATTCTTCTGATTTATTTAATTCTTTTTTCTCATTTCTATTTTACCCCTTATTGCTTATAAAATTAAAACAGAATATAATTTATTTTTATCAAAATAAATATTTTTTTCTTATAAATAATTTAAAATGATTCAGAATTATGACATTTATTTTAGCTTTAATTAATTAATAATTATTTTTCGAATATTTTATTTTTTTAAAAAATAATTTTTTTAGTTTATAAAATCGAAGAAACAATTTTTCTCTTTTTTATTTTCTCTTCTTTTTGTTTTGTAAATATTTTTTCCTCTTTAATTTTGTTAAGTAAATAGATATTATTTCTTAATTTATATTTAATTTTTAACCTTTATTTTTTTACTTTTAAAATATTTAATTGAAAATTTATTTTTATTTTCCAAATAATTTATTTAGTAAAATAATTCAAAATTATTATCCTCAGGTTAAAGGGGATTTTTAGGGGATTTAAAAATTTTAAAGGGATTTCAGATATCGAAATATTTCCTGGTTTTTAGTCCAAGATACCGATCTAAATTTTGATCGTTTCAAGCTAGCTCTCTAATTAAAATTAGAATCCCCAATCCCAATAATCTCAATAGAATTTCCAATATCTGGTTGTCTGTTTAAATTTGTTCACAAAAAATCCATAAGCTGCCCATAGACCACAGAATTTATTTTTTAAAATATTCTACAAAATTCTGTATTCTGCGGGCAACTGGTAAGTGGTTGTTTTGGGGCTGTAAGGCTTTTAGAGAGTACACTTGATCGAGTAATTTTCGAGTAATTTAAAAAAAAATATTTTTTATTTTAAAATTTGAATAAATTAAATTATTTTTTAAGGAAAAAATTCAAAAAAAAAATAATTTTTTTAAAAACAAAATCTTCAAAAATTAGCAAAAAATGTCTTCTTCATCTCCATCAATTATTCAATCAACTCCAACTACAAATAATCAAGATACACCAATAAATACTTCAACAAATAATTCAACACCACGTATATATTCACTAAACAATCCAATTTATCAAAAAATGAGAGAATTTATTTTTGATTTGTGTGATAAAGGTATTGGGGCTATTGCTTCTACTGAACAGCTAAAAGATAAATTTGGGGAGCAAGTACCGACTTTGTGCACAATTTATAAATGGAGAAGGGAATATCGGGGAGGAAAGGTTTTTTTCTTTTTAATTTTATTTTTTAAAGGTATCTTAAGGATTAAAATTTTAAATAAATTTTTTTTAATTTTTTTAATAATTTTTATAATTTTTTAAGAATTTTCAAAAAATTATTTCTTATTTTTTCAAAAATTATTTCTTATTTTTTTAAAATTCTAATCGATTTTTATTGAATTTATTAATTTTTAAAATAGTCTAATCGAAGAAAATAATTAAAAAATTTTTAAAATTAAAACTAATCTGTCTAAACTACCCGAAATTAATTAAAATAATTTTTAAAAATATTCTATTTAATTTTAAAATGACTTAACTTGCATAACTACTTATACTAAATTGCAGTAACTAGTAATTAATTAAACCCTCAGCAATTAAAAAATATACTCTATTTATTCGAAAAACAAAAATTAATTAAAACACTTAAAAATTAAATTAAAAATATAATTTTAAAAATAAAAGAAAATTAAAAGCTTCATGGGTATTTTAACGTTTGGGTGTTTTGAACACTGCTTAAATCTCGCTATTGATTGTCGTTAAATAAACTTACACATTGCTATAATATAAAACATAATTATTAAAGAATTGTAATTACAATTATTAAAACTATAATTATTCGAAATTACAAATTGTAAAAATTAATTGTAAAATAAACTTGTTTTGTAAAAACTTGTATTTTAATAATTGTAAAACTTAATGATAATTGTAAAAAGTTTAATTAAACTTGAATTAAAAAATAATTCAAGTTTTACAATTACCATTAAAATTACAATTCTTAAAATGTTTGTAAAACAAACTTGTTTTTATTGTAAAACTACAAATGTTTGTAAAACTTGAAATAAAATTATAATTATTTTTAATTAATTGTAAAACTTGGTGATAATTGTAAATTTAACTAAACTTGAATATTTCAAGTTTATAATTATTCTTAAATTTACAAATTGTAATTTTTAAGTTTTACAAAAGCTATTGTAATTTAATAACGACTAAGTTTTGTTGTACACTAATAATTTTTATTTGTTTTTAGTAAATCGATTTTTGATGACAAAATACAAATTTTGATAAATTTTTTAATGAAAATTTAAAATTATAATTAAAATAAAAATTAGAAAAAATAAAGATAGGAAATATTTAGGAAAGAGTGACAGAATTAAAAATATAATTTTAAAATAAAAGGAAAAATTAAAAATCAAGAGTAAAATAAAAATTAAAAAATAAAATTAATTTAAGGGAGAAAAGCAATTATTGGATAAAGCAAATAATATTAATAATACACCCGATTCAATGGTTTTACAACAAAATAGTGTTGGTAGAAAGGCCAAAAATCATGTTGAAAAGTATTGTTCAGCTTGTAACCGAGAAATGAGCACTCGACATTATTATGAATTTCATATGTTAAATGTATTTTAATTTTTTATTTAATTAAAAAAATATTTTTTTAAAGGTTCACGATGTTTTGTTGGGTAATCCAAGATCTGCAACTGTTGATTTGTTAGAGAAAATGTCTTCTACTCGAAAGCAACAACTTACTTTTAGGTTTATAATTAAAGTTTATTAATTGTAAAACATTTTACAAATTGTAATAAATAAATAAACTTGGAAGAATAAACTTAGTTTCCAAGTTTATTTATTTTTTACAATTTGTAAAATGTTTTGCAACTTTATTTCCAAGTTTATTTATTCGAATAAATAAACTTGGAGATAATGTTTTAAATAAGCTTGATAACAACCTACTTTAAGGTTTTGTAAAATAAAGTTTTGCTAATTGTAAAACATTAAATTACAAATTGTAAAATAAATAAACTTTTTTTACAATTTGTGAAATAAACTTTGTTTTCAAGTTTATTAATTAAATATAAGTTTATTAATTTTAAAACATTTTCAAATTGTAAAGAATAAATAAACTTGGAAATAAACTTTATTTCAAGTTACAATTTGTAAAATAAACTTTGTTTCAAGTTTATTAATTAAATAAACTTGAAAAACAACTTTAAATGTTTTTACAAACTTGAAACAAACTTTGTTCTAAACAATTTTAAATTACAATCTTAAAACAAAAATAGGTGTGATTCTTGTTTTGGCCGTTGCATCGACTATGACAATTTTGAAGAATTGCAACAACACAAACTTGAAAAACACGGAATTGAAATACCTCTACTTGCATTACAATTTAAAAAGAATAAAAATAATAATAGCAATGCTTCTCCTCCTGGAAAGGCAAAAAATAATTTTTTAATAGTTTAGAAATATTTTTTTAATAATTTAAGATGAGAGCGCATCCAAAATTAGCTCGTTCAGTAACCATTTGTCGTGATAAATCTTTGCCTTTGCCACCTGGTGGACTTCGGTAAAAAAAATAATTTTTGTTTTTAATTTTTAAAATTCCAATTTTTAGTCGTTCAGCCCGTATTCCTAAACCAACATCGGCAATTATTCATTCTCTTTTGTTAGCTAAGGACGAAAATGGTTCTGAAAGTGGAGAACAAATAAAGAAGGATTCGAATAAAACACATGAGCGTTCACAGATTTTACAAGGGCTTAAAGATGAAGAAGCTAGAGAGGATGCTGAACTTGATGGTCGTTAAAAATATTAAAAAAAAATAAAATAAATTTTTCCACAGATTGTATTAAAGGAATAAAACGACGTTGGGGAGGAGGAGTTAAATCAACAAAAAATTTAAATAAAATTAATGAAATTAATGAGGAATTATTGCAAAATAATGAAACAAAAAGTGTCCAAGAAGAAGAACCTTTTGTCACAATTTTGAATGATGGACGTATTGAAGTTGAAGAAACTCAGGCAAATTAAAATGGAAAATTAAAATAAAAATATTTTTAGATTAAAAAGACAAGAAATGTTCGTGAAAAGTGTTTAGATCCGCTTATGGCTCTTGCTTCGGCTGCGTTGATGGAAAAGGTGAATGGGGGAATATATTTATTTAAAATTCTGACTTTTATTGGTTTTCCGGATAAAATAAATAATTTAAATATGTAAAACTTTCCGGAAGAAATACTACCGGAATTTAATATATTTTCCGGAAATGTTTTATAAAACTATATTGTCTTTCCGGAAAATAGAATAAAAATCAATTTATATTTATCTTTCCGGAATTTTGTATATATTTATTTTCCGGGAAGTTTAAAATTCTGATCTTTCCGTTTAGAAATAATATTAGAATTTAATACCATTTTTCCAGAAGAAATAATATATTTTCCGGAAAGGTTAAAATTCTGAATTTTTTCCGGAAAATAGAATACAAATCAGAATTTATTTGTATTTATCTTTCCGGAATTTTGTATATATTTTCCGGAAAGTTTGAAATTCCGATTTTTCCGGTTAGAAATAATACCAGGATTTTATATAATTTTTCCGGAAAAAATTAATGCCATTTCCGGAAGAAATGATTATTTTCCTGAATGTTTAAAATTCTGAATTTCTTTCCGGAAAATAAAAATCTGAATTTATTCCATATTTTTTTTTCCGGAATTTTAAATATTCTTCCTTAAATGTTTTCCGGAATTAATCAGTGGCTGTATATTAGTATAATAACTTCCTATTAGAATAAATAAAAATTAATTTTCTTTATTTTTTCTATCAATTTTAAAAGAATGCTTCTGCTAAGGCTATCAACAACAACAAAACAATAAATAATAATTCATATATTAATTCAACTACAACAGAAACTTTAAATCATCATACGTCTTCTTATCCTTCATCTACTTCCTCGGACAATTTAAAATTAAATTCTTTAAATTCAGCGACAGCAACATTATCTAATATACAATCAACAACAAATAATAATAAAATTAAAGAAATTTTTCGAGAAAAAAAGATTTCGGCAACAACAAAAATAGATAAAAAACAAAAGAAAAATGTTTGTTGGAATAAAGGGGATAAAAATGAAGAAGAAAATAATAAAAATAATGTGGAGGATATTCAGCAGCAAAATAATTCTGAAGCTTTTCAGGAGGAGGAACAACAACAAGTGGGTACTCAAAATGTGGAAAACGTTGCAGTGAGAATATAAATTAATATAACGTTTTTCCGGAAATGATAAGACCAGAATTTGTAAAAACTTTCCGGAAGAAATAATATCAGAATTTTATATAAATAAAAATAATACTTTCCGGAAAAATATATAATTATTAGAATAGGTATATGTAGTAATAACCTTTTTCCGGAAATAATATAACCAGAATTTTGTTTTCCATAATAATAAAATTATATATACCTTTCCGGAAAGTTGTATATATTTTTCCGGAATATTATATACCTTTCCGGAAAGTTATATATATTTTTCCGGAATACTATATACTTTCCGGAATTTTATATACCTTTTCCGGAATATTATATACTTTCCGGAATTTTATATACCTTTTCCGGAATACTATATACTTTCCGGAATTTTATATACCTTTTCCGGAATATTATATACTTTCCGGAATTTTATATACCTTTTCCGGAATATTATATACTTTCCGGAATTTTATATACCTTTTCCGGAATATTATATACTTTCCGGAATTTTATATACCTCTTTCGGAAATGATCTATAGAATTCTGATTTCTATTTTCCTGAAATATAAAATCAGAATTTGTAAAAACTTTCCGGAAGGAATTAACTATAATTATTTTATATATTTTTCCTGACAGAATATTAAACAGAATTTAAATTAAGCGTTAAAAATTTTTAGGTAGAATATCCTCGTGATTCCGCTTCTATTGAAAACAATAATAACAACAATAATAATAACAGCATTATTATTCCTGCATCATCTCAATTCTTTACTCTCTCAGCAGCACAGAATCAGACAGCTTTGTTTGTTTCGCAAGACGATTCTACTTGGTTTGGGCAATCAGTAGCTGCTCAAGTAACAGTCTTACTCCGACTTTCCTCTTAAAAAATATTTTTTCTAGTTGCGTTTAATGCCTCTGCATATTAAAGAATTGGCTAAAATGAGAATTCAACAAGTAAAGAATTTTTAATTAACTAAATTTTTTTAATTTTTAAGGTCATTTTCGAATGCAACTCTTCCACATTTGCGTCTTTCCACCAATTTGCCCAACTCCAATCCAAACCACAAAATTCCCGTAGCAACGATTCTCCGGCAGCTACAAATTTTTCAACAGAACAAAATAATGGAATTGAACAAACTTTGGAAATTAATGGGGATAGAGAAGAAAATAATGAAGAGGTTGATGTTATTACTGTTGAAGAACAACAGCAACAAAAATTGAATAATGAAACAAATTGAATTTTAAATTGAATAATTTTATTTAAACTGATATTATTAAGAGAGAGAGAGTATGTTTGGTGTTTTAGAGAAATTTACTAGTTAATTTTGGAATAAATATATAGTAGTTTATTTTAAGTGTTTGTTTAAACTTTGTTTTTCTCTGTTTTTACAATTGTAATTTTTACAAAACAAAGTTTATTTTACAATTATATCTAAACTTTGTTTTTAAAATAAACTTTGTTTGCGAAACAAACTTTGTTTTATAATTAAGTTTATTTGAAAGTTTGTTGTTTCTCTTTGTTTTTACAATTGTATTTTTAAAATAAACTTTGTTGTTAAAATAAACTTGTTTTTAAAATAAACTTGTTTTTCAAAAATAAACTTGTTTTTGTAACAAAGTTTGTTTTTAAAATAAACTTGTTTGTGCGACAAACTTTGTTTTTAAAACAAACTTTGTTTTTACAACAAACTTTGTTTCTGTTACAAAGTTTATTTTCAAGTTTATTTTTCTGACGTGTTTTTCTTTATGTTTGCAACAAAGTTTATTTTAAAGTTTATTATTTGTAAAATGTTTTGCAAAATGTTTTTGTTGTTTTCTCATGTTTATGTAAAACAAACTCAGTATTTTCCAAAATTAACTAAACATTTTACAATTATATATTTAATATTATTATCTATATATTATTATTTTTTATTTCACTGATTCTTCCTTTCGTCTCTTTCAACTATACACATTATTTTATTAAAACAATATTATTGCTTGTTTTTAGAATAAAATGTTTTTACAACTTTTTGTTTGTTCATTTTTAACATAAAATTCCGAACTTGTCAAGATGTCTAGTAATAATTCCCAGTCTCATTTCAACTGTCCCGGCAGCAACCGTTCTCAACTTTAAAAATTGCTTTTAACTGATTTTAATTTTTTATAAACCTGAGCACTTTGAGCCGGGTCTAAATTAATGAATATTTTAATGTTTTTTAGAGGCTATAAATTTTCTAATATTAATTATTTTTTAATTTCTATGCCAAAAGAAAGAAGAGATTTAGGGCTATAAAATGTTAAAAAGATCGTATTTTTATCTAACGGATTCGAGAAGTTATGAATTTTTAAAGGAATATAGTCTAGCATGTTTTTAGGTAGAAAAATAAATTTTACAAAAATAAGTTTTGCTAAGTTTATTACAAACTTGAATTAAATAAACTTTTTTAAGCTTAAACTTGAAAACTTTTTCAAGTTGCAAATTGTATTAGTCTTCCGGAATTTATCTACTTTCCGGAATTTGAATACTAATTCTTTCCGGAAAGTTTATTATTTTTCTCTAATTACTGTTAAATTGAGGTTTATACTATAATTTTATATTTACCTACATAAATTATACGAAAGGTGAACGATTTAATATTTTTAATAAATTTATTTTAATAAATTTATTTTATTAAATACCTAAAAGAATATTAGCTGAACGAAGCTGCAATCCCCCTCCAATAAAACTCCGAGTCAATTCTTCCCTAAAATTTCCCTTAGGTCTCCAACAATGACACTCTACTTTATGCTCTCCAGGTGAACTCGGCACAAAACAATTTCCATAACCAGAAATTGAATGACGCCCATATTTATCATAATGCCACACTTCTACGAGTATTCTTGGCCAGCCTTTAGAGGAAAAAAAATTTTTTTTAATTTTAATTTAAATTTTCCTTGAATTGTTCTAGTAGCAAGGTGTACATCGATAGGATGAGCAAAGTAAGCACGTTCACTTTCTGGCAAGTCTGTATGTGTTTGCCTTTCTACTTCTCCTTCTATTACTCTCCAACCACCTCCTTTTTTAATTAAAAAAAAATTTTTTTTTTTGAAATTTTTTGGCCCAAGAAATTTTATTTGTTTAAACAGACCACAATGCAAGCTCCAACGACAAGCTACTCGATTATCACCAAAACCATAAGCAGATTCAATTTGACCGATTATATGTATTTCTGCTGCCATTTTTAGTTAAAAAATAATTTTTAAAGGATATTTCTAATTTTAAGCATAAATTTATTATTTTTGTTACCATGACAACATTACAGTAAATTTATTTTAGTTTCCAAATTTTTCATGAAAAATCAAAATTCAACTTAATCTTTTCATAATTTATATACCAAAAGAAAGAAGAGATTCAGAGCTATAAAATGTTAAAAAGATCAAATTTTTATCTAGCGGATTCGAAAAGTTATGAAATTTTAAATGAATACAGTCTAGTAGCTGTTTTTAGGTAGGAAAATAATTTTTACAACTTGAATAAGTTTTGCTAAGTTTATTACAAACTTGAATTAAATAAACTTTTTTTAAGCTTAAGCTTGAAAACTTTTTTAAGTTGCAACTTGTATTAGTCTTCCGGAATTTATATCCTTTCCGGAATTTTCTCGAGTGCCCTATTTTACTGGGACAATTAGCCAGTTTTGTATTATTTTAAAGGCTTTACATGCTAGTTTGGAGTGTCTAATAAATTTCTAGAAAATCCTCCTTCCCTTAACTACCCTAATCAACTACCTAACACCTATCCTTAACTACTCACCCTAATAAGAAAAATTTCCAAAATACACAAGTTTATTTACAAGAATCAACACAACATTTTAAATGACAAGAAAAATATAACAAGGCAAGAACATTCAACATAAGAAATTTAGGGAATTGAAAGTGAATTATTATACGACAATATTTATGGAATTGATGACAACAATATATACATACAAGTGAGGGGCTTAAAGGCTAAGAGGCAAATCACAACAAGGAGCAAATTATTTCAATGTTCGGTTGCAAGGAGCGAAGCATCCTAAGCGAGCACAGGATTTCCTGAAATTCAAAAAAAATTTTTTCAGAGAAAAAAAATTTTCTTCCCTTACCAATTTGTCGTCGTATTCAATCCTCTTCCGAGGTCTCCTTTGACTCCTCAGTGCTGTAAATGTCGCTAGCTGTACCATCCTTGCCGTCCTTACCATCCTTGCCGCTTCCCCCCTTTTTGTCCTTCTTCTTATCGTCCTTGCCCTTCTTTCCTTTCTTGCTCTTCTTCTTCTTTCCGTCCTTTCCTTCCGAACTGCTACTACTGCTGCTTTTGCTCTTAGCCGTATGCTCCTTCTCAGACTTCTTGTCATCCTTCTTATCGGACTTTTTGTTGTTGTCCTCCTTCTTGTCATCCTTCTTGTCCGATTTATCAGCTTCAGACTTTATGTCTGATTTTTCAGCCGTCTTTGAATCCGCGTCCGATACAAGTCCAGATTCCAAGTCGGTGCCGCTCTTCTTTGACGACTTCTCGTTGCTTTTGGCGTCGTCCTTTTTGTTGTCGTTGCCACCGCAGACAAAGCAATATACCTTGGAATTGAAGGAAAAAAATTAATTTTTTTGGAGGGTTAGCGAAACTAACCAAGAAGCAGAGGCACGCGATTAGGGCCAAGATTCCTATTATCACGAGAACAAGATTGCGTACATTGCTTGCGACAGCCCCCGGACTGATCCAGCCGAAGAAAACCTTCATGATCTTCACATCGTCGTCGGTGTTGTCCACAGCATTCCCATCAGCAACTGCAAGGTTGAAGAGAATAATGGCGCCAATCAGCAGCGGAGAAGACTTGAAACCAGACATGATGAGTGAGCAGAGCAAAACGCTGGTGAATTTTGTAGGTGATAAAGATTAGTAAAATTTTGGGGCTTTTATAGTTAATTTGGAGGGTAATTGTTATCCGATAGGCGTTCCTAAACCTTAAAATAATTCAAGAACTAACTAGCCACTTTTCCAAAAACACTAGAAATTAGTAAAGAAAGAAGATAAATGGTCTAAAATGCCCATTCCTTTGCCATCCAGAGGAAGTCGAAAAAGCATATGTACACAAAGTTTGCCATTTTTGATCAGCAACCTCACTTTCTTCTCTTTCCAACTCAGAAATTACATATGTAGCCAGTTCATTTTCATTGGAGAATGATCTTTAACGTCAGCAAAAAAACTCGGATAAGAGAGACTCGAACATTTGTTAAGGTTGATTTATAAATCAGAAATTTTAATATAAATTCTGATTTTTTACAATTTATTATTTGACACATTCTCGTCTCCTTTTATTCTTTTAATTATTTGTCATCATCTTTTTACACATCTTTTCTCAATTCTTCCAAAAATCTAATTTTGCTTTTTCTTGTCATAACCTCAAAATAAAAAAGGCAAAGCAGCGGCTTTTAACAAAAGAACAGATATATTCATATATTGGTTACCGCCGGGAATTAAATTAATTAGTAATGTCACACACAAAAACAAGCATTATTTAGAGCCATAAATTGACGAATTGAATCTCAATGTTTTTAAGGTTTTTGTTTTGGAAATCTAGTTGGAATAAACAGAGAATAAAATTGAAATTAAATTGAAACATTCTTGTTTAGATTTTTATAAGCTTCAAACATTCCGGAAGTGAATAATACGAAGCATTATTGTTTTAAACAGTTCCGGAAGAAATTAAAAATCAGAATTTAATAACACTTTTCCGGGAAAAAGATAGTATTATAAATAAATGTAGATGTTTCCGGAATATAACATAAAGGTTTCCGGAACATATATAAATGTTTCCGGAATATATATATATATATATATGTTTCCGGAATATATATAAGTTTCCGGAATATATAAATGTTTCCGGAATATATATAGGAAAACTTCCATAACATTTTTCCGGAAAACTTTTTATCTATAAAAAAAGTCTTTCCGGAAGCTTATTAAATTCTGATTTTAATTTTTTCCGGAAATAAAAACATTTTAGTTATTTCAAAATTTAATAAAACTTTTCCGGAAAGGTTTTATTTACTCTCCTTCATTTTTAAACCTTTCCTAATTTCCAGGATAATATTTTAAAAATACACCAAAAATCTAAATAAATAATTTTGATGGCACGCTTTTTTATTTTTATGTTTTGCTTCCATTTTCCTCTAAAACATTGCTTGTCTTTTAATAATACAAATAATATAGGAAGGTAAAATGGCTCTCAATTTCATATTTGTTTGTCCTGAAATAGGGCAAAATATTAGCTATTAAATATTATTTTATAACTCGCCCTTAATTTTTGTTATTTTATGTAGTTTTTCGGGTTTTTCCGGAAGCGCTACAATTTATTTTGTTCTTTTTCCGGTCGTAAAATATTAAACAATAGAAATTCCGGAAATAAAATAAGATCTTCCGGAAAAGTTGTGATTGAATTCTGATTTTTAATTAATTAAATTCTGATTTTAATTTCCGGAATTAAAATCAGAATTAAACAAGTTTTGTAAATTTATTTACAAATCCGGAACTTAAAAGCAGAAATTAAAATCAGAATTTTAATAAAAAATTTCCGGAAAGTTTTTTTACAATTACAATTTACTTTTAAGTTTTCCGGAAGTTTTTGCTAGCAAATAAAGTTTCGGTAGATTAAAGTTTTACAAAATTAAATAAAACTTGAGTTTTTGCAAGAATGTCGGTATTTTTTATAAATGAATGGAGACTTTCCTCGATAATTTTTTGTAGGCGTTCCAGTCAATTTATTTAATATAATATCCATATAAAATTTTTTTCTAATTTTTATAGAATTTATTTATTGCAAATTTATTTGATATATTATCGATGTCGACATACGAACTAGAGATCGAGATTTTTGAAAGGCCTGGGCCTATTCCTGGGTTCCAGGTTTAGTTTATTGACCTGGGCCGAACCTGGGCCTGTAGTCCAGGAAAAACTCAGGCCCAGGAAAAGCCCAGGAAGGACAAAAAATGCCTGGGCCTGGACTCTGGGTACAGGAAAAACCCAGACCTTGGTCCAGGCCCAGCTCGATCTCAACATACGTACTCACAATTTACGACACTCTCTATTTGACGTATAATTTTTTAATCTGATTGGCCACTTTGGTAGGGGGAGTCTTCAATTCCAATTTCACATACACCTCAATTTTACTGATACTTTTTCTCATCCCTTTGGGTCTACATAGAAACCGAGATTGACTGACTATCGCTACTTCCGACAATATAAATTTACTATTTTCTTGTTTGAATTTCATAATATTTTTGCTTCAATTTCCACAGTAGTCTAAAAAATATATTTCTCTTTCACCTTTGTCACTTTAAAAAAAAGACATCCACCAAAATTAACTTAATTTTATATTGGATTAATGCCTTGAGAAACGAAACACTTCTGCTCAATTGCTTTCTGCCTTAAAAGCCACACATTATTGCTTAGTCTATCTCTTCCCTTCCTGCTTTTTACCCCCTCCAACATTCTTCTTCCTCTTTGAATTTTCTTTTATTGCTTCAACTTTCAAAATCGGATTAGGCATGCTTCATCGCCGGAACCGGTGTTTGTGTGTGAGTTTTGTGAGATGATGATGATGACTGGCCATTGCCGGTTAATTGCCTTTTCGGGGGTATATTTTCCTTTGGGAATTTTTTTATAAATTTGAAAATATATATAAATATATTTGTAAAAAAGTAATGTGCCAAACAACTTTAGAAAACTGACAAAATGACTTTAACAAAATTACCGAAAATGGCAAAATTTTTGAGAAAACACGTTGGAAGGAAAATGAAAATTTTTTTCTATTTTAGTCAAAAAAAGTGTTTGTGTGGTTGGACAAAAAATATTTTTATTTAAAAAAAAATATTTTTATTTTTAAAAAATATTTTTTAAAAAATATTATTTTTGTAGTTCAGCCTATTTTTAGCTAATTTTATATCCCGGAAAATCCACTTTTGCAATTAAGTAAGAAGACCACCCAGAATTTTTTTAATCTTTTAATTGTTATAAATAAACTCTAGGAAGTCAAAAAATGGAAAATCAGTAAATATTTAATAGTCTAATATTTAATAGCCTATTTTAAAAAGTTTTTAAAATATAGAATTGAAAGTTGGCAAAATGTCGGTTGATTATTTGTCTTCCTTCCGTAAATGTATTACAGTCTGTATTCCTGTAGTCTATATTTCCGGAAATTAAATTTTATTAACTTGTGTATTTTCCGGAATATAAATTTCTTTTCCGGAATTTTTCCGGAACCTTCCTATTTAATATTCTACTTCCGGAAAAGCATAGCAGAATAATAGTTGACATTTCCGGAAAATAGAAGTTTATTTATTTGTGTATTTTCCGGAAGCTATAAATTTGAGAAAATACAAAAAGAGTCTTTTCCGGAATCCAAAATTTTAAAAACTTTCCGGTTCTATATTTTATTTCCGGAAAAGTATAAAATCGTTATCAGAATAATAGTTGATATTTCCGGAAAATAGAAGTTTGTATTTTCCGGAAGGTATACACTAGCTATAAATACAGACTTTTCCGGAAGTTTAAAAACTTTCCGGTTCTATATTTTATTTCCGGAAAAGTATAAAAGTTAATTCTTTATTATTTTGATATTCTGGATTAACCAATTATTATACCACCAACTTCCCTTCTCCATCTTTTCATTTCCCCTCCCAAAAGCCAAAACAAAATTAATCGGTAAAGTGAAGAGCCGCGCTCTTTTTTCCTTCCTTAAAAGAATTCCATTTCATTTAATTCAATTTTTATTCATTGCCATCTGCCCCCAAAGCTTAGGAAGCAATAGTAACAAAAGCCAATGTTTGGCCTGTCACAGCCAGAAAGTAAAAAAAAGGAAAAATGAGGAGGCGGCCACACAAGACCAACCTTTTGGCTTTTTCATTTGTTATACTGTAAAAGACGAAAAAATCATTTGGCGGAAAGAAAAATTTTTTTCTCATTTTTCTTTAATTCATGCTGTGGCATTTGCCGCATAAAACACAACTATAATTTATTTAAATATTATACTGTATTTTTATATTATATATTAGATTATTTTTAGTATGTATCAGTGATATCACGGGACTGAGGAAAAAAAGTAGTGTCAGTTTTTTGGAAAATTTCTCTGGTTGGGTTTCGGGTCAAAAAAGTCAAGGTATCGGGTTTTGAGTAACCCGTGACATCTATGGTATGTATTTTCCGGAAAGCATGCTAATAAGTATTTCCGGAAAAGTATACTTTTTATTTACAGCCTCAAAGTAAAGGGAAATTATTATAGGTACTTCCGGAAAACACTACTTTTTAGTATACACATTTCCTCAAATAGGTATATATTTTAATTTATTTCCGGAAATAAATACACAACAATGAAATTATTTTCTTTCCGGAAAAGTTTGTTTTATATCAAACTTTATTTCCGGAAAGCTTATTCTTATACAATTAGCTTACTTAAATCCCAAATATTCCTACTAAAATGAAAAACACATCATCTCCCATTATTACAAAATCATCACCTCCCTCTGACTGCCAAAATATTTTTCGGTTGCTTTCATCAACCAACGATGATATCAACTCCGTTGAGGATAATAAAATTAAATTTCATCCTTTAAACGTTGGAAAATTAAATCATAAACCAAGCAAAGGTAAATTAAAACCTTTTTTTATTTGATGAATATACTTCCGGAAAACACTTTCCCGAAAAACACAAAAATATATTAGATGATATTTCCGGAAGATAATACCCGGAAAAACTTTATTTAGTATATTCCGGAAAGCACATATATTTGAATTAATAGGAATATAAATTTCCGGAAGACATTTAGGAAAAAAATATGAAAATACATTAGTTCGAAGGAATATAAATTTTCCGGAAGGAAATTATATTTTCCGGAAGAATACTCAACCATAGACATCAACTATATAAAACATTCCGGAAAATTCCGGAAAACCCATAAAAATATACTTCAATAAAAATACCTATAAATTTCCGGAAACATACAAATTTTATTTTATAGGCAAATTACTCTCTGCTTTAATCGCTAACACTCGACGTTCACGTCATTCTGATAAGGGTAGGAATATTAATTTAATTTTCAACGTTTAATTAAAAATTCATAGCGCGCAATTCCCAAGCATTTAACGCTACATTTCTGGCAGGAGGGGAGGAAAACAGAATTAAATTGGATTTTGTAAAGGAAGAATTATTAAATGGTAAAACATTTTGATTAAAATAATTTTTTAAATTTTTTTTAATTTTAGAAGAAAATGAAATAAAGGAGAAGCCAAATATAGTAGATGTTAAGGTGACCAAATTTAGTTCAATTAATTTAAAAAAATTATTTTAATCAGGATATTAATCAAAAACCTATAACATCATCTTCTTCCTCTTCTTATTCGTCTTCTGACTCCCCTAAAAATCCCCCTCCTCCCCAGTCTTCTACTTGTTCCTCTTCCCTATTCCCCCCTTTACCTTCTCAACGTTTCCAAACAGAACAAAAAAATTTTGGAGGTTTTCCATTTTTAACCAATCTAAATGGCCATCCATTCCCTCCCTTTCCACCCTTTTTATTACCTCCACAACACTCTTTTCCACATGGCCATCCAATACATTTTCTTCATGGATTGCAACAACCACCTAATTTTATTTCTGGATTGCCTCTAAACGGACAAACTTGTAAGTTTAGTTTTCCGGAAAATATATTCCGGAAAAAATATAATTTCCGGAAAATATAAATATTATATATTGTTTTCCGGAAAGTATATTCCTGTATTTCCGGAAATTCCCATTAAAATTGTAGTTTTCCGGAACTATATCATACGGAAAATATATTAGTATATTTAGTTTTCCGGAAAATACAATTCCGGAAAAAATATAATTTCCGGAAAATATGAATATTATTTATTGTTTTCCGGAAAGCATAAAGATTATAAAGATAAAGATTATACCTCATAAAGATTATACCTACAGAAAATAGTTTTCCGGAAATATATTATAGTTTCCGGAAAATACAATTCTGGAAATATTTTTATATGGAATATTATATTGTTATATATTTTATAGCATCTATGGGTAATTTAGCGGCAGTAATTAGTGCAGCATCAGCCGTTATAAATCCGCAAAACAAGCAACAACAAAATACTCCACCTAACGAGTTAATAAATTAAACAAAACTATTCTAAATTTAAAATTTTTAAAAATTTAGTCAAACATCCTCTTTAATAAATGAAACCTCCGAGTCTGTGGCTCAGCTTTCAGTTAATTTTTTAATTTTATTTTAAATTATTCTTTCTAGTCGGAAGGAAGTTGTTCACCTATTGAGGCCATCGATGACCCCCAAATTAGTCCAAGCCCAAAGACCTCAAAATGTATCGACGCTGCCTCGTTAACATGTTCCGTCTGTGGGGATATTTCTAGCGGTAGAGACTTTAAATTTTCAATTAAAAGTTTTTTTGAGGCCGTCATTACGGTATTTTAGCCTGTAATGGCTGCTCAGGCTTTTTCAAGCGAAGTGTTCGACGGCGTCTTATCTACCGCTGTCAGGCTGGAACAGGAACATGTGTAGTAGACAAAGCTCATAGGAACCAATGTCAAGCTTGCCGGCTCAAAAAATGTTTGGCAAAAGGAATGAATAAGGACGGTCAGTCAAAACAAACAAGCAAGCTGGAAATATATAGATACTCGCCAGAAAATATCTTCCGGAAATACAAACTTTTCCGGAAACATAATTTTCCGGAATATATTATCTATGTTGAATAACTATAGTATTTTCCGGAATATAATTTATTTTCCGGAAATGAGTGAATATTTAATCTTTTCCGGAAAATTATATATTCTATTCATAAAATATATGCTCTTCCGGAAAACTCATACTTATATACTTTTCCGGAAAATTATACATTCTCTATATAAAATATATGCCCTTCCGGAAAATCCATAGCTATATACTTTTCCGGAAGACCATACATTCTATTCATAAAATATATGCTCTTCCGGAAAACTCATACCTATATTTTTCCGGAAGTTATAAATACTATTCTAATTCTATTGTTTTCTTCTCTAGCCGTCCAGAACGAACGTCAACCTCGTAATTCTGCAACCATCCAACCTCCTACCGATTTTGAAACTTTGTATTCTCATGCAAACTTTTTTAGGCTAGTTTTATTTATTTTTCTCTGCTATTAAGTTAATTTTTAAAGGGATTGTTCAAATGTGCTTTCTTCAGCCGTTGATTTTGTACATTTACCAAGAGATCAACAACAACATTTTGCAAGGTTAAAAAATTATTTTTCTGATTTTTCTCCCAAAAATATTTTTTGTTCAGTTCTTCAAATCCTCCTTTATTTCTTCATGACAAAGACCCACTTAACTACCCTCCCCAACCACCTAATCCTTCAAGTTTAATATCTTCAGTAGAGTCAAGTACTGAAGAAAGATTGGCATTTAGTGAAACAACTGCTAGAATAATGACTTTATTAATTAAATGGGTTAAAGGAATGCCTTCATTTATTAATAACATCTGTGCGAATGACAGGGCAAGTTTTTTGAGAGAAAAAGTTTTTTTGAGAGAAAAAAATTTTTTGGACCGGAAATTTTGAATTGACGACGTAATTTTTAATCTTTCCCCATTTCAGTTATCCTTATTGGAGGGTGCATGGGCGGAGCTTTTCCTCCTTTTCGCTTTTGAAAGCTCAACGCTTTTTGAAGAAACATCCAAGTTTATACCTCCTCGTTTACTACAGGCTTTGAATGCCTTACAAAACAATTTTAAACGACTAGAAATGGATCAGTCAGAAATTGTATGGCTTCGAGGGGTTTTACTGTTTCGCCCGGGTAAAGAAATTTACAAATTGTATTAATTTTATTAGATTTTTAGAATTACCAGGAATTGAGAATTCGGCATTAGTGCAACAATTTCAAGACCAGTCCATTGTTTGCTTACTTTAAAATTTCGAAAAATTTTCAAAAAAAAATTTTTTTTCAGTTAGGCCTGCAGCAACAATCAATGCGCCGTTCCCCCCAAATTACCCGTTTTGGACGTATTCTTTTATTCTTACCTACTCTAAGATTGGTAGCAGACCCAAAATTAATTGAAGCAGTCTTTATTAATTTAGCTTTTGATAATAAACCAGTGAATAAAGTTTTGGAAACTTTATTGACAGAAATATAAAATATAAGCAATTGTAATTAATATTTAAAAAAGTTCCTATTTGTAAAATAATATTACAAATTGTAAATGTTTTTATTGTTTTTACAAACATGTTTAGATTAAAGTTTATTTTTCTGAACATAATTATGTTGCTTCAAGTTTGAAAGTGTTGCAAATATTAACAAATTGTAAACTTGAAAAAAACATTTGTAAAACAAGTTGTATTTTGTTTAAATAAACTTGTTCAGATAAAAGTTTATTTAATAAACTTGTTTAGAACACGTTTTGTTTTAATAAACTTGTTTAGAACAATGTTTCGTTTAAATAAACTTGTTTAAATCAAAGTTTATTTAAATAAACTTGTTCAAATCGAAGTTTGTTTAATAAACTTGTTTAGAACAAAGTTTTGTTTAAATAAACTTGTTCAAATCGAAGTTTTATTTTCTTGTTTTCCGGAAACATGTTTTTCCGGAATACACTATTTATATTAGTTAACTATAGTATTTTCCGAAAAATATTTTATTTTCCGGAAATGAGTAAACATTTAAACTTTTCCGGAAAGTATATGAGTACACTTCAGGAAATATATTCTTTTCCGGAAAATTTGTGTTGCTTCAAGTTTGAAAATGTTGCAACTTTTTACACATTGTAAACTTGAAAAAAAACAATTGTAAAACAAGTTTTATTTTTATTTAGTTAATTAGGATATGAAAATTAAACGAATACAATGCTTTAGTTGGATTTTAGGAAAATTAAAAAATTAAAAATGATATGAAAAATTAATTAAAAATAACAAATGAGCATGAAAATGAAGGGGAATGTTTCGTTTAAATTTTAGTTGGCAATCTTCCAGCCATTCTTTGGAATTTTAATTTTCTTTCATCGGTTTTATTCTTCCACCCCAACATAGTTGATATGTACCAAAGCGCCACCCAATGTGAGGGTTCAATACGGCTTTTACAAAAATTGGGAAAGCCATTAATTCACGGAGTATCCAACAAAATAAAAATTGGGAAATTGAAAAGGGTAACTGTCCATTCTAAAAAATTTGAAATTTTTTAATAAAAAAAATTTTGTTTACTTGAAGTGTTTTAATTAAAATAAAATCACAAGTAGCCCAATAAATAAAATGAAATGCCAAAAAGGGAAACATTGCTTGTTGTCCAAATAAATACCCGAAAGATAGGGCGCCAACAAAAGAAGCAAAAATGCATTCCTGAACAGGTTCAAGAATTATTGTGTGGGGTAACATTGCTATTCTGAGTTTGATCCAACTAGAATTAAAAAAACATTACAACTTTAAAAATAATATTTACAACTTGTTTTACAATTTAATTAAAAAGTTTGTTTTATTTAAACATAATTTTTATAAAACATTTGCAGCATGTTTTACAAACATATAGTAAACATGTTTCGTTTTAAAACTTGTTTTTAAGCAAGTTTATAAAAACATGTTTATAAACTTGTTTTTAACAACTTGTTTTTTTTAACAACTTGTTTTTAACAACTTGTTTTTAAGCAAGTTTTTAAAGACATGTTTATAAAACATGTTTTTAAAAACATGCTTATAAAAGCTTGTTTTTAAACAAGTTTGTAAAAACATGTTTATAAAACTTGTTTTTAAAAACATGTTTATAGAACATGCTTATAAAACTTTTTTTAACAAGTTTGTAAAAACATGTTTGTAAAACTTGTTTATAAACAAGTTCTTACAAAATTAAACAAGTTTTCAACTTTTTTTACAAATGTTTTTACAATTTGTTTTACAGTTTGCTATTAAACTTGTTTTTACAACTTAAGCTTACAAATTCTAAACACGTTGTAAAAACTTGTTTTTTTCTATTTTTTACATTTAAAATGTTTTATTATTAAAAATTGTCTCACCGGCATATGCGTTCTTGAAAAGTAAAAAGTGAGGTATTTGCAGAATTCTGTAGTGCTGGCATATGAGAAATAACATTTCGATATCCACTTAAATTAATTAAAGTTTTTTCAATTATCAAAAATATTACTAACGCTCTAGCAAATGCTTGTCCCAAAAAATAATCTTCGGCTAAAAATCCTCCAAATTGTCTAAATCCTCCGCATTGTTCCAAAACATCTTTTAGCATTAAAGCACTCATTCCTGTTGAACATACAAAACGGAAAGCATGACTGGCCAGATATATACGAGAATGGGCACCGCCAAAGTAGACATAAAAAAAAAGATATTAGATTATTTTTTAAAAATTGTAAAATGTTTTTACAGATGTTTTTACAATCTTAAAAACATTTTTCAATGTATTTTACAATTCTCACAAAAAATTGTTTTACAACTTTAATGTAAACTTGTTTTTCTTCAAGTTATTAAATAAACTTGTTTTTATTAGATAAGTTTGTTTGCAGAAAAACAAGTTTATTTATTAAAAACAAGTTTTACTAATTAAACTTGTTTTACAATTCCCTTAAAATTTTTTAAAAACATGTTTTACAACTTTAATGTAAACTTGTTTTTCTTCTTATTAAATAAACTTGTTGCAGAAAAACACGATTATTTATTAAAAACATTGTTGTTTACAAAACTTGATTTTATAAACAAGTTTATTTATTAAAAACAAGTTTTAATAATTCAACTTGTTTTACAATTCCCTTAAAATTTTTAAAAACATGTTTTTGTAAAAACTACTTGTTCGAGTGCTGCCCAAATTCCACTTCTATCTTTACAAAAAGGTGTTTGTGTAACTAATGCAATATCTGTTCTCTCCAACATACACAAAACCATATCAGTTAAAGCATTTTGACGCATATAAATTCCTTGATCGCTTATTAATAAATGGGAATATCTAAAAAATATTTTTTTATTTTTCTCTTATTTTTCCTCCTAATTTTTTTACTTGCTAGCCACATATCCAGGGAACATATTATTTATTTTTGGATTTAATCCTACTCGTTGGCCTCCAATAAATATGCGTGTATCCACTTTGGGGTATTTTGCACAGAGACGCTGGGCTAAATCGTAAGCGGGATCTTGACGGGAATACAAACAAAAGAGCAATTCAAACTAGAAAAATTTTTTTTTGAATTTTTTAAAAAATTTCCTTGCCTGTGGATAATCCAAAAGAAAAAAGGATTCCAAATTTTCTTCCAAATTTTCATCCATTCCAACCAAAGGTTTTAAGATTGAAACACCGGGAAGTTGGGACGACAAGTTTATTTTGTTAAGTTTGTTTTGTTGTTGTTTTTGTTTTGTTTCATGATTGGTATCCTCTTGTTCTTCCTCCTCTCTATTGATAGATAAGCCAGTTTTGTGTAACCGACGTCTTCTGGGAAAATTAATAAAATATAAAAACAGCAATTACAAAATTAAACAAAAAACATTTTACAGTTTTAAATAAAACAAGTTTAAGAAATTTTCAGTAAGTTTTACAGCCTTTTATCAACTTGTTTTACAAGTTTAAAAACTTGTTTTACAACTTGTTTCTATAAACTTGTTTTTCCCTTCCCCGTAAATTATGTAGAATTTATAAAACTTGAAATTGCAACATGTTTTTACAACTTTGTTTTTATAAAAACTTGTTTCCCCTCACTTATAAAACTAAAACTAATAAAACTTGAAATTGCAACTTGTTTTACAACTGTTTTTATAAAAAACTTATTTTTCCCTTACCCATAAACAATAGAGACAATATGCAACAAATAACAGCCCATAATAAATAAAATTCCACAACAAGCAAATATCCTCTGTATTGCCAATTGTTCTGTTCCAAAACCAAAAGATAAACGGTTAGGGGGAGCTGCAGCAATAAATTGTGTGTCAGTTAAAGATGTATCCAATTCCAAGTTTGGGGAAGCTTCCCCAGACGGCCCAGGTTCAGGGGAAATAACACCAACACTACTGGATGACTGGTAATCCTCAACATTGCCAAAAGCTTCTTGAGACATTTAATTAACAAAAAATAATTATTTTGTTTAAGAAATGTTGGAATAAATTTAGAATAATAAATAACTTTTAAATTATTTTTTAATGAATAAAAATAAATTAAAATAACTAGGCAAACTACTAAAGTAGGGTTTGTAGTGTTTTAGAGCCTGAAAAGCTTAAAAATTAAAAATAAATAATTTTAACTGAACAAAATTTTTTTAATTTTTAAAAATATTTTGAAGTCAAAATTAGGGAAAAGAAAAATTCAAAATTTTAAAGCATTCATTTCCTAAGGCTGTGCAGTAGGCGGCGTGGTGTAATGGCTAGCACATCAGTCTGATCTACTGAAGATGCTGGTTCACTCCCAGCCGTCGAATAGCCTTTTGCGCTAGCTAAAGGAGAGAAATAGCTATAGCCCAGCTACTTTACTAAATTTTCAAAGAAAAAATAAATTCAACACAAAACTATTTCAAAATTCTATCATTGAATATTAAGTACATGCCACTTAAAGGAACTAAAACAATTCTGACAGATTTAAAAAATTGTAAAAATTAAAAGAGAAAATGAAGTAAAAATGAAAAGTTTTGGTTATAAGAAGCCAATCATTCATTTTTTTAATTTAAAAAAAATATTCGTTTCCATAGTAAAACATTAAACACAATTGTATTGGTTTCTTTGATATGCTTAATTTAAATAAAAATGAGGGGGAGGCGCGTTAACCGTTGTTAAGGCACGAACAAATAAATTTTTTATTTCAAAAATTTCTCTATTCTTTAAAAAAAATTTGTTCAGAACTTTAATTTCTAAATAAAAATTGTCGGTTATTTAAATAAAAAATTATTAAATTAATTTCCCTTTAAACAATTTTTTATCAGTAAAATTAATAAAAAGATTAACAAATTTCAGTCACAAAATTCAACAAAAATTATGATTAGGTATACAAATAAAAATTTAAAAAATTATGCGTAGTTTATACAACAGATAAAAATAAATTACCTAAAATACCTCATTTAATAGACACTAGGAATTGTATTTTAACTTACTAAAACACAAAGTTTGAAGGATTGTAATAATTGTAATAAATCAAGTTTATTTTCAAGTTTTACAATTTGTAATTTTTTTCCACAAGTTTCAAGTTTCAAGTTTACAATTTGTAAATTCAAACTTTATTTTTTCAAGTTTTAAGTTAAAGTTTTTACAATTTGTAGTTTCTTTCCAAGTTTTTGTTGGATTGTAATAATAATTACAAATTGTAAAACTTGAAAATAAACTTGATGTATATAATAAATCGAGTGTTTTTAGAGAAGGATTGTAAAAATCAGAAAATAGTAAAAAATAATTTTATAACTAATTTTTTTAATTTTAAATAAAAGATGAACATGAAAAAATCATGCTGAGAAGAAATACATGCATATTTGGAAGCAGAGCTGCACGAAAATTTTCGTTTCGTTTCGTTTTTCGTTATTTTCGTGGATTTTTCATGATTTTCGTTTCGTTTCGTTTTCGTTTGAATTTTTTTTTACTTTTTTTTTCGTTTCGTCTTTCGTTGAAAAAATATTTTCTTTCGTTTTCGTTTCGTAAAATGCCATTTTTGGACGAAAATTGACGAAAATATTTTTGATATTTTAGACATTTTTTTGCTTTTTTATCGTATTTTTAAGCCAAAATTCTTAAAATTTTTGCCTGCGGCGCTGAAAACGGAAGAAATTTGGCTGTTTAGCCTTCTAAAATTCTCAAAATTTTTGCTGCGGCGCTGAAAACGAATAAACTTGTAAGTTGTAGCCTCCTCTGATATCACTTAAATCCCCCTTGATTTTTGCATATGGTGAATAAACATGTAGAATAAATGAATATAGTATGTATGAGTCACATAATTTATGTATCATATATCAGGATTCAAATGAGGTTGTAAGATTTGTGTGGATTAAGGCGTACAATTAGAAATTTTTTGGGTTCTAAGTCAAATTTTTAAGTCAAAATTGATAATTTTTTCTCTAGGGACTGGAAATTCATAAAAAAATTTGCATGTGCGCTGCAATCAGAAAATTTATTAGACTATAGGGATAGAGATTGAGAGGATATCGGAGATCAATATCGCCTCTAATTCCCTTAGCCCCTAAATATCTTCCATCTAATCCACTTAATAATATCCACACACTTCCTTTTAATTAATCTAAATAACCCGATATATTTCTTACATATCATAAAATACAATGGATAAAGTGGATATCAAAGTATTTGAAGTGATATCAGAGGATTTTGAAAAAATATCTGAATTCAATCAAATATTTGATGCATTTAGACATGTACAACCTCGAAAAACTTATTATCTAGCTTTAAAATTTTAAGCTTCCTAATTTAGACATTTTCGTTTCGTTTTCGTTTCGTTTCGTGGAAAATTGAGAGTTTTCGTTTCGTTTTCGTTTCGTAAAAATGAAATTTATTTTTTCGTTTCGTTTTCGTTTCGTACATTGATGATTTTATTTTTTTCGTTTTCGTTTCGTTGGGGGCAAAATTTCATTTTCGTGCAGCTCTGTTTGGAAGAATAAAGAACGGAGGAATAAATAAAATCGATGTACACTTCCAAATAAGTAATAATGTTTTTATCGATATTAATTAATTAGAGAAACTTGTTTCTTCACATGTTTAAATGTGGGAAAGAAAATTACAAATTGTAAAACTTGGAAACTTGCAAAGAAACTTGGATAATAAATACAAATTGTAAAACTTGTTGGAAAAAATTACAAATTGTAAAACTTAAACGAATGTAAAAAAGACTACAAATTGTAAAAACTTTAACTTAAAACTTGAAATAAATAAAGTTTGAATTTACAAATTGTAAAAATAAAACTTGAAACTTGAAAAAGAAACTACAAATTGTAAAACTTGAAAATAAACTTGGAGAAATTGTAAAATCAGAAATTGTAAAAACTTAAATTGTAAAACTTAATTAATTACAAATTGTAAAATGTTGCTGAACAAGTTTTAATAATTGTAAAACATGTTTTATTTATAAACAAAGTTGTAATTAATTATTGTAAAACTTAAGAACTTGAAAACAAGTTGGAAATTAAGAAAATCAGAAATTGTAAAACTTGGAAAATCAGAATTTTACAAATTGTAAAAGATATAAAACTACAAACTAAAATTAATTTATAAATAATCAAAAAACATTTTTAAAATTTTTTATTTAATATAAAAAGATGACTAATAAAATAAACAAAAGTATGTAAGAGATAAAAAAATAAAAAATATTTAACAAAAAATAATAATTTTTATTTGCATGATTCACAAAAATAAATTGATTAGTTTTAGTAGAGAGGAAAAAAGAGAGAAAATCAATTCTCGGGAAATGGTCGAGAGTGGGGGTAGGCAAACTAAAAAAAAAGAAAAATAAATATTATTTTGAAAATATTACATAATAAGAGAAAACGAGAAAAAATTTAAAAAAATTTTAAGGTCACGCGTGTTTACAAAAATTTTCTACAATTTAAAGAAAAAAATCACAAATTTTAAACCAAGTTTTAATAATTGTAAAACAAGTTTTATTTTTAAATAAAATTGTAAATAATATTTTTACAAATTGTAAAACAAGTTTTCTGATTTTTACAATTTCTGATTTTTACAATTTCTAAGTGAAAATAAAATTAATAAACCAAAATTTATTTCTTGTAATAATTAATTATTAATTTATTTTTTAATTCAAATATTTTATATTCTGGTATATGTATATTTTAAACTTTTTCTACAAGAAAATTTCTGTTTTTACTCTTGAAAGGAGGTTAAATAAATATTTATGTATTTACCTTATATATTTTCTACTCCTTTCACTCTCGTATTTGCCTTATTTTTTGCCTAAAATATATTCATTTATTTTTTCCATTGATTCAATAACCAATGCTAGATGGCCATTTTTTCAGTCAAAAATTCGTCAAAAATACACAAAATAAATTATAAAATTTATTAAAATATTTTCCATTTAAAATAAAAATTAAAAATCCCCCTTTTAGACTTGTAAATGGTCATTATTTTTATTTTATTTCTTTCCCTGATTAATTCCCAAATTATTGAACCGCCTACTAGAAATGTTGATTTGTGGGATTTATTTGGGTTAATTTAAATTTTTAATTAAAAGAAATTTTTTTTAAGTACGTCCACTACAAAAAGGGTTGGACTGGTAGGCTGTTTTTTAAAATAAATTTAAAAATAATTTTAAAAGAAACACAGTAGAGAGGAAGTAATCGTTCGATTATCTATTGGAGGTGGTTTTTAATTTTTTTAATTATTAAAAAAAATTTTTTTCTGACTCTATTTTTCTCAAAAAAATTTTTGCTTCTACTTAAAAATTTTTTAAAATCGAAAATTTTTGTTTTAATAGCCAGTTACTATTTTTTGTTAAATAAATATCACCCATATTTTTCGTTAAAAATACCCAACTTTCAAAAAAAAATTTGTCTTCTCAAAATTTTATTTTTAATTTAAAAAATTAAATTTTTCAAAGAATTGGTCGGTCAAAAAATAATAATTCCAAATTTGCCCTGGACGGCTACTCAAGATCCTAATGAACAAATTCCGCCTGACAGGAATGTACCTGAACCTAATCCACTTCCCCCAAATAATAATGTTACTATATTTACTTTTCTTGGTGTCCCGTATGCGGAGCCTCCTTTGGGTGAACGGCGATTTAAGGTAAAGATAAAATAAATACTATTAAATTAATTTAGGTCAATCAGAATTCTGGGTTTTATATAAAATTCTGGCTATTAGGTATATTCTTGTTCCCCTGTATTCTGATTTTATCTGAAGATTCTGATTTTTTCAAAAAAAATTCTGATTTTTTAAAACAAATTCTGATCTTTAAGACCACAATACAATTCTGATTTCTTAAAATTTTGATTTCTAAAAATTTTGATTTTGAGACCAGAACACGATTCCGATTCTAAAAATTCTGATTTAAAAAAATTCTGGTTTACACAACCTGAACATAATTCTGATTTATATTCCTTTTTCCATAATTCTGATATTTTTAACAAGCAATTCTGATTTTTAAAATCATCGTTTTACTCTTAAAAAAGCAATTCTGATATTTCAAAAATTAAAAAAAATTCTTGATAAAAAAAATTCCCTCAAAATTTAAGGCACCACAACAACTCATTCGTTCGTTCTTTCACTAATTTTTATATAAATAATTTTAAAAAAAAGATTTCCCTGGTGATTCCCCATTTGTTGCTTTTACATTACCCCCAGTGTGTGCACAAGATGTGGAGACTAGACCAACATTATTTATTAATTCTCCATATCCTTATCAATCAAGTGAAGATTGTTTATATTTAAATATATACACTCCTGCTTTGGTTGGTTTTTTTAAAAATAAATTCTGATTTGTAAAAATTAAATTCTGATTTTTAAATATTAAATTCTGATTTTTAAATATTAAATTCTGATTTTTAAATATTAAATTCTGATTTTTAAATATTAAATTCTGATTTTTAAATATTAAATTCTGATTTTTAAATATTAAATTCTGATTTTTAAATATTAAATTCTGATTTTTAAATATTAAATTCTGATTTTTAAATATTAAATTCTGATTTTTAAATATTAAATTCTGATTTTTAAATATTAAATTCTGATTTTTAAATATTAAATTCTGATTTTTAAATATTAAATTCTGATTTTTAAATATTAAATTCTGATTTTTAAATATTAAATTCTGATTTTTAAATATTAAATTCTGATTTTTAAATATTAAATTCTGATTTTTAAATATTAAATTCTGATTTTTAAATATTAAATTCTGATTTTTAAATATTAAATTCTGATTTTTAAATATTAAATTCTGATTTTTAAATATTAAATTCTGATTTTTAAATATTAAATTCTGATTTTTAAATATTAAATTCTGATTTTTAAATATTAAATTCTGATTTTTAAATATTAAATTCTGATTTTTAAATATTAAATTCTGATTTTTAAATATTAAATTCTGATTTTTAAAATAAATTCTGATTTTTAAATATTAAATTCTGATTTTTAAATATTAAATTCTGATTTGTAAAGATTAATTCTGATTTGTAAAAATACAAATTCTGATTTCTTAAAATAAAAATTTCTGATTTCCTAAAATACAAATTCTGATTTTTCAAATTTTTTTCAGAAATTTTCCTCTACAGCAGAAAATGCTTTACCCACTATAGTTTTCTTTCATGGGGGAAACTTTCAGACAGGATCAGCTAATGGTTTTAAAAATTCTGATTTTTAAAAATAAATTCTGATTTTTTGTTAAGATTGGCCTGGACATGTTTTAGCGTCTCGCGGGATTGTTGTAGTTAATGTTAATTATAGATTGGGGCCTTTCGGTTTTTTAATTTAAAAAATTTTGAAGAAATTTTATTTAAAGGTTTTATGAGTTTGGGGGATGAAAGAGGTAATTATGGACTTCAAGACCAACGGGCAGCTTTGAATTGGGTTAGACAACACATTTATGGTTTTGGGGGTGATCCTAATGCTGTTACTATAGGTGACTTTTATTGAGGAATATTTCTCAAAAGAAAATTTTATTCTGATTTTTAAATCAGAATAATCAGAAAATGATTCTGAAACAATTCTGATTTTTTGAAAATAATTCTGATTTAAACCAGAATCAGAAAAAAATTTTTTCTGAAAATAATTCTGATTTTTTTAAAGTTGGACACGATTCTGGTGCTGTAAGCGCCGGTATTCATATGCTAAGTCCTTTGTCTAGAAGTAAAATTAAATTTAAATAAAGTTAAAAAAATATTTATTTTTTGGATTTATTCCGTAGTGTTGTAGCAATGTCTGGGGCAGAAGTTTCTTATCATTCTACTATTGGGAAGCCTGCATTGGGCAAGTTCTGTTTAATTTTAGTTATCAGAATATGTGTTTTACTTTGTTTAATATTCCTGTGTTTTTTCTTAATATTCCTTTTGTTTTTTTTTTGTTTTTCGTAAGCAAATCAGAATTCTGATTTTTGTATTTTCTTAAAAATTCTGATTTTTGTGTTTTATAATAATTCTGATTTTGTATTTTATAATAATTCTGATTTTTGTGTTTTTTCAAAAATTCTGATTTTTGTGTTTTCTCAAAAATTCTGATTTTTGTGTTTTATAATAATTCTGATTTTGTATTTTATAATAATTCTGATTTTTGTATTTTCTTAAAAATTCTGATTTTTGTGTTTTATAATAATTCTGATTTTGTATTTTATAATAATTCTGATTTTTGTGTTTTCTCAAAAATTCTGATTTTTGTGTTTTCTCAAAAATTCTGATTTTTGTGTTTTCTCAAAAATTCTGATTTTTGTGTTTTCTCAAAAATTCTGATTTTTGCATTTTCTCAAAAATTCTGATTTTTGTATTTTCTTCATTTATAGCTTTCAACAACACAATAAAACTTGGCCGTTATCTAGGATGTGTTCATCCTGTTGCTAGCGAAGTTTGGAGTTGTATTTTAACTCGCTCAACAGACGATATTGTACAGGCTGTATCTCCTACATCAGTTCCCTCAATTCCTGTATTTTTTTAAAAACATATTTCTTTCTAAAAACATCGAAAATACATTCGAAACACATTAAAAACACATTTTTCCGAAAACACATTTTTGTATTTTCCACAGATTGAATTTAACCGTTATTTATTTTTGCCTACTGTTGACGGGAAGGAATTAACAGCCCACCCTTTATGGCTATTAAATAACGTTAAAAATGGATTATCCAACCCTTTTACTGTGCCATACTTAACTGGATTAAATAAAGAAGATGGAATTGAAGCTATTTTAGAGGATAGGACTTTGGGTAGAAAATTAAAAATTTTTTAATTAAAAATTCGAAAAAATTCAAAGGTGAATTCACCGATTTTCTTCAAATAACCCATTTATACATGAAAAGTTGGATAACTGAATATGCCTTCAGACACAATTACACAATGAATAGAGAGGTACCTGTATTTTTGTATTTTCCCTTTTTGTATTTTAAGTTTTACAAGAATTCTGATATTTATTTTAAATCAGAATTTTGAAAAAAACATCCAAACTTTGTTTTTAAACATAAATTCTGGTTTTTATTTAATTCAGAATTTAAATAAACTTGTTTTAAAAATACAAAAATTCTGAAAAAACTTTGTATTTATCGTTAATAAATTCTGATTTTAAATATCAGAATTTAATTAAAACAATCCATAATTTAAGTTAAATTGAACATCAGAATTTTAATAAAACAAACACTTAACAATAAAAACAAATCAGAATTTAATTAAAACAAGACAGAATTAAAGTAAAACAAATCAGAATTTAATTAAAACAAGTCAGAATTTAATTAAAACAAATCAGAATTTCATTAAAACAAATCGGAATTTAATTAAAACACAAATCAGAATTTGTTTTAAAAAATCAGAATTTCAAATGAACTTTGAAAATATAAAAATTCTGGAAAAATGCAGAAAATACATTTAGTCACACAACACAAAATCCCCATCTATAACACAAAATCCCCATCAAATTCAAGGCAATAATCGAAGCAATAGAATCTTTTTATACTTACTGGCCAGATCCTTCAGATGTTTGGAATATTAGGCAACGTTTTATTGAATTAATTACCGACACCTTCTATGTCCAACCAATTTCTCAATCAGCCCATTTACACTCCGAAAGTGGCTCGAGAACTTGGATGTATGTTAATTCTTACAATTTTTCTGCTCAGAGAGAAGCTTTGGGGGTATTACCTTCACCTTTATTTCCTTCTTGGACTGGTATAGAGAAGAAAAAGAATTTTTTTTATTTTTTAATTAAAAGGAAGTTGCCATGAGTGTGACTTATACCTTTTATTTGGTTTCCCTTTTATGCCTCAACATTTACTTCCCCCACAACTTGCTTCTGTTGAATGGTTACAAGTTGATAGAAATGCTAGTCAATTATTTTCTTCTTTTATTAGACAATTTGTTAAATACTCGTTCGTTTTTTATTTAAATTAAAATGAGAGGAAGGAGGGTAGGAAGACGTCTTTTGGGTAGAGAACGTCTCAGTCTTGAGGCCATATTTCGGGCCATAACTTTTTTCAATCTTGCCCGATTTAAATAATTTTTATATCAATCGAAAGCTCTGGATGTGTAGATTATTTTATCTAACAGGAATGATCTGATCAGATTATCCTGCAAATAGTTACAGCTGCATAAATGAGCGCAATCGTGATTTTTGACATTTATTTGGCTATATCTTGAAGTAGAATGATCTGATAAATTCAACCTGTTAGCTAAAATATTCTACACATTCAAAGCTTTTGATTTATAGAATAATTACTTAAATCGGTTAGAAATCAAAAAAGTTATGGACCAAAATATGGCCTCGGCTCTGAACTGCGATTTCCTAACCTGTGAATTGTTAAGGATTTTAGACAATTCTTCAGACAAAAAAATTTTTTTTCTAAATTTTTTAGAGACCCAAATTTGCCATTAGATGGAAGCTGGTCAGCCCATCAACCTAGAGCTCATTGGTTTCTTCAATTTAATTATTCTAGTGGGCAAAGTCTTCACTCCCCAGGCATTTTAAAAAAAGATTATCGTTTTGAGGAAGTTGCTTTTTGGAATAATTACTTGCCTGCTGTAAATATATTTTTTATATTTATTTAAAAAATATTTTTCTAAGAACCTTGAAGGGGTGAGGTTTTTGAACCCCCTAACCGAAATGGGGAAAAGGGAAAAATTTGGGGAGGAATTGAGCAAAAAGGTGAAAATTTTTTTCGCCTGCTGCGCTGAAAATCAAAACCCCCCCCCCCTTGCTCCCCCCCCCCCTCCCTCGAAAAAAATCCTGGTTACGGGTCTACCAACTAGGGTTGTTCCCAGTCCCCGAAAGTCGAGGAATTTGAGAGATTTTTTCCCGAAATTTCCCCATAAGAAATTTTCCCCCGTCCACGTCCCCCCCCCCCCGTGGCGCTGCCTCCCCGAAAATTTTCCCCGTGCCCCCCACCGTCGGGGAACAACCCTATTGCCAACTAGAGATATCTTAAAGAGTTTAGACCTTCAAAGAACACTAAAAAATAAAAAAATTAATTTTCTAGCTAGTTAATTATATGACAACAACATTTCCACCAGAAGAGGGAAGTGTTCGGAATGAATTAACCTTATTTAAAGGATTATTTGGAATTTGTTTAATTTTTGGGATTATTTTAATTGTAATAACGCTGTCATTAGGGTATAATGTTTGTACTAGAGATTTACAAATTGTTGAAGAAAATAGTAAATCTAAAGAAAATTGGAGGAATACAAGAAGACTGACTTCGCCTCCTTTTATTGAAAGAAGAGAAGAATTTGAACGAGTTTCCAATTTTTAGATTTTTTTAATTTATTTATTCCTCATTTTTTTTTATTAAAATAATAAAAAAAATAATCATGTATGTGGAAAGTAGTATGTGGAAAGTAGTAGTAGTACCACTAATGGAAAGCAATTCTGCAACTAGAGGATGGTTTGTGGCTGGGGGAAAGTTTCGGATTGACTTTCGTGGCGGGTTAAAAAAATTTTTTTCTTTAAATCGGATCCGAGCTGCGTCAAAACTTAAAACACGTCGAAAACGTAAATCAAATTTTATAAAAAAAATTCAAAAATCGAAAGAAAAAACCGTCGAAAATCGAAATTTCGGCGCAGCCTGGTCCAAGTCAAAAAAGCTTCGGGTTTTGGGCAACTTCATCCCTATTCCACAACTGTCCAGAATTTGGGGAATAATAAAACTCGAATTAAAAATAAACCGTTAAAGTGGTCAGGCTCTGGAAATTTTTTTATTTTAATTTGTACTCTCATCTCTAAATAAAATCTGCCTTCAATTTTTATTTCGTATATTTAACTCGAATTTACCCCCAAATATTGTCAATAATCGAAAAATAAAATAATATGCTAGGCAAGACTGTTCACGACCGACCTGAAAAAAAAATAAAAAAATCGAGTATTTCAGAAAAAAGAATTTCAAAAATTTCTCCCTCAAAAATTCAGGTGTTAAACTTAGGAATCTAAAAATAGAAATATAATCGAAAAATTTGATCATTTACTAGTCATGAAAAATTTTAAATAAAACGACTGATTTAAAAATAAAACAATTCAAAAATTACTCTCACAAAAACACAAGTATTTGACTAAAAAGCAAACTGGAACCCGAATTTAGAAATGGGAACAATCGAAAAACAATTATATCATCGGTCGTGAAAAATCTTAACGGGCAATAAATAGCTTTAAAAAAAAGCTTCAAATTTTTGTCAAAAATAAATTAAATATTTAAATATAACCTCCATAAAATATCTCCCCATTTTCTTCTCTAAAAATCTTCTCTCATGTCAACCTTCAGTCTTTCCTCCAAATTTGGATTTAATAGCAGCTTCCTTAGCCTCATCAAACACTTTATTGTCAATATAAGAATTGCACGGATAACACCAAACAGAAAAGTCAGCAAAGCTTAGAGCCAGTGGATGTTTTGTCTCTTCGGTGTGACCCGAAGCGTGTCCCTCAACATAACGAGAGCAATAGACCTTTTAAAAAAATAAATTTATATAAATCAATTTAAAAAATGGTAAAATTAATTTTTGCGGACAAAATTTGCGGACAAAATATTTTTTGCGGAAAAATGCCTCCCAACGAAAAATTGGAAACAATGTTGGAGTGGGCAAAATAAAAAATAATAAACAGCCCAAAATTTTCCTTATTTAAAAATAAAAGGTTTGTAAAGTTCCTTGTCTGCAAAACAGTCAGTCATAACTTTTTTACGGACTTTTCAGGGGTAAAAATTGGAAAGATTATAGGTCAATAAAAAGCAATCTCCACACTAAAGTGCCAAGATAACTTTTAAAAAATTAACCTCAAAACATTTAAGACACACCCAATTCTCGCCAGTATTTGAACACTTGTTGCAAGCAGCCTTAGTGTTGAGTCCATCAGAAGGCAATTTGCTATCCTATAAATTTAAATTAATGGTAAAAATCGTTATTTTGAAGAATCCCAGGTTGTTCTTATAGACGGAACTCGCTATAAGCTATACACAAATCAAATACTTCACTCGGTACTTGTGAGTTATCCCAAACCAGTTCTTGTGGACATATTTATGCGGACAGATTTCTTCAATTTCATTTTATTTTCATGGGACATATTCAATGTCTCATTGAACTCTCGACAGAAGAAAATCAGTCATTGAATAATTGAATGGGGAAGTAGGGTGGAAGTTTGGAAGGAAGATGGGTCTGACCATTCTGTTCATATGAATGAGTCCGCATAGATATGTCCGCAAGAACTGGTTTGGGATAACTCACAAGTACCCTTCACTCAGTTTAAGACACATTTAAATAATGTCAGTCATGGAAGGAAGCTGTTTAATCAATACAAACAATTCAAGGAACTCCCAAAACGAATTTTCAGTCGCTATTGGGTATCTTAAAATGGGTGACTTATCTAAAGTAATCGAATGTCCTCAAAAATCCCTAACCAAAATAAAAAAATACCGCAATTTGTTCCAAATGTGGACACGTCTTAAGTGGCGTCACCGCAAAGAATTCTTGTGGCTTCTCTTCCTGTTCACTGTCAGAGGCAATCTTGATTAATTGTTCAGTTGTCATTTTTTAAATTTTTTTTGGAGATAGAATAAATAAAGAACTGAAAAAAAAATAAATTTTAAAGCAAAAATTAATAAAAAAATTGATGACAATTTATCCCAAAAAATTTTTTATAGAAGACCCGTTGATATATCTAAAATGTTGAAGGTCACACCTACAGCCCTACAAAAACAAAAGTCAAAAAACAAAAAGTAAATTCAACAGAACGCTTTCCTAAAAAATAATTTTAGAATTTGAGACTCAACTGACACATTAAACACAACGCCAAAAAATTATTCTAACGCCAAAAAGACTTTTTCTTTTGAATATTTATTCGCCTTTTAGTTTTTTTATTTCTTGCTAGAAATTTATAAAAGAAAATGCTCAAATATCGTTATTTGTCTCGTTCCATTCGTTTATGTTCTTCAATTGCTGGAACTACTGCAACAACAATAACACCACCAAAAAATCCCCCAATTTTGACTTATCCTAGCGAAGAATTTATCAAAAAATTTCCAAAGCAACGAATATCTGATTTAATTGCTGAAATTGAGGTTTCCTTTTAATTCAAAAATTAATTTTTTATTTTAATTTTTAAAGATTTTCTATAAATTCTCTCAACATTTACCAACCCATCTAACTGATGATAATTGGCAAAAATTGATGGATGCTACCAGTTTGGAGGAAAAGGAAGAATTTTTGTTTCATCTGTCTAATAATGAAGTGGTTATAAAGGTTTGAATAGATTTTTGGTGATTTTTAAGAGAGAGGAAATCTGGTTTGGGGAAATAAGGTTTCCCCTCATCTTTTTTGCAGTACAAATTTTTCTATGGGAGCAAACAAGGAATAAGCATGTATTTTCACTGACAATTTTTTCGGAAATTCTTGCGGACTTTATTTGCGGACTTTTTTTTTGCGATTTTTTTTGTTGATATTGTAGACTTGAAAAGTTATGAAATGAGTGTTTAATAGCGAAAAAATAGAAAAATTTTATCCTCAAACTTCTGTCCTGATCATTTCAGTAATTTATTAAACGAAAAGAAAGTCGCTTCTCATCAAGGTTCCCCCTCTTCTTTTTTGCTGATTTTTACATTTTTTTAAATTTAAGTCTTTTTTAATTCAGCAGGGTGAACAAAAAATGACTGAAATAAGAAATAATTATTATGAGGTTTATTTTAATTTTCTCTTTTTTACAATAATTTTTAAAGGATTTAAAAATTAAAAATCAACTTTTTGAAAGTGGATCGATGGTTTATGGTAGTGAATTTTACAGGCTATTTGGTGATGAATATTTTCATGCTAGAAAATTTATTGGTATTTTTTTAATTTTTTAGATAAATTTTTTGGGGAGTTTCGAGGGGTTTTTAATGATTGGCGTCAATTTCATGTATTTGCGGACTAATTTTGCGGACTTTTCTTTCTATTCCTTTTGGTCTGGCCTTTCCATTAAATTAATCAAAAAAGACCTAATTTAATAGTATATACCCCTATTTTAATCTTTTCTGCCTACGAAAAAGTCAGGCAAGCAAAAGGCAGACCAAAGTGAAAGTTGGGAAGAGCGTCCGCAAAAATTGTCCGCAAAAAAATTTTTTCAAATTTAGATAAAGTTTCTCTTATTTATGGATCCCGTTGTTGCCAAAATGCTTCGTTAAATGAATTTATTCCTAAAATTATTATTGACTGTAGAAAAGTTTACCAATTACATGTTAAATTTTTGAATACTGCAATTGCGTTTGTTTTTTTTAAATTAAACAAAAATTTTTTTGTTCGCAAATTTTGCGGATATTTATTAATTATCTCTGTTTCATAGTTCTTTTCTCCTTCGAAAAATCATTTAAAAATTTTTTTTAGAAACTTCTGAATATTTTTAAGTCACTAGGCTTCATTTTATTAAAAATCCGCAAGTTTTGTCCGCAAATTTTTTTCTTTAACAAATTTTTTGAAATTAAGTGTTCACATTAAAATTCCCACAATTTTTTATTTTTCTTCATTTTTTGAAGTAAACAACTAAGATTAACAATTCTTATTAATTTCGGTTCATTTAAATTTTTGCGGACAAAATTTGCGGATATTTTTTGCAGAAACTTATTTTTATTTTTAAACTTGAAAATTTTTATTTTTGAATATTTTTTGAAAAAAAAATTTTTTTCCTTCACTAAATTTCAAACAAATTTATTTTTATATTTATTTTTTTAAGTCGAATCCAACAAGTGCACGATTACAATATGTTAAGTGATTATCCAATGCCTATTTCTATTGTTAATTTTTTTTCAAGTGAATCTGTTGGATATGCTCTGAAAAAGTTTTTTTTTTTATTTTAAAATTAAAAAAAAAATTTTTTTTAAAAGACATTTACATTTTTTATTTGGACCCCCAACAATGCTAAATAAATATGAATTGGATATTCCTCCAGAAATTATTAATGCAAATTTGTATTCAAAATTAAATGATTTTTTGGATAGAGAGGAGGGAGAAGGGAGGAGTGGAGAGGTTTGTTGAGCAAAAAAAATTTTTTTAAATTTATTTTTGTTCATAAATTTTGTCCACATAAAATTTTTTTGTTTTTGCCATCCGCAAAATTTGTCCGCAAAAATTTTTTGTCCGCAAATTTTTAATTTCTTAAATTTGTTAAAAAAACTTTTTTTAATTCAATTTTTAGGCAAATTCTAATAATAAAGAAAATATTTACAAATATGAACCTCATCCTTTTATACCTGAAATTACTACAAAAAATATTTTGGATGTTTGTAAAAGAGATGGAATTAAAACAGGTTTTTTTTATAAAAATATTTGTGGTAAAAGTTTTGAAATTTAAAGATAAGTCGGGTTTGGTGTAGTTGGTTAGTGTGTGAATTTTATTATGAAGGGGTTGAGGGTTCGAGTTCAGTTGGGGTAAAATCTGTATTTTTGTTGCGAAAATTAAATTTTTGTTAAAAATTTAATTTTCAGGCCTTGAGAATTTCTGTGAGAATTTTTTTCGAAATTCTTCGAGAATTTTAAAAAATTTTTGGTGAAATTAAAAAAAAATTTTTTCTTAAATTAATTTTCAGAAGAAATAGCCTATATAAGCAGCAGTGCAACACAATATTTACCTGATGATCCTCGAATCATTAAAGAAAGATTTAAGGCTTTTGTATTATCACCTCTAGAAGATAGACACAATCCAAGACAACGGCCAAAGTATTTTTTCTTTAAGTTTTGATTTTTTATCAAAGTTGTGGTGTAATGGGATAATTGTTAGTTTTGTTGTGTAGCAGGTAGGGAAAGGTAGTTAAGGTTCGAATCCATCAGTCTCAAAAAATTTTTTTTGGGTTTTTATTTATGTTTTTAGTTTAAAAATATTTTTAGGGATATTTTATCCGCAAAATAATTTATTCTGTCCGCAAAAAAATTTTTGTCAGCAAAAAATTTTTTGTCTGCAAATTTTTGTCCGCAAAAAATTTATGTCCTAAATTTTTTTCTTTTAAAGTTTTTATGCTCCACAAGATCAAATTCAAGTTTATAGACTTCCATTAGAAAAATATTTGGGGTAAATTTATTTTACTTTAAATTTTGAACAAAAATTTTTTAAAGTTTTCGTCCACCAACATTTATGCCTCCTTCAACTTTTATAGAATTATTGAGGGTTATAATTTCTGGACGTAGTTCAAGTTGGGATTGGGCTATAGATAATAGAGTACCTAATTTGAGAATACAGGTTTTTTTAAAAAAATTTTTATTGGAAAAGAAATTTTGGGAGAATGAGAAATCCGCAAAAAATTTTCGTCCGCAAATTGTGTCCGCAAAAATTTTTTTCGTCCGCAAAAAAAAATTTTTTTCTAAATTGCAAAAAATTTTATTTATTATTAATTTTTACAAAAATTTTTAAAGGATTTGTATGCTCTCCCAAGTCCCTGGAAAAATTCAACAGAAAATAGCCCTGAAAATTTTGCAAAAATAAAAGCAAGGAGAACAGACAATTTAAATGTAAGAAAAAAATTTTTTTGAAAAAATTTTAATTAAAAAAAATTTTTTTTTTCAAGTTAGTCAAAGAAGCATTAATTAATTTAAATTTACAAAAAAATAATTTAATTAAAAAGAGTCAATCACAACAAGTAAAAAATCAAAGAAATCAGTACCAACAAAAACAGCAAGGAAGAGATAATGATACTGGTAGTAATAAATTAATTACTCAAGCTATGACAAATAAAATAGTAAGAAAAAGAAGATATTCTCGGGAGGTAAATAAAAAATTTTTTCTATACCTTTTATGCAAGAAAATTTTTTATTCGCAAGTTTTGTCCACAAAAATTTTTTGTCCGCAAATTTTATCCGCAAAAATTTTTTGTCCGCAAGTTTTGTCCGCAAAAAATTTTTTGTCCGCAAGTTTTGTCCGCAAAAAATTTTTTGTCCGCAAGTTTTTAAAATGATTGTTAAATTGTGTTTTGATGGGGGTTTTCGCTAGAAATTGAACTGATACCGATTTGTCGGTCATAAAAATTTATCAGTATCGACCTAATCTCAATTCCCTGTGTCTTTGTCTAGTCCGCAAAATTATAATTTTTAAATTTTTGTTTTTATTTTTTTAATTTTTAGGAGCGAAATTGGAGAAGGCAAGAAGGATTAGAAACTATTAAAAATTAAATTTTTTTGTTTCTTTTTTAAATTTTTAAAAAATTTAATTTTCTGTTTATTTTCTGGTTATTGTGAATTTATGGTTAAGTGGGTAAATTCTTTATTTTATGGGGTGATGTCAGAAAGGTTCGAATCCAGCTAGATGTTAAACATTTGTTTTTCAAAATTTAATAAAAATTTATAAAATTTATTCAATTTATTCTATCAAAAATAATTTATACATTTGTCAAAAATTGTGAAAAAGAAATTTTTTTCAAAAATTAATTGAAATAAAAGTCAAAAATTGTTAAGGATATTTAAAAATGATTTTTAACCTAAAAAATCACAAGAGAAATATAAATTAAATTTAAGAGGGAAATTAAAATAGAATCGAAACCTCACTGTAAAATATCCCCAATAATACCTACACCTCTATTTAAGAGACGTTTTCTTGTTGGAGAAATACCTCTATATAACAAACCCTTCAATATAAGCGGTACCCTCTATATAATAAACATCTCATTATAAGGTAAAAAAATTTTCCTGCCCTGAGGGGATATTTTATAATGAGTTTCGATTGTTTTATAAATATGGGGTGTCCTATAAATATTCTTTTTATAATTACAACAATGGCACCATTAAAATAAAATTGAATTCAAATGGGGGAGATTGTGAACATGTTTATTAAATAAACAGGGGGATTAAACTTCTCCTTAAGATGTCCTAATAATTTATATAAAAATAAGGAAAAGTCTTTACGAGAAAATGAGACTTGGTGTTTTCTAGATTTTTAAAATTTCCAAGTTCTAACTCAGGTCTCTTTCAAGTCCAGTCTAAAATTCCCTAGTACAGTCGGACTTCGAATTTAATTTTTAGCCTCAAAATTAGGATACGCCTCAATTTTACTCTATCCTCCTAGTCTTTAGGCGAGCATAATACCTTCAATTCTAAATGATACCCTTTTGAATACGACAATTTTTGTCCCCACCCTAAAAAGTATTTTTTATAATGAGAGGCCCGACTGTATCTTAATGAAAATAAATGATAGAAATATTTACCTATATATTTTGGCAAGAAAAGACAAATTATTTGGCAAGTCAAAAAAATTTTTTATAAAAGGAAAAGTCTCTACAAAATTTTCACCAAATCCCACTATTCGTAGCCTTATCATTTTTAAGCAAAAAATTCCCAACATCTGTAGTTGTTATTGGACAAATATTTGTTGTTGTTAATTGAGGATTTACAACACAATTTTGAGTTGGGAAAAATGCTGTCTAAGAAAAATTTTTTTTAATTTTTAAAAAATTTTCAAAATTTTTAAAAATTTTGAAACTTTTAAAAAAATTTCTGAAAAATTTTTTAGAAATTTCTGAAAATTTCTGAAAATTTTTTTTCGAAAATTCTGATTTTTTTTTCAAAACCCCCCCCCCCTCCTTACTTGTCCAGTAGCAGAAGAAAGCGCGGCTGTTGCAAACTGTTGAAAGGCAGAGGGAGAATGGTGGTGATAATGGTGATGAATATTAATTGAATTTGAACAAAAAAGTTGTGGAGGCTGAGGTTGTTGTTGTTGATTATCAGAAAATGGAACAATTGAAGGTTGTGAATCTATTAATGTATTTATTCCGTCAGAATTGTTGCTAATATTGTGGGCGCCTTTAATTAATAGAGGTGGGGTGTTTCCAGAATTGATATGTCCAAGCTAAAAATGTGAAAGAGAAAATACATGAGAAAATACAAATCAGAATTTTAGTAAAACACAAAACATTCTAATTAAAAATACAAAGCAGAATTTAATAAAAACAAACAAATCAGAATTTAATTACAACAAACAGAAAAACAACACACAATTTAAGTCAAATTAAAAATCAGAATTTGAATAAAACAAACAAGTTTAGCAACAAAAACAAATCAGAATTTAATAAAAACAAACAAATCAGAATTTTAGTTGTTAATAATCAGAATTTCAGTTAAAACACAAGTCAGAATTTCAATAAAACAAAAACCAGAATTTAATTAAAACATAATCAGAATTTAATTAAAACAAAATCAGAATTTCAATAAAACAAATCAGAATCTCAGTTAAAACACAAGTCATAATTTCAATAAAACAAAAACCAGAATTTAATTAAAACATAATCAGAATTTAATTAAAACATAATCAGAATTTAATTAAAACAAAATCAGAATTTCAATAAAACAAATCAGAATCTCAGTTAAAACACAAGTCAGAATTTCAATAAAACAAAAACCAGAATTTAATTAAAACATAATCAGAATTTAATTAAAACAAAATCAGAATTTCAATAAAACAAATCAGAATCTCAGTTAAAACACAAATCAGAATTTAATTAAAAACATAAAACAAAACACTCACATTATTATTAGAAAATTCTGATTCTGATTGCTCGCATTTAGGTTCTAATATTCCATTTTCAGTTTCTTGTTGTTGTTTATATTCTTCAATATTATTTAAAGACATTGCTGCTAATTTTTTTGATTTACTTCCTAATTTTCTATTTCTTGACTGTATTTGATCTTTTTTCATATTTATAGGTCGGTGTTGCTTAAAAATATTTTTTAAATTTTTTATTAAAAATTTCTCACATTGTGTAATTTATAATAAAGTCCACAAGCATTACAAACAGGCTCTTGACGAACATTCCGTCGCCAAAGTGTTGTTTGCTCTGTCCTACAGTTTGAGCAGATAATTCCTGTCCTTTTCTGTGTTGTCTAAAATAAAGTTTAATTTAAATCAGAATTTTTGTTTTTAAAAAATCAGAATTTTAGAAAAACACAAAAATCAGAATTTTTATTTAAAAAGAAAATACAAATTTTAGTCCAATTAATTCTGATTTAGTTAGTAATTAATAAATCAGAATTTTAGAAAAACATGTTTTAATTAAAATCAGAATTTTAGAAAAACAACATGTTTCTAATTAATTCTGGTTGTTTTAGTTAAAGCACAAAAATCAGAATTTCGAGAAAACACATATTAAAACAAATCAGAATCTTAATTTGTGTTTTATTCTTTAGGCAAAAATGTGTTTTATTTAATTTTTGTATTTTTTATTTAACTGTATTTTATTTCAAAAACACCAATTTATTATTTATTCTCCTTTGTTTTAAACGCTTTTACCGCCTATATTTTTATTTATTTTTATCAGATCACAGAAAATTGTTTTTTTTGTTGTTGGTGGTTTGTGTCCTTTAAAAGACTTGATGATCAAAATCTCTAAAAATACCCGCGTTTTCCCACAAAACAATTAACAGAAAAAAAGATCTAAGCCGTCGCTTTTTCCTCTTTAAGTCATCACTCATCCCCCCCTTTCCCCCTCTCCAAAACTTTTTTTTTCTTGTCCAATACTTCCGTAATTTTTTTGTTTATACCGACAAATATTATAATATAGTATAATAATATACCCAAAAAAATTTATTTTTGCCCTTCCCAAAATACCCAACAATTGTCTATAAACGGTAACCAATGAGGCAGAAAATGCTTTAAGTTTTAAATAAATAAAGGGAAAATACAAAGTTTAAACAAACTTCTGGTTTTTGTATTTTCAAAAAATTCTGATTTTTGTGTTTTTAAGAAATTCTGGTTTTTGTATTTTCGAGAAATTCTGGTTTTTGTGCTTTTAAGAAATTCTGATTTTTGTGTTTTATTAATTTAAATAATTCTGATTTTATGTGTTGATGTGTTTTTAAATATAATTCTGATTTTTAATTATTTTCTGTTTTTAAAAATTCTGATTTTAAGTAAATTCTGATTTTTTCTTGAAAATTCTGATCTTTTAAAAATTCTGATTTTTTCTTGGAGATTCTGATTTTTTTAAAATTCTGATTTTCATTTTAAATAATGCTTATTTTTATTTTTTTTTTGACTCTTAAATTTCCTCACCTGCCGTTTCTTAGGCTTCTCAAGCGGCCTATTCTGCCCCCCATTCATTCGCTGATAGAGGCCACAAGCATTACATAAGTGATGGCCATGTGTATGATCACGTCGCCATAAAGGGGTCTGGGTAACACCACAATTTACACATTGACGATTTTCCATGTCGATATGAGCTTAAATTCGAAAAAAATTTTTGTATTAATGATTGCGAGACATAGCAAAAATTAAAAAAATCCATGCAAGAAAATAAAAACAATTTTGAAAGAAGAAACAGGCCTAAGCAAAACAGGAACATTTTTAAATATCAGAAGCAGCTTTTAAAATATTGAAGAAATGTTTCCAAAAATCAAAAGCATGCTTCACAAAAACTGAAGCATGCTTCAGAAGCAATATTTGTGAAAATCAGAACATGCTTCATAAAATCAGAAACATTTTTAAGAAATCGGAAGCATGCTTAGAAAACAGAAGCATGCTTAGAAAACAGAAGCATGCTTCACAAAACCTGAAGCATTTTTAAGAAATCAGAAGCATTTTTAAAAAAACCAGAAGCATGTTTCAAAGCATATTTTTTAAAATAAATTCTCAACTCACTCAGTTTTTTAACTTTGTTTGCCGCTTTATAAAGGGGAGGCCGTTTATAATTTTTATTATTCCTTGACTGTCCACAATTATTAGAATTAAAGTTGTTTTGATGTTGTTGAATTTGAGGTAATGAAATATTGTCTTCTTCTGATGAAGATTCTGATGTTGATGGTTGTTGGATTGAATCGGGGAAGTAGCCTTTGAGGAGAGCACTTTTTGAGGGAAAAATTAAAAACGATAAAAATTTTTGATAAAGTTTTTAAAAAATTATAAGAATTATGGGGGGTAAACTACACTAATACTTAATTTTTGTTGATTCACTATAAATATTCTACATATGTACATAGGTATATTAAAAAATACTATTCCCCTACTTATGTTTTTACGCGATTTTGTCTAACTATCAGAGGATGAAAAGAAAATTTCATTAAAACACGAAACGAAACACAAAGCGAAACACGAAACAAAAATTTCCGTTTCATCTGCGCTCATTGTCCCCTGGTTCTTACAGTTAATAACTCTCAAAATGAATATTCAAAGGGTCAATCAACAGCTTCAGAGTGCCAGATCTATTGATGACCTTTCTGAAGCTTCTTCTCACAGAGGCTTCCGAAAGGTTTTGGGTGATAATTCGAAACAACTCGAAACTCGAAATTCAAAGAATCCTAGACATATCCCCACATCTTTGTCCTTTTTTAAATTTCTTACTTTGGTTCAACTACAGCTAAACTAATATTACTATTCCCTCCATCAATTAACAATCCTCCTCCTCCTCCCCCATTATCTCCACCTCCACCATCATTATAATGTATTAAAGGTGTTGCAGAATTATTTAAAAAAGTTTGTTGGAAACTGGCTCCATAATAAGCTCCATAATTATCACCATTATAATAATTATTTGTTGTAGAAGAGGGAAGATGAGGGGGCAATTGAGGTAGTGTATGGAGGGGATAATTCGAATAAAAATTATTTTGGTGATGATTTGAATGGCTAGAAGAGGTTGTTGTTGATGTATTTGATAGGGTAAAGGACGGGTTGTTGTTTAAGGCATCTATTCCTTGTGATAGTAGTTGGCTGCTTAAATCGGGAATACCCATAGATGGGATGTTGTACCACAAGTCTGGAAAGATGAGAAAAAATATTAATCAGAGGGAAATAAGGGGAAAGTCTATACATCAAATAGAGGGTTCAAAATTTTTTTAAAGGAGTTTTGGTGTGTAAAAGATTCTTGTAAATTTTAGGCAATAGGCTGTAGAAAAATTTTTTGGATGGCAGAAAGAGTAGAACCATCATGAAAGGGTCCAGACACAACCGACTGCGGCACCATGCAACCCGAAGGAGGGTTGTTTTTATCATCTATGTCCCTTCTGAAATTGTGGACACCCTTGGGCTAAAAAAGTTTTAGGGCCTTGGAGTACATCTTAGTATATAGAAGGTATTTCTTTCCTCCCAATGGTCACCCGACTTTAAAAAGTATATTTTATAAATTAAGGTGTGCTTTGTTGTATAACTTATTATTGCCAACGATCCCAAGTAAATATCCCCATAAAAAAAATATTTTTATTAAACAAAATTTGATTTTACGTTGATAATCTGTGTGTAGTTGTTGCTGGGTATAATAAAAATGTTCATAAGCCGTCGGTGTATGCTACAAAAAAAAGATAAAAAATAAAGATTAAATCTTTTTATCAATATTAATGATCACACAGTGTGAACACACCCCCCCCCTTTCCCCCTTCTCAGAAAAAAGTTTTCCATTTTACCTCATCATTTCCAACTGTTTCCCCAATCAGTTCCCTTCCTTTAACTTCATCGTTTGTTGTCATATCTCCCATAATGCTTGTAGCAGTCATTTGCATTGGTTGGTTTATTATGTTAAATTTAAATTCATTGGTCATTCTATTTTTTGAGATTCTTTAAAAAATTTTTGAGAATTTTAGGAATGGAATTTAGTAATGGATATCAGGGCGGGGTGCAATTGCGGATTGTATGTTTTTTGACTTGCGGATTGCGGCTGCGGGAGATTATTTTCTATTGCGCACTGCCCTGATTGATATCCCATATCTCTGGTATCCCATAGAAGGCCAGAAACCCCCCCCCCCTCCCTCCCCCAAAAATTTTTTTTGAATTGCGCCCATCCCTGATTGATATCCCATATCTCTGGTATCCCATAGAAGGCCAGATGACCCCTCAAAAAATTTAGGAATGGGATAGGCTCACATCCATACCAGAGAAGGGAGACGGGTTAAGAAAAAAAGTTGAGTCGAATTTGATTCGATTTACAAATATTTTTTATGAAACGGATTTCGGTTAACCCGTCCCCATTTTCCTGGTCCATACAAAGCCCCAAATACTCTCAAAGAAATTTTTTTAATTTTCTAAAAAAAATTTTTTAGAAAATTTTTTTCTAATGCCGCGCGCCAAAAACATCTAACAACACCAAAAAAATATAAAAATAATTTTAAAAACAATATAAAGAAACCAATGAATATTTTTGAAAGAAGAAAGAAAGGAGGAGGAGTTGAAAGGCGACAATTGAGAGAAAGAAGGAATTAATTGGGGTACGGTAAAAAAGAGGAAAATTAAAGAGAGGATAAAAAATAATATTTAAATTTTGAAGGATTTTGGGGAGGTTTTTTGGGAAGGGTTTTTTGAAGGATTTTTGAAGGATATATTAAATAAAAATAAAATAAATGGAGGTAAAAGATGCCTTAAAAGTCAACTAATTTTTTAAAAAATAAATAAGGAAAGGTGTGTGTAACCTTGAAAATTAAAGAGGGGGAGGAAATTTTTAAGGAAGGGAATTTATTTTAAAAAATTCAAGTTGAGGATTTATTTTTTAATTTTTAATCGATTAATTTTTAAATTAAAAAAAGATTAAATCGAAAAAAATTTTTTCCCTTTGATATTCCAATCAATTGGGAAAAGGAGATAAAATCAGAACAAAAAAGGCTGGAAAATAAAGTTGGAAAAATTGTTGTTGTTGCTATTAAAAGGGTATTTGTTATTATTAAAAAGGTTAAATGAAAAATAAACTTGGCAGACAGACAGAAAAAGTTTATTTAAAATCAGAATAAAATTTACAATTGTAAAAAAAGTTGGAAAAAAGGTTAGAAAAATAAGTTTTGAAAATATTCAAGTTTACAATCTTTTTATATTCTGAAAAAGTTTATTTAATTAAAGCTTATTTTAATCAGAATAAAAATTACAAACTTAAAAAAGTTGGAAAAAAAGTTGGAAAATAGGTTGGAAAAATAAATTCTGATAATTCAAGTTTGCAGACTTTCTTTTATTCTGATTTTGGTAAAATACAAAGAAACTTGAAATTCTGATTTTTACTCTTTTCTGTATTTTTGCAAACTTAAAAATTCTGAAAATTACATAATTGTAATTTTAAAATATATTCTGAAATTGCTTAATTAATTAGAATAAATAAAATTACAATTGTAAAAAAGGGTGAGAAAATTCTGAAAATAATTAAACCCACTAAAAATAAGGATAATACAATTATAAAAATTCTGGAAAAAAATTCTGGTCTCTTTCAAGTTTATTTTTCGTCAGGATAAATGTTAGCTTTGTATTTTCCCTAGGTTTTTCTGTCCTTAAAAATATTTTTTCCCCTTTTTTTGAGCATGCCCTTTAATTTTAGTAAATTATTTTAATAATCATAAAAATGTGTAATCGGCTGACTAAAAAGAAAAAAAATTGTTGTTGAATGGAAGGGGAATGGGAGGGGAAAGAATATACCTACAACTAACAACAACAACGATACACGGACGTCAAAAAATCTTTTTTCTCTTTCAAATATTCTCTCAATTTCTGTCGCTTGTTAACAAATAGCAGAAAAAAAATATTTTTAGAGAGACAGTATTTTTATTTTTAAATAAAAATGTGTTGTTATGGGCGGAGGTTTCTTCCTTTATTTTTTTTAATTTTTAACAATTGATGGGAAAACAATAAAATAAAAAAAAATTTTTTAATTGAAAAATATGTTGAATAAAAAATAAATTTTAGAGACTTAGAGTGCAGAAATTAAAAAAATATTTTTCAAAATTTTTTTGAGGGGTATACCAATAAATATTATAATTATTTAGTTTGTTTATTGAGTAACAAAAATGTTTATTTTTTTAAATGCCAAGAAAAACATATAGAAAATGACCAATTTCACCGGCTAATCCCCTTGCTAATATGCTTATTAATCAAAATTATTTTATATTTATTTTTGTTTAGAATCATCACATTTAGATACTATATACATACAAGATTAGAGAGAAATACAATTTTTATTTATGTATAACTGAAGTTTGCAAACTTGAATAATAAGTCTAAAACTTGATTCAAGTTTATAAACCTATCAGAATCAGAATTCGTTTGTAAACTTGAATAAATATTAATCAGAATCAAGTTTATAAACTTATCAAGTTTTAAGCTTATTTTTAATTTTATTCAAGTTTACAAACTTGATTCTGATTATAATAGGTTTATAAACTTAAATCTAGTTTTAAACTTATTATTCAAGTTTGCAAAGTTCTGAAATTTAATTCTAAAAATACAATTCTGTTACAAGACTGGAATTTCATTAAAAATTAATTTTATTAAAAATTTAACAAATTTTACCCATTTTCCTCCTTCCCTCCCTTTATACCTCCCCTTCCCCCTATTTTTATTTCCTTTTAATTTAATATTGGCGATGCTACTGATATTATCTTTTAAAAATAAGTAATTTATTTTATCCTCTTTCTTCCCTAAAAATTTCCCTCCTTTTCATTATAATCGAGAATTGTGTTACAAGCAAATTTACGCGCTATTCGTCCTTCACAATTCCTCAAGTCATTCAAGTCAGTTTTATTTTCTTTTTTCCTCCCTCTTCTTAATTTTCCTCCCAAAAACGTTCACGGACCTCGCCCCTCCCTTCTATTTTTTTCAATTCTTGCTTGTCAAGTATAGAAAGAATGTAAATAATAGTTAGTAGTTGTTGTGCGGCCCTTCTCGCTCATTAATTAAATCAGAAAAAAATACGAAAACTGAGGAAAATAGGATATACATTAAAATATTTAAATAAACCGAGTAGGGGGTAGATATTAGAAGGAAAAAGAAAAAGAGACAATAAGTGATTAAAAATAGTGAGAGAATAGGGGAGAATAATCCTGAAACTTGATTTAAGCTTATAAACTTGAATTCCAACTTTTAAAACTTATTTAAGTTTATAAACTTGTATTATAAGTTTAAAACTTAATTTAAGCTTGCAAACTTGAATTCTAAGTTTAAAACTTGATTTAAGTTTATAAACCTGAATTATAAGTTTACAACTTAATTCAAGTTTGCAAACTTGTTTCAATTATTTAAAACTTGATTTAAGTTTATAAACTTGAATTTCGATTAATAATTAAACTTAATTCAAGTTTGCAAAATTTATTCTGGTTCTATAGGTTTTTAAATTAAATCAAGTTTGCAAACTTGCTTATTATTCTGATTATTATTATTCTGGTATTTATTCTGAAATATGTTTTTCCCTTCCTTTTTGTTTATAGACTTGAAAATACTAAATAACTCAAATAATTCTGAAAGACAGTAAATAAATAAATAAACTGATCATATGGATAAATACTGAGGGAAAATATTAAAAATAAAAATAAAACTCTCTCCTATGTTTATTGTTTATTACACAAAAAATTTTATATCTGCGCGAGTTGTATAATAAACTTAACTTTTATTAATGTTAGGGAATTGACTCATTAAAAAATTAAATAAATTTAATTAAAAAATTTATTTTTAGAATTTTTAAGATTGTAAATTAAAATATTAACGCAACAGATATCGCATTTTAAAGAGGAAAAACTTTTCTTAATATTACCAAAAGAATAATCAAGTTTGCAAACAAATAATTTTAAATATCAGAATCTAAATAAATTTAGTAAGTTTTAAACAAGTTACATATTAATCATAATTAAGTTTGCAAACTTGAATAAAATTTAAATAAGCTTAAAACTTGATCTAAGTTTATAAACTTGATTTTAATTAATATTTAATCTCGATTCAAGTTTGCAAACTTTATTCTGATTCTGACAGGTTTATAAACTTGAATTAAGTTTTAAGGTTATTATTCAAGTTTGCAAACTTAAATTAAGTTTTAAGGTTATTATTCAAGTTTGCAAACTTGAATTAAGTTTTAAGGTTATTATTCAAGTTTGCAAACTTGAATTAAGTTTTAAGGTTATTATTCAAGTTTGCAAACTTGAATTAAGTTTTAAGGTTATTATTCAAGTTTGCAAACTTAAATTAAGTTTTAAGGTTATTATTCAAGTTTGCAAACTTGAATTAAGTTTTAAATAGGAGTAATAATTCATTTTTGTAATCAAATAATTGTAAAACTTGTTTACATATCAAGTTTTCAACTAAATATTAATTAACTACAAGAATAAAGTATGATTTACAACAAGTGGTTGTTTATTATCATTAAATATAAATATTTTTTACCTTATAACTTTTTATAAAAATAATTTAAATATTTAATTGTTGTTATAAAATTGTAGAAAAAAATAATAATTTTGGAAAGGAACAGATTTTTGGGAACATTGCCTTAGGGGAAGTAATGGGCGTTCGTGGGAGAAAATTTTGGTAGAAAAATAAGAAAAAAGTGAAAAAAAATTTTAATTTTTGTAAAATTACTGTATTTATTTTTAAAAAATATTTTTTTGAAAATTTTTTCTGAAAAAAAATATTTTTTATTTTATTTCAAAAGAAAAGGAAAAAAAGTTTTTAAGCTTAAATAAAAAATATTTTTTTAATTTCCGTCTTAGCTCCTCGATCCATTATCTATAACTCCCAGTCTCGAAAAAAAATATTTTTTATTTTATTTCAAAAGAAAAAGAAAAAAAATTTTCAAAGCTTAAATAAAAAATATTTTTTTAA